AAGAATGTCAATTTTAGATTCCTTGACCTGTGAGGTTCCTTCATAAGTAATTTGAAGTTTATCCCAGATTTTTTTAGCTGTGGTACAAGTAGAGACTCTATTATATTCACTAGGACTTATAGCACAATTCAGATTAACTTTGGCCTTGGCATTCAAGGAGATAAGTTTATAGTCCTCTGTATTCCATTCAGCTTCAGTTTTAGGGACCTTTTCAGCACCAAATCCTTTCATTGGAACAAATGGTCCATTAATAATAACCAACCAGATTTGATAGTCTACGAATTAGAGGAAATCTATCATTCTATTTTTTCAATAGCCATAATTTGTTCCATCGAACCAAGGGGGTCTAGTATTGGACTGACCTTCTTGAAGAAGGTGACCATTTAAGTTTGCCATGATCGATCTCTAAAACACTTAAGCTTTTCCAATAGAGACCTAGCTCTGATACCAATTGTTGCCCAAGTTTAGACTCTAGAGGAGGGGTGAATAGAGTCTATGCAAATTATGGTCAATTTTCTATCTTAAAATATTAATTAAAGACAAACTCAATTTCTTTGACAGATAATGAATGATACAATCTGAATTTTAAACGTCAATAGTTAGCATTAATGAAGAGGCATATTAAGACATACATAAAGCAATAAGTATAGAGATAGAGATAGAAGTTGCAAACATGTACTCAGTGATTTTTAGTGAGGTTCGGAAACTCCTACTCCTCGGCTCAAGACCCCTCTTGAGATTTCCCAATTCACTACGGCTTCTCCTTGCGGGTGGAGAGCAAACCTCTTACAAGAAGCTCTTCCTAGCTTCTAAGTGCTAAGAGAAACACCTTCTCTTAGTCTTACTTGGGCCACACCAGCCCTTACAAGTTTTGAAGTATATTAATGGAATACAAGATGATCTCTCTCTCAGATCTGAAGTACAAGATTTAGTTCACTCTAGAGTATGTATGAATAACTTGAAGCTCAATACTTTTTTGATAAAATGAAGTGTGTGTGTATGATAAAAGCTTTATGATTGCAAGACTTTCTTTCTCAATGTATGCAACAACATTTAAATGAAGTTCTGAAGTGTTTTTATAGACTTTCAGACATGTCTGATAATGTTATAGCTGTTGGACACACATCCCAAGAATAAAAATACCCGTTTGAATTTTGAAACACGCAGTTTCGGTCGACCGAAATGAAACACCCTTGTGTTTCGGTCGACTGAAATAGTTTGAGGTTAAACACATACTCTCAGTACTTTTGTTTCGGTAGACCGAAGTGAAGCCTTGTTTTGTTTCGATCGACACAAATGATTCAAGCTTGAATATCATACTCTCAGTACTCTTGTTTCAGAGACCGAAGTAAAGCCTCGTTTTGTTTCGGTCGACCGAAATGATTCAAGCTTGAATATCATACTCTCAGTACTCTTGTTTCGGTAGATCGAAGTAAAGCCTCATTTTGTTTCGGTCAACCGAAATGATTCAAACTTGAATATCATACTCTCAGTACTCTAGGTTCGATAAACCGAAGTGATCTCTCAGTTATTTCGATCGACCGAAATAACTATTAGTTGGATCTGTATATTAATGATTTATTTCGGTAGACCGAAATAACTTAAAGCTTTGACCGAAATAACTATTAGTTGGATCTGTATATTAATGATTTATTTCGGTAGACCGAAATAACTTGAAGCTTTGATCCTAACTCTTGGTTTATTTTCATATAAGGATATGTTTAAGTCCTTTGTTCCTTAGCCATGGTGAATGAAATGATATACATAATGTTGGAAAGTTTGAGCTTCAAGATGTTCATATACACTTTAACAAAGCTTCCTAAGAAACTCACCAACCTAGCTAACCCCATTTTGATGTTTTGTGATGACTTGACTTTGACTTTTGATTGCTTAGTCCTTTGCTCATTCCTTGGTGTTGCTTCTTCAATTTTGTCCTTGTATTGTAGTGCTTGTTTTGATGAATGCTTTGCTCTGTAATTTCACTCAAGAAGACATTAGTAATCATAGAACATCATTAATGATTTATGATCATCAAAAACCTTTGATTCAAGGTCAACAACCCTCAATGCCCCCAACGTGATATACACTTATTTTCCCAAATGTTGCCTAAGGGTCAGTTTGGTAGAGTGGAAATGAGAGGAAAAGGAAGGGAAGGTGATGGAGGGGGATTAAAAATTTGTGTTTTGGCAAAAATTGTTAGGAGGAAAGGAAAGGGAAGGTGATGGAGTGGGATTAAAAATTTGTGTTTGGCAAAAATTGTTGGAAAGAAAGGGAAGGGAAGGGTTTGGAGGCTTAACTTGTGCCTTCAACAGTAAATTTCTTAACCTCCATAAAATGGGAGGCAATGAAGGGAAAGGGAATGAGAGGCTTGGTGTATGATTTCAGATGCCAATCTTGCCCTTGATTAGTTGATTTAGCAGTTGCAGAGAGAGAGTAGGGCAAGCTTGAGAGTTGAGGACGGCGAAGCTTGCTTGCGAATGGCGAACCTGAATTGGAACAGCGGGCGATGGAAAGTGATATAGGTTTTGATCGATATGGGTTTTGATTTTTTGAACAATCTGAAATTGGGTTTTGATTTTTTGAACAATCTGAAATGATGCCAATATGGGTTTTGAAGTTTTATTCTTGTAGACAAATATATAAACTGAAATATATGGGTTCTGAACTTCTGATTCTTGTAGTAGTTTGTAGTTGCAGAGAGAGAGAGAGAGAGAAAGAGAGAAGTTCAGCGTTGAGAACGAGAATAGAGAGATAGAGTTGAGAACGAGAATAGAGGCTGAAATGATTTTCCCTAAAAAAATTTGCCCAAAAAAATTGGAGGCTGAAATGATTTGCCCTAAAAAAAAATTTCTTACGAGACAAATATATATATATATATATATATATATATATATATATATATATATCAATAAATTTATATTTTAAAATATAAAAGGGCATAATGGTAAATTTATTAAAATAATTCTCCTTCCTATCATTCCCTTTCTTTCCCCAAACATAATTATTATCCTTCTATTTTTTTTTTTCCTTCATTAATCAACTAAACACAATACCAAATTAAAATTATCTTTCCCTTCCCTTTCCCTCATAACTAATGTTATCCTTCTCCTTCAAACCCACCCTACCAAACATAGCTTAAGTGTTGTAACCTTCTTTATTCGTTGACAAATCTGATTGGCTTTAGAGGATGGTCTCCATCGTATCGGAGGCTGCAAAACAAAGCTTGTTGATTGTTTGATTTGTTTCCGATAGTGTCATCATGGTTGTGGATGATGGCCATCCGAGAAGTATGTTGATTGCTGAGAATCCGGCGAAGAACAATGATGGCGACGGCAAGACTGAATGGACGGCAATGACTGAATCGGCGATGTGCAATTTTAGGCAAGGATTCCTGGTTCGGCCGGCTGGTGTAGCGATGGGTTGTAGAGAGGATTGGTTCGGCAAGCTAGTGCAGCGATGATGGTGATGGGTTGTGGAAAGGTCGGTTGTGACCTTGCGGCACAACACTGGCAGGCAAGAATTGGTTGGCTGGCTTTACCCATTTTGACCAAGCGGTCGACAACCGATTCACTTACGAAACCTATACTTGTTCTACCTAGCCTTGTGTTCAAAATCCTCAACACCAACACTAACACCATCACCATCACTTATTCTTGTTTACAGTAATTCGAACAAATCCAATCTCAAATCTGAGAACAAAGTGCCATTAATCCAATCTCAATTCTTTTCTTCTTCCTTCAGTTTTTGCAAAGAGGCTTGGTACTACCGCTGCCTTGGCCTCGATCCCTAGGCCCCCATTTTTTCTCTCTCTCTCAATTTCCGATCCCTCTTTGTTTCTTCTAATTCAACCCTTTTGTTGTTGATTTTTTTTTTTTTTTTTTTTTTTTTTTTTTTTTTTTTTTTTTTTTTTGGGTATTATGGAAGAGTCCAAAAAAGAATTAGAAAATCAAAATGAAGGGAAGTGTTTCTGAGAAAATGTTGTCACAAAAGCTAAAGAAGAAGAGTAATGAGAACCACAATGTGAAGAAGAATCGATTCTTGATTACTGTGACTGTTCTGGGAAGCACAGGACCAATAAGGTTCGTGGTGAATGAGGGAGACCTGCCCCGTCTCTTTTTTTGTAAGGGCAATTTTGGAATTAATAGAATAAGACGAGTCACGTGCTGACCTATGGCCAGAAAATGGGCGGAATTGAATGAGGGAGACCTGCCCCTTCTCTTTTTTTGTAAGAGCAATTTTGGAATTAAAAGAATAGGACAAGTCATGTGCTGACCTTGTGGCCAAAAACCAAAAAGTGGCCATAATTGAGTTAATTTGCACGATTTGGATAATTGTGGTATTGACTTGTTCATTTTTGTAGTCTAAGAAATAAAATGCTGATTTGTGATAATTCAGTGGGGATTTTTTATTTTTTTTTTATTTTTTTTATTTCGGTGACATTTTTGCCTTCTATGGATGTGTTAGGAGTTGTTGACCCAAAGATCAGAATGTACAGTTCAGATAAAGAATAGAATAATTATCTTTTTGATGAGTTAATAAAAAAAAAATTCTAAACAAATAAATATGCAGTTTTATAAAGCTTTTAATTTGATTTAAAATACAATTGAAAAATAACAAAATAGTGTAAAAAAAAATTATTATTATAAACAAATAATATAAAAATGCTACCATACTTGTTATATTAAATTTGTATACCTATGTGTATTTTTATTGTTTTTTTATGTGAAATTCTCAATTAAAAAAATTTGAATACTTATTGGTGAATTTAAGAATTGTTCCGCAACTTATGATAATTCCCATTTTTTTTCATTATTTATTTATTTGTTAGGTTCCGTATTATTATTATTATTATTATTATTATTATACCTATGGGTTCATCATTAATTAACCTATGTGTATATAAAATAATACCGTTGATAAAGCTTTAAAAAAAAAAAAAAGTATATATACTATTTTACATTTACATGTATTGGTGGTATATAAATTAGGTTAGTTGGCCACAAAGGGGGTGATATTTGGTGGGTGGGGGCTTGGAAGAGAGAAAACGTGGAGCTCTGGAATCGACCTTCGCCCGTCCGTGGCCACTCTGGTTATGCCGTCAGCCACACAGGTACGTACCCAATCTCTGTCTCTCTCTATATAGATGTAGCTGGTTTTGTATATCCATCCATGTATAGGAATCAGATCTTTAGAGGTTCGTGCCGGTTATCTCAGATGATGAAATCTAGGGATAGGGTTCATCGTTTAAATCTTTGTTTTGATTTGAATTAGGCTTTTGATTGTGGTTTTGTTCTTTTGTTCTGTTAATTTTACGCTATGTATGTTGATGTTTGGGATTACGTGATATTTATTGGTTTTGTTGGTGGTTTGATTGTCTTTTGGGTTTCTTATAGTTTGTTTAAGGATATTATCTTAAATTTAAGGGTTTGATTTGGTTTTGTTTAGATTGCCTGTGATACAAGTATTTGTTGGTTTCTGGGGATGTAAGAGTTTGTTGTAATCCCTTATCGTGCCAGGTGCCAGGTTTTCTTATACATGATATAAGAAATTTGAATATTTTAATAGATTTCGGTACCTTTTAAAATATGTATGTTATTATATGGTTTTATTTTACAATATTTATGTTATTATATGGTTTTAATCTATTGGGGTTTCATTGCAGATACTTAATGACGAGAATCCCACAATTTGATATTAAGTAATGAAATTTTGAGCTTATGGTGCTTCTGGGAGCTTTCCTTTTTTGGGGTGATGAATAAAACTGATACTCATTCATATAGTGGCTGATATCTTGATTTTAGGTTCCTTGAAGTTCTATGTTGATATGGGCTTCATAGCAAGTATTAGGAACCGAAGCTTTCCAAATCTATTAGGGGAACTTCTATATTTTTTTGTTACTCATTAGGTTCATCTTAATATATTGTTGCTAGTTCTATGTCATATAGGTACTGGGACCCTTCATCTAGTGATCCCATTCTAAGGAAGGGTTGTTTGATCTGATAAATTAATATGAACATTTGGCATAAAACAATTAAACATATAAATACTGGGACTCTGAATGATGACAAAGAAAGAGAAAATATTATTAAAAGATATTCACATGGAAGGACCAAATTCCAGATTCCAATATTTTTGACATTAACGTTGGTGTATTCATCCTGATACTCAACTATAGGGAAAAGTGCTTCTGCCCTTTATCCAAATATTACAAGAATGGCAATCCATCTATTGGTCTGCTGTAAACATGATCTTTAATCTCCAAATTACAAGGACATATGGTAATAGGAGATAAATTTGTACTATTCTAGAGGATAGCTATGTGACTTTACTAGCAAAAATGATGTCAAAAAGTTGAAATTCCAATATTTTAAATTCAAGGAGATTCAAATCTTGAAATTTTTTTTTCTTACTTGCCAGTGCTATGGGGTGCCTGAGTTAAGGATTCACATCATTTTTTGCTTCTTGTGTAGTGTAATGATACCACTATAGGTTATGGTAGTTTTTATAAGACCTATCATTGAAAAAATTATTTACTTGGAAATGTAATTGCAAATCTACAAATTTTTTGACCGGAAGTAATTATGAGAACAACTCAATGAACAACAGATGCACTTGGTTTTGTCAATGTGGTTAATGATTATGTTTTACAAGTTCTTCTTTCAAAGATAATGTTTCTTATCACCATTAAACCGAGTATTACACCAACCCTCAAAATGGCTGTTGCAAGGTTAAAGCCTTTGAGGCCCCCAGTGTTATTTATAATGATTCGGATTCTGTGACCTGATGTTCCAAAATGCCGCGTCCTTGATGTAGGATGTTCGTGTAGGAGTATAACAGTATTCTTGGTTTGTCTGGGTATCAATTGTTTTGCTGTGCTAGTTTCATTTGTTATTGTTGAACATGAGCATTGTGATGTAAGTTACATGAATAAAAACAACTGTGCCAAAGTAGTTGTTGGACCTTATATGCTTCAGCTGTCCTGTTTGCAGCCATTAGGCTTTTTAGATTGGATCTCATCTTGTTGGCAGTGAAGAACAAGCATCGAAAAAGCAAAATTCAATTAAATTTTTTCTTGCCTCACATCGAAGAATTAACAGGATAGCCAGTTTGAAATTGCACCGTCATAGTTCAATTTGGTCGCTTGTGGCCGAATTACTTTAATATTGGAATTTGCACGTCAGCATGTGTATGTAACATGTTGTGCCAGGTGGTGACATATTATGGGACTTTCATTTCAAATTGCATAATATATACCTTTGGTTATAATTTATGCCTTGGAGGTCATTCTGATGCAAGTTTGCCTTCATTTATTCTGTCAGGTTGAATCGGACTTTCATTTCAAACGTTTAATTTCCTTTATTAAGACATGGAGAATGTATACCTTTGGTCAGCTACCTACCAGTATCGGGCTTTTTCATTCCAAGAAGTGCTTGACTGGCGATTTCTCACCGTTGGAGATTTTCTTCTTGTTTCCTTTGTCAACTGCACTTAGTGGAAAGCTGCTTTTAAATGATCCGTGCTGGAAGCCTAATGAACATTTATTTTGATATAGGTGCTTGGATCTTTATTGCACATTTACAAGTAAGCTACAAATTTCTTTCTTTTTTAGCCTGATTTATACTTTGAACCTTCTCTGACAATCTTGTGGCGGGTAGTGCATTGTGAATAAAACATAATCTAGATCCTTAGGAACCATCTTCTTGGGGGCTTTACTTGTGCAATTTCTTTCTTGCCTACTTATTTTTTCTCTTCTAATTTCTTTTGATGAAATTAACTTCATCTTTGTGATATCTTTTTCTGCTGACTACAGGGCTGAAGTCAGCAAGGGACGAAATTTGCTCCTGTAGTTATATTAGATAAACCTGGTGCATGCAATATGTGCAAAGTTGGCAGTTATTAGCTATATCCTTGTCCTTTCTTCTGATGGGTACAAGTTAAGATTCAAAAGATATCAACGGAAGATTCCACAAGAGATTTTATGCATGTATAATTGAGGTAGCGGTTGTCAGGTTTCTTGGTAGCGTTGGGTGACTACATACTGAGCGTAGGATCCTATCTGGTGGCGTAAACAATTTTCAGTCTTGGTCAGTTCTTAAATTGCTGTGAAGATGTTCTGTAGTACTCGGATTTTCTTTCTTTGCACACCTTGCTGCTTTCTTGGAACCGTTGGTCTAGTATATTTCATGCGTGAGACTGTGAAGCTCGTCCATCAGAAACATTTTTGTTGCATGCTCACGCATGTTGCAACAAACAGTTAATGGTGATTTTGCTAGATCACCCAGGCAGTTAGTTTATATTCTTTAGTTCTCTTTCATAGTTGTCTACCAAACTTAAACATTGTAGATTTCTCTTATTTGCTCATTCTTTTCTTGAATAAATAAAGCGTCACAAGCCGTTGGAAACACAAGAAATGGAGAGGTTCGTTGGTCTTATCTGGGTCCTTTTTTTATACTAACTTCTAATATAATGTTAGTTGAATCACTGTGACAATCGTGGGTTGTACAGGTACAATATAATTAAAGAAGTTGGTGATGGAACATTTGGGAGTGTCTGGCGAGCTATTAATAAGCAGACTGGTGAAGTTGTAAGTGCATCTATGGTTTGTTTGGCCTTGAATTGCTAAGTGTTAATGATAAATTCTTTCAATCTTTCATTTCAAATTAATCATTTATTTTAATAGGTTGCAATTAAAAAGATGAAGAGAAAATATTATTCCTGGGAGGAATGCATAAATTTGAGAGAAGTGACGGTAACATTTGTTATTGCTTCCTTTCTTTGCTTCTTGCTTCTTTTTTGTGTTTCTATAAATTTGTCTGTTTTCCTTGTAGTCGCTGCGGAAAATGAACCATCCACATATTGTGAAGCTGAAGGAAGTCATTAGGGAAAATGACATCTTGTACTTTGTGTTTGAAAACATGGTGAATGGCACTCTTACACCCAGTCATGTCTCTGTTACCACTTGATTGCTTATTATTATATATAGTGTCATTTTTCTGCTTCAGGAATGCAATCTATACCAACTTATGAAAGACAGGGAAAAGCTTTTCTCAGAAGCTGAAATTAGAAATTGGTGCTTCCAAGTGTTTCAAGGTCTTGCTTACATGCATCAGCGTGGATATTTTCACCGTGATCTCAAGCCAGGTGATTGTTGCTTGAGTAATCAATAACTTTTTTGGACAACTGAATAGTTGAAATGATACTTAAGGCTCTGTTAGAGTGGTGGTTTTGTGGAAAATGTTGCATCTATTTGATGTTATTTTCAATATAATTTCATTTCTCTGACACATGATTTTGGTAGTGTCACTGTGTTGACAAACACATCAACTAGATTCAGTATTATAATGTTTCAGACATGACAGTCAAACTTTACCAATATGACCTCTTATGGCCGTTATGTACATATAACTTTTTAGCTTGCTCATGCATGCAGAGAATTTGCTGGTTTCAAAAGACTTAATTAAACTTGCTGATTTTGGTCTTGCTCGTGAGATCAATTCTCAACCACCATATACAGAATATGTTTCAACACGCTGGTGGGTGGCTGTTTTGTCCCTTCTCTATTTATTTATTCTGACATCTGTTCTCTTAAATCTTACTTCCGCTTGTACTTTTTTGGTTATTGTTGCTAAAATGAGGGCTTGGCAGGTACCGGGCCCCTGAAGTTCTGCTTCAGGCACCAAAATATAATTCTGCAGTTGGTGAGTAGATGATGGAGGGGACACTGTTTTGAAATGTTTTTAGTGATCATTTCTTAGGATTATATATTATAATTTGTTTTCTTCATACCATCAGATATGTGGGCAATGGGTGCAATTATGGCCGAAGTGTTTACATTGCGTCCTCTTTTCCCGGGTTCGAAGTATGTATCTTTTATTTTATTTTATTTTTTTATTATTATTATTTTAATATTGGATCTCTCTCCACCCATTGCTTTTACATTATAAGAGGTTTACATGGAAGTGACAATGTCAATAGATTTGGTTATGGATATTAAATCATATCTTTTAATATGGTTGGGTTTTTAGAATGGTGTGTGGGCGTTTTTCAGATGGTTGGTTTCTAGAATGTGACTTTTTTTGTTTTTTGGGTCTACTACCACCTGGTGGTGATACAAACAAAAACTTGGTGTTAGATTATGTTCTAGATAATTAATTTGACAATATATGATGATTTTATTCTAATTTCACATGTTATTTTTGACATGATTTTGTGACGTGCTTTGTATGTGGTTTTGAATCTTGATTGAGTGAATTTTACTTTTGTAGAATTTTATTTTCCCTTTTAAGTTTTCTGTTTCAACAGTACGGGTGCAGCATCTGTAAAATGTTAAGGCACCAGTTGAGGTGTTAGATGATGCTATGAGAAACTGATCTGATGATTTTTTAGCAAAATTTTATACTTGTACATTTATATAGTCTTTATTTTGACATGATATTATGATGCACTTCAGTACACTTGATTTGAATCAACTTCACTCTTTCAATTATTTCCTGCTTTGAGTATATTTTATAAGCTTTGTGTTTAACATCATGGGTGCAGTGAAGCAGATGAGATCTACAAAATATGCAGCGTTATAGGTACCCCAACTGAGGGTAAATGGGCTGAAGGGCTTAAACTTGCAAGTGCTATCAACTACCGGTTTCCGCAGGTAAGTCGGACTTGGTTTTCGTGTGTCCATGTGATGTGTTGTTTAGGCATTTGCTTGCTTATGAGGCAGTAGTTTCCGAACACATGCTTATGTTCTATCTCTCAGTTATTGATAGTTTTATAGAAACAGTTGCTTATAGTCAGTCATCGAACCAGGGGAAAAAAAAATGAATCAGCATTTATTACAATACAAGCATGTTGGGGATATAGCGCATATCTTTGACATGGTGTAGATATAGATTTCTATTGCTGTTTTCAAGTGTTGTGCTTTTCAATACGATAAAAATATTAGAAAGTTCACACGCTTCATTGCATAAATCCAGTTTCCTTCATCACTTTCCAATATGAAATAGTGGAATACTTTAGGTGGTTGTACTTGTGCATTTACTTACCATGTTAATAAAAATCAGTATAACCTTGTCATATGACAATTAACATTCAGCATGTGTGCATATTGAATCTGTAGACAATTATTATTTATTTTTATATGTAGTGAACCACTTATAATGCTGCTTTTAAATTTGAAATGGCAGCTCACTGGTGCTCATCTTTCAGTCTTGATACCATCTGCTAGTGCTGACGCAATTAGCCTTATTGCAGTGAGTACTTTTTTTTATTTTTTTATTTTTTTTTAAATTATAGTCAAGCTATTCTTTCTTTTGTCATTTTCCTGCTGCCTTTTTCTAGACATGGATTTGACTTTTCGAAGTTGAGAACTGCTGATGTTCTAAAATTTTTTAATTTGGGAGATTTTGATGATTATTTTGTCTACTAATCAACTTATTATCTTCTTTTTGGTCATTTTTCATCAAACATCTAGTCTCTTTGTTTGTGGGATCCTTGCAAGAGGCCAACAGCATCGGAGGCTCTCCAGCACCCATTCTTCCAGGTGGCAAATTGGAATATGCATTGTTGTTTTTCTTTTAGTTTAATTCAATGCATTGATGTTGTAGTTGTTATAACATTAACTTATTAAGTTGTATTATTTGGTGTGTCAGAGTTGCTTTTATGTTCCACCATCTCTTCGCTACAAAACTGCTATGACCGGCTCACCTACATCTGGTTTGTCTTTCGTCACATGATGTTGTATTTTTGGGACTTTGAATTGATAAATGCAGGAGCTTAATTTGTTTCGGTTGTTGCAGTTGGAACAAGGGGTGGTTTAGAGCAAAATTCTGCTAGGAGGTATTCTGGGACATTATCTACTCTGAAGCCCACAAGCAACTTCACTTCTGCCAAATCACATGCATCTTTAAGTGCAGGTGATGTTTTAGTCAAATGATTTTGACAGTTTTAATTCTTTTCACTACTTCTCAAGGATTTATACTCAATTCTATGATATGATTTTTGTGGTAGCTTAAGTGATGATGGACTACCGTTTGAATTTAAAACAAGGGATATGCATTTGTTGCAATCCCGAGTGATGAAGGCCTTCATCCCTATACTTTTCACCACTCAAGTATTTATACTCAAATCAATTAAGATCACATTTACCATTAACTACGGTAGACCATTTTCATTCTACAAGAAGCATCACTTCCAATCTCTCTTTAGTTTTAGAATTACTTCAATCCTCTTGATTTTGGTGTTTTTTTTTTTCGTCTCAAATTTAGTATTTGTCCCTATTTTGTTTTCATCTATCAAAAAAATTTTGTTTCAGTTTTCCTATACTTGAGGTAAAAATATGGGGCCTAGTGTATCAGTAACAGTTCCATTATGCATGCCCTACATGTTAATTTATTTATTGGTAACTCCTTTTGTGTAATTACCATATTAATATCACAAGGACCTACCATATCTATTTTTTCCCCTAATGCTGTTGTTTCAAGTTTTCGTTGCCTGTCAGCCACTTTCTCTCGAAGTTTCATAGCACGACTCTTTTATTTATTATTGTGTTCATTTGCGTAATTCTGATTAGTTTCCTTCATTTTTTTATAAAGGTATTAAAATAATTTGTTTTGTCAACATTTATGCATTTTGTTAGTGGAAGGTTATGATTTTCAATAAACTACTTTTGTAGCCAAACATGTCATTATTCCATGAATAGCTCCATAACCTAAATAGAACACCGTCCCGTCCAATGCCCTTCCTTTTGTCTTCCTCATTCCAGCATCTGAAGTACTTTTCTTTCTTTCTTTATTTATTTATTTATTTTTATTTTTTATTTTTTTTTCTATGCCTCTGGTTCAAACTCTTCCCCTTTCAAGTGTCCTGAGAACTATGCAAGTAACTGAGAATGTCTTTTTCTTTTACTAAGCAAGGCACACAAACACACCCGCAATTGCCCCCCTTGTGGTGACTTGAATCCTCAACCTTTCACTTGGAAAGCAGAGGATATACTGCTAGAGCTAAACTTTCCTCCTGTTCAGAATGTCTCCTTGCAATCTGGATATTATAATCTGACAACTGAAAAGGGAAATGTTGCTGTTACCACAGGGCGTGCTCTCCTTACCCCACTATGAGGGCAGGGAGAATGATTATCTTAATAAATATCAGAAATTCTTTTGTGTGTATCTTATTAAATATCAGAAATTTTTTTATGTGGTCCCCCTCCCCCAGCCTCGTAGCAGTTCAGAAGAGGAAATCAGTTGTATCACACTATTTGTTGCCACTTTTTCTGTTTCTTTCTATTTATTTATTTATTATATACTTTAGATTCTCATCTTATGTTAACAATTGTTACAGGTGTGCAACGGAAGCTGGATATGAATAATCAGGTGACTACCTGTTTTACTTCACCATGTCTTTTGCATCCTTGTTATATCTACCGACTGATGGTGGATAATCTCTTTTGGTTGTTTCTTTTTCTTCTTGGGTGATGTTTTTAGGATGCAAGCAAGAACAATAAGACCACGAAGAGCTATTACAACTTACCGAAATACCAACCTCCAGCAAGGAACAGTCCAAGTAAGTTCCGTTCACTTGTGGTTCTGTTCTACTGTAACTAGTTATTAAATAAAATTGATATACGTGAATTTAGACACATTCTTTTGGATATGCTTGTGTTTTTGTTCACTTTATTGCATAGGCAGGTTGTGTTTTCTTTTGTCCATGTAATGTTTTGAGCTTGTGAAAGATACGAGACATTCTGTTGCCCAAATGTGATACTAAAAGTGGTCGACAACTCGTTATGGATATACAAGAAATATGTTTTGGTTAGTTCACGTGGATGCTTGTTTCATCATATTGTCTACATTTTTCAGTTAAAACCTCTTACGTCAAGTAAATGACATTCATGAATAGAAATAAGCTTAAACTACAAGACAGATTTTCATAGTAAGGTCTTGCTCAAATATAGATTGCATGCCATGAAAATGTATCAAGCTAGGGTAATATCACGTGTGATTGTACTTGTCAGGATATCTGGTTTTGTTCGAACATAGTTTTAATAATGTTAGAACTAACATGGTTTACTACATGTATTGGCAGCCTCCGTTTACACTGGCAAGGCAGCACGTGAAGTTTCTGATACAGCTGAGAAGTTGGCGAACATGACAATTGGATCTGGTAGATCGCCTGCAAGGCAGCCATTGCCCCCACCTATGAGAGCTGGAGGATGGCATGGCCAATCTGACATGTTTCTTGGACGACCTCAGGAGGTTCAGCCTGGACGAACCTATAGTAGGAAAGTTTTGGGATGAGGGCAAGCCCTGTTGAGACCTAGTAGGTGATGGTGGTTTAATATTTAGTTATACGTTCACTACAAACGCTGAAGAGTTGTGTGCCTGGCCTAGTCCAAGTTTGTCTGCTTTGCAAAAACTTAGTCATGTTTGTGTAATTATTAAGAAACTCCTTTGTTAAGTTTGCCTGGTTATCAAAAAAATCTTTTGTTTAATAAACTCGACTTACATAATTGTTTCATCATTTTATGGTAATGAAGATCCTTTGTTTCAAAGGTATGATTTGGATTTGCATCGGCTTTATTCCAGGTGTTTTGTTGAGTACAATTAATATGTTGAGTACATTATTTATTACAGATGTTATGACTACGATAATATATATATATATTTTTTTGCACATTTGAAGGTATCTAACAATAGGTTGAGAATGCAACTTACATACAATTTGATATAATAAGTTGTATGGTTGTTGCATAGATGTTGTATTATCGACATAGTATGCAGGGTGCGGAGGAATGATTGATCAGAATCATGGTGGCCTTTCATAAGAAACGATTTCTTATTCAGCAAAAGTATCCAATTTTGTTTCTTATCTCATTCCATAAAGTACTATTTGAAATGTAAAATTTAAATTCCTTCAGGCTGTAAAGCGTAATGTCTAAAAAAAAAATACAAGATTATATATAAATGTATATACTGAATGATGTCAGAAACAACATTCTAAATGAAAAGCCATTCGTTATAATTTAGTTAAACGGTATACGATTCAAGCTGCATTTATGTTCCCTAAGATTAGAGCTACTACTATAAAATTCATATCAAAGTATAATTAGTCACTAACTACGACAGCATTCACTAAATTTTATTTTACATTAACAAAAGAAGAACCCAGATTCCTCGTGTGTAGGGGCTGTTGTGCACTCATTCTGTATTGGTAGTGCAACACACAACGTAACTACATCATAATGCAACACCATGAAACGAAGATGCAATGTAATTGTTGCATATGCGATGTAATATTGCGCTAGCGCTGCAAAGGCACAGGAGAGAATCTGGTTTCCTAGAGAATTAGGGTAGGGATACTTCTCGGGAAGGCCTCTTTATAACATTATTGTGGTTAAACTATGTGTCATTAAGATGATGTTGCCGGTGGGAATCATGTTATCTTTATGGTGGATAGATGGGAAATGGAATGATTCTATTTCCATGGAAATGCCACTCTTCAGGTTTTCATTCAGTTTTACGCCAACAGCTGAGTTTGTGAAAATCTATAAATTAAAGGTATTGTGTTTGTATCCTCTCCCTGTTCTCCTCCCACCAAAGCTTTGCGTGCACCTCTCCAAACCTTTCACGGCTGTGCAAAACACAAATAACAAATGAACATCATTAGCATCATCTTATTATGTGTGTGTGTGTGAGAGAGAGAGAGAGAGAGATACGAGGGAAAAATGGAGGTGTCAAAACTGCTTTGCAGTTTGCATGCATTCTTCAGAAATGATATGCAGATCCTGAACCATGACTGCTAAACAGGGCAAACTGAAACAAAAAAAATGGGATTACTTGAATTTCATTACCTGAATCTGACACGCCTGAGCTCCCTAGAGCCATCAGCTAATTGTCTGATGGTAATGTACACACCGGGCTCGTCTTGTTCAACCCATTCGGATTCCATGTCGCTGGCATTGCTAATGGAAACCGAAGCCTCGTCTCTGGAGGAGGTGGTTGTCCGAGAAGCATCCACGGATGCTGTCTCAGCCCTTGGGCCACCAGCGCCATGAGCAATTGATCCGGCATTGTATTGTTGGCTGCCACCTTGATCTGAAGAGTCAGATGGGAAATACCCTTTACTGCCAGAAGGTTTATAATAGTTTCTAGGAGTCCATTCTTTGTTTAATGATGGAGTCATAGGGCTTTCCCTCGCGGATCCAAGCCTCGAGTATGTAGTATCTCTCTGCAAATTAAGAGTACAATTCTCTATAAGTTAAGAGGATTCTTATCAGTGTATTTTCAGCTGGAGACAGAGAGAATTAGTTCGATATATTGTGATATTTTTTTACACTTCGATGATATGAAGGACACGTAAAGGTAGAAAAACTGAAATAGGAAAAGTTCACAAAATAATTCTTGCTAGTTAGGTCAATTTGATGGTTGATCAATAGAAAGGAAGAGAATGAAGGGAAAAAAGCATAATGGCTGATGCGAAGTGTTGACAATGAAATAAACTTGAAACATATGACTTTGAGTTAGGGATTTTGATTTCTTTTCATGCATGTCTTGACTAAAAAATAAAGGATCTTCGAAGGGGATTCATTAGAATATATCCACTGCTTAGTCTTGCCGATACACGGTGTTGAGAGGGTTGGACTGAGTATGGACTAGGAAAGTTGGAGAAATATTACTCCTGATGTTGGACACCTAAGAAAATAGTACATCAAAAGAATCTGCCAAAAAGGGGATTCAACCTGAAATACGTATTCTTCTCTTTGCAAGGACAAGAAAAATTGTTCATGTTCTTTCGAGTTAAGCATAGATTTTAGAGTTTATTTCCAATTAGTTGGAAAAGAGCTCACTAGTAAAGAGTATAAGAGCAAGTCAAGAAAGAGCAAAGTTTCAGGTGGCCCCCAAATGGTGCAAAGCTTATCCTGGAAGAGGGAGAATGAAAATCTATGATGAAGATTAGGAACGATCGGGACCAAAGAGCGTCTGCTTGATAAGAGGGAATTTGACATGTCAAGCATAACAATCTGTTTATGTATGTGTTGTATATGCATATTAGCAACCCGGGAATCAGTGAAATAAGTTAAATCCAGATACAGAACGGAATGAAATGTGTAGTAAAAAGAGGTGGTTTACCTCGTCCTCTGACCTTGCAGGTGTGTTAAGAGCTTGTCGGTTAAATCTCTGAACATTGTAGAGCTCCATGATTCGATCATAATTCTCGCCCCACCATCGTTGAGCTTGCCATTTATTATACGTCTCCCGGCTCCAAAATTAAATGTGCAGTTAATGTTAGTTTGCCTACTAACAAATGCAAATTTAATTTAAACAACAAAAAGCTGAAGATGTTTGACACCTCCAAAGTCCACTTTTTTTTTTTTTTTTTTTTTTTTTTTTTTCAAAATCTGTACTAGCAAGCTAATTGATGAGATATACCTTCAAGAAGGACCACCACTCATGACAGGTCTCTCACACATTAAATCAGTGTTTGGAGATAGGACTAGTTAATGCAGTGGTTGGGTCTTATATAACTCATCTAGAACAAATATCAGCCCTTGATTACTATCTTCATGCTGGATTCTTTATATATTGGATCCTATGCGTAAAGATTAGTGTGCCAGGTTAGACCAGGAGGGGTCTAGAGAAAAGTAAGTACCACATAAAGATTTTGAATAACACAGTTGTCTATTTAAATTTTATGAAGACTAAAGTTAGTCCATGGGTATGCTAGCGCGTCAACCAAAAAATGAACCACCCTCAAAATTTTTTAGTCTTAACCGTTATCAATTTACAAAACCCTAAAACCCCACAAGAGCAGGAAAATCAGTTCGTATGCATCTATGTTTTAATGCTGGAATGGGAAAAACACTTCTTACAACATATGGTAAGGATATTAATGTACCTGAAGCGAATTCGTTTTAGATCATTTCCACCATTAGGAAGAGACACAAAAGTAATTTGAACACCAGGCTCCACCTGTGCCATCCATTCCTTGGGCTCATTCTCGTCCTCTATCACTACATCACCAGATTGGGCTGAGATAGATTCTAGTCCTGTGGGAGTCCGTACACCACCCCATTGCCCATTAAACCTTGCAGCAGATCCAGCAATCGGGTGGTGGGCAGTGGTAGAAAAATCCCAGGCAGGTGTGGAACTCGAGCTTCCAGGTTGCATGTAAGGGTATGGTTGGCCTTCCAAAATGGCATCAAAATCGGGGTAAGGCCGCTCTCCTTTCTTGTAGCTGCCGGACCCCGTGCAGGGCTTGCATTGCCTATAAGCACCCGAGAATTTCAGTGCCATATCCTTGATCTGCAAATTGTTGAAATCAGAGTTGGTTATACTATAAGAATTACAACTTGTAGATTTTATCTAATTTGCAGCTAACTTGAAGCTGTACGATGATTTTGAATATCACCAACAGAGGGTTGTAAAACAAACACTAATATAACAAATTCTTCGAAACATAATTTAAAATTTGAAGGCATTCTGCAAATTTTCAAGAGTATTTCAGATCAATTTCAGAATTGAATTTGGCAGTCTGTCTAGAATATGAATGTAGTAGTGATTAGCGAGAAGGATAAAGATTGGACTTTAAATATATATATATATATGAAGCATCATCCACAATCAAATTTCAGTAGTGATTAATGGCGGGAGAAGGATAAAGATTGGAATTTAAATATATATATATATATATATATGAAGAATCATCCACAATCAACTTTCAATCTAGGTTTCTTTCTTTAAGACTGAAAAAAACCATATGAATGACAATGATTATATTGGGAAGTGGCAAATATACAACTTAACCTTTTACATCCCGGTCCAACTCTATATACATATATTGATAATCAGTAGAAATACAAATCTTCGATGCTATTTAGTATTTGTTCTTCTACTTTTAAATGAATGGTATAAATGGAAGAGATGAAAAATTGTCGCAGAATCCATGGGATAAACATCCTTAGTGCTATAAAAGGTGAAAGAAAAGGGCCAACTTAAAAAGGGTGTAATTATTGAAGTGTCGCAATGGTGAGTGCATCGTGTCTATTTGACAATCTAAAACCCCAAAGAATAAAAATAAATCTGAATTTTCTATCTTAAATATGAACTTCACAGCGATAAAAACATGTTTAAAAGAAAGAAAAAAAACACAAATACTCCTAGAGATATGGCATATTCCTTGATCCTTGAACCTTGCTTCTTGTAGTACTAACTGTTTGAACTTTGAAAGTAGTGATAATGAACAGCCCAGCCCAGACATTTTCATCAATTTAGATGGCTGTAAATAATTTGACATGAGTTTTAACTTTGAATTGAAGGTAAAAGTATTGATATAGAGATTATAAAGGAGATTTTAAATATAGGAACTAAGCAAATTGGAGTTGAAAGTGTTGAGGTGTTTCACTGCTTAATCCTGACCTAATAGACTCAGCGTGTGGACTCATGTCAAGTACACTAGTGAGAAAGAAAATGGCAATGGCAGTAGATAACCTCTTTTTGTACATGCATTTTGTCCAAAATTAATTTGAAAACCAAATCAAAAGAAAGAAAAGGAAAAATAGTGAGAAACTAACCAACGGGCCTAGCGGTATCAACCTCTTATCTTCCAAAGGAAGGTCAAGGGTTTAAGTCTCAGAAGAAACAAGTGTGTGAACACCAATTAGAAAAAAATAATAATAATAAAATAAAATAGTGAGGAACTAGCAAAGGCTTTCCTCGTAATGGTAGAGTAGAGAAAGGAATAGTATAGCATGGACTATGGTGTCAATCATGAACAGCTATAAATATTATTTTCTGAAGGACATTGCTATTGCACTCTTACTGCAGTCTTGATGGTCCTAACACCACCACTCCGAAATCACCATTATTTTTCTGCAATACATTAAACCTTGGTTTGGTTGTTCTAATTTAATTTCACTGCCCATTGACATGCTACTATTTGTTGGGCTTAATTGTAACCCAAAGAGACGTGAATTACTTTGAAACACCAGATAGGTCAACGAGAATTTAATGGTGGGTCACCACCAAAAACCACATGGATGTGTCCTTTCTCATATGTGTGTTGTCCTTTTACTCCATCCCCACTAGGGCATTGTGTGGAATATACTGCAAGTTGTTTTTCCTCCATTATGATGAAATCAGCATACCAAATTGCTACTATGGCAGCGGCATCTAATTGCCTTTCTTGCCTCAACCCCTCAGGAGGGACCCCAGTAGGACAACTGCAGTTAAACTCAGTGTCTCACACACTCATAGTCAACTCGTGCTTCACTTATTGGGTTTACTGAAGCAGATCTTGCATATAGCTTCAATGGGTGCTAAAAAAAAATGCATAACTTCAATGGTGCATTAACACATACAATCTCGATGTCACGCGCTAAATAAAACAATGGTGCATTAACACATCATTCAATTTCAGTTGTTGGAACAGAGTTATATTATCCGACTCCCATAAATAGTGTCTCTCTCTTCTTACAAACAAATTTTGATTTTTTTATTATTAAAATAACATTAATTTTTAACTTTGATTTTCATCATTATGGTGAAACTTTACCACAAAAATTGATGAAAATTTAATGAGGAGTACTATTATAGTAGTAATTTTAACAAGTAAAGTGGTGGAATTTTAAAATAAATGTAATGAAATTAAAGCGCGAAACAACGTCCTAGTGGCAGAAGAAATGAGGACCTAGTAGGCTACTACTGCTGAGGTTACCTAGGACTACGATTTAAGGCATTAAACGCAGCCGTCTTTAGAGGTAGGATAGCGTGTAGTAGGCTGTTCAACAATGGCTTTTAGAGAGCTGTGAATCTTTTGTTTGTTTTCACAAGCGGAAAAAGTTAAAAAGTGTGAAAAAAAAAAGCATGCACGATAGCATAGGGTAGAATAGAGGAGGGTGTAGGATAAGAACCTGCGCCGTCAGGCTTTTGACGGCTTCTTTTGTATTTGGTGTCCCACGCGCCCCTACTTCCTCTCCTCCGCCTCCTCCTGCCTCCTCCTGCATCCTTTGCTTCGAACATGTAATACACGTCAACATTTTCCACTTTTTCTTTTTCTTTTTTTTCTTTTTTTTTTTCACCTGCACAAAAAACAAACATGTACACATAAAAATTTGTATTTTGACTCAAATTTTCTAACGGTCATCTCCTCATTTTCAAAGAGGATATATATATATATATATATATTTTGTTCCGTCAAGTTAAACTTATTTCTCAATATTCCGAAAAAAACAAATTTTATTTCTCAAGTCCTGCAATGAAAGAGATAAGCTTATTATTTAGGGAAAAAAAAAAAGAGAGAAACTTATTCACACTTTATTTAAGAGAGAACTATTCTTTAACCACGCTGAGGAATTTAGTTTAAAAATTATTTTCTTCACAAAATTCTTTTCTTTAAAACAAATTTTTTTATCACCTTATCGAGTTGAGCAGAGTAGAATTAAACAAATTCCATATGGAGCACCGATCATTGGTGAGCCCATAAGGAGTTTGTTTCTATTAGGCTCAAGCAGAATTTCCTTGAAAAGCCTTTTTTTTTTTTTTTTTTTTTTTGCGAAAATGATATTATTGAATTACCATAATACCCTTGCAAATATAAAGTTTTGAACAGAGAATTTTCACCGACGGATAGAATGGACAAAAGAACATTCCTCCAAAGATTTCCCACGATCAAAGAATTACCTCTGTTTGCTAGCGGGAAAAGGAGAAGAGAAAAGAAGAGGCACCGAGGCAAACATAAATTTTATAGAACAATATCCAAATCATTTTCCAGGAAACCAAACGGATGTTGAAAGAAACAAAAAGAAACTGAAAAACACCCAAAAATAAACCAGAGAGAGAGAGAGAGAGAGAGTGAGAGAGGGAAAACTTGGGATCAGAGGAACCGAAATGGTTTATTTAAATAATTGAAAGAAAGTTTCAAAGTGGTCTCAAAATACGTATATTTATATAGTATGCAGTTTGTGTAAGTGCTTTAATTTCGAGAGACCCAATAAAGAAGAAAAACAACAGACTTGTATTTAGTTGTAAGCCAAGTTTCTGACAAATCACCATTAGAGAGAGAAAGAGTGATAATGGTGTCCTTTTTCTTTTGTGATCTTCATTGTTTCGAGAAGCCTAAAAGTAAGTCATGAATGTGTGCATATATAGAGAGAGAAAGAGGAGGGAGAGAGAAACAGAGTAGTATTATAATCTCTTTAATCGCAATGACTAATCGCTTTAGAAAGAAAACATGGAGTGTCGAGTGTTGAAAGCGTTTGGTGAATCGACACAGAGACAAAAGAACGAAGAAATTGACATTGACGACTGGTCCTTCTCTGCAAAGCCATTTCATATTATGTTACGAAAACGACTCACCTAAGCCCAACACTGACCCCTTTTTTCTCCTCTCTCTCTCTCTCTCTACACTTTCTCTCTCTAAACCACTCTAAGACAAATCTTGGCACGCCTAACCCCTAACGCCTTGCTCCACATCACTTTGTTCCTCTGCAAAAACCTACACTCTCCAAAACTAACTCAATCTACAAATTAATACACAACAAAATGTGTAAGACTATGAAATCTCTCTATTTCACTCTACATTTCTGTAGGGAAGATTTGATAAAAACACAAAATTTGAAGAAAAATGTGTGCATATATATATGTGACTATATACATGTATATATAAGCATTCAAAATCAATATGAAGTACATACAACCATAACAACAAAAGAACCAGGGATCTACATTGTGCAGATGTGTATATATGTTTCTAGATATCTGTTCGAATTAAATTCAATGAAACAGAAAACAACCATAACAACAACAGAAACAGAGCTCAACGTTGTGCAGATGTGTGTATATACATGTATCTATATAGATTTAGATATAGATGTCATACCTTCACTATTGAACTCTGTGTTCTCTCACAGAATGTCACCGAAACAAATACGAATCGCTTCAAAACCAGGAAACTTCATTAATGCCGATCCCGACGCCAACTATTTTCCCTATTTCATTCCTTTTGAGCTTCAAAAACAGTACAAGAAAACCCTAGATCGATCCTTCCAGAACACATCGAACAATCACTGAATCTCCGAACTGTCACACAGAAAATGATCGGCGACAAGAAAATCCCGTTGATTTTTCTCCGGCGAACCAACTGAATCTCACAGTTTTGCTGAATTTATTGAACGAATCGCCGCCGGTGAAAAATTCCGGCGAGATTCCGGCTGGATTTTGAATTTGATTGAGAGAGGTTTAGAACCGGAAGGTTGGGATACTTTGCTCCAGGTACGTATATATCTTACTATATATATACACACACACATACATATTATATGTGTGTGCGTGTGTTTGTCTACAAATGACTGACTGGCAATACAGACATGAGGAGAACATATAATGCTTTATATATATATATATATATATAGAAAGAGAGAGAAGGGGATGTAACGACGTTATGTTCTGCCGGTAGATAACGGAAAACGTGTGGGTAAATAATGACCGATGATCATGTTGTATGACTTTGTGCCTTGTGTGCGTATTCACAAACGGACTTTGGAGAGGAAATGTTATACACGTCGTTAAGTGTATATATCACAATTATTCTCATATATAAGAGTTGGTCTTGGACAAAAGGAGGACATTGGGACCCACATGTCTATATGTTGCAATACATTAATAAGCGTACACGTGTCCTAACTTCATTGGAGTGATTGTATAGAAAATTACAAGTAACGGTTTTGATTCAATCAAATTTTTGTAGCATGATTTAGGGAGGACCCGTAGTAGATGCTCATCACAACTATCTACTCTCAAATGTCACACCATCAATTGAAGCTTTATTATTAAGAAAATGAGTTGCTCTCCGATTTGAGAGACAAAATAAGAGACCAAATAAAATGTGGGGTGCACAACATTTAATTAATTAAATTGGCTCTTGGTATTAAGGTTATCTAACTTTAAATTTTTTATGGTTGAATGAATAATTAATTGATCACATAATATCAATTAAATCTTTTTATGTGTTTTAAAACAGTGTTATTTTGATGTTTAGATATGGAACAAAATTATGTTGCATGTGTTGAGTTTCATGTTTGTGCACTGTGCATCAAAATGGCACTATTTAAGTGCACAAGACGCACAAACACGGATCTCTGAACAAGAGGGAATCTAAGTTCAATTAGTGGCATCATAGTGTTCAACAAAATGAGAGAGGAATTTAAAAGAAAGGGAAATTTCAGGCGACTGTGTTATTTACCACATTTGGTGAGGATGCATAATGCATCCAAGTTGCTTAGTGATGGGTAGAGATTGAGCTAACATTAAATTGTGTTACTAGCTAGTTGAGTGGTTGTAATTAGATTAGCTTTAATTAGGGTTAGAAAGCGATAGGTCTTTCATATGTAAAGCATTTTGCATGGGCCAATTTTGTGCGGGTATGTTCACCTCGTGGGGGTGATAGGTTGGCATGCATTGATGAGTTCACATCATGGTGGAGATTTTGGCATGGGTGTTTACATCAAGGTGGAGATGGTTGGCATGGGTGATAGCAAAATCTCCAAGCACTGACTTACGACCTTTGTTTTTTTTTTTTTTTGGTTCAAAGTATATTAATTATTAACGCTACATTTGGGAGTATTAAAATAAGCAAAATAAATTTAAAATTTTTAAAAAAAATTAGCTAAAATATTGTTATGTTACATAAGAATATTTTTGGCACAGATCAAAATATGATTTTGGGTCACCAAATCTAATTAAAGTGAGAAAGAAAATATAGGTGATCAATGGGATAACAATTAGTGTTGGCGGGTCGTATTCGTGTCATGTCGTGTTAGAACATGAGTATTCCGTTATATAGGTCGACACGAGTACAACACGATTATTATTCGTGTCAAGAAACTCCAACATGAATACGATACGATTATTACACGGATAACACGACATGACACACGTAACCTATTTAATAAATGGGTCAAGACTTATGCTCCGAAGTTTCGAAGCTTTTGTTGATAACTGTCAGTTAGTGGACATGGGTTTCAAAGGCTTTCTGTTTACCTGTTGTAATAACAGAGATAGCTCCAGACACGATACGAAACTACATGACAAGACACGTTTAAGTAATTTATGAGTCTATGACATGAATACAATACATTTCATCAACACGTTTAGTTAAATTGATCATTTTTAACACGAACATGACACGATTATTTAAACGGATTAGCAAGTCAAACACGATCATGACACATTTAATGATCATGTAAATTCGGTCTGACACGATTACGACACAAACACGATTAAGATAAACTTAAACCGACTTATCGTGTTCGAGTCGTGTTAGCATGTCACATTAAATATTACAATCTCTAATGATCATTCCAATGTTCACTCTGTTTTTTAAATTTTAATATTACTCTTATAGTTCTAAATATGCATTTGATTGAAGAGGTTTACATAAGCTATGGCTTAAATATTTGACTCAAACTATTGTACGCATTTACATAATTAGAAGACGTTCACACATATAAGTACCAACAATTTCTTTCAGACGATGTGAAAAGCAAGTCGAAATGAGTGAGTGAAAATCTAAAAATAGATGTGTACTCTACTATCAAACCCTTCTTTTCCAACAATCAAGGTCAAATAATTACAAATATAATCATACAAAAATTAGTTCATAACATTTGGTCCATGACAAATAAATTAAATGAAAAATTATACATACATATATATATATATATTATAAATATTATATTAGGAAAGGATAATGTTTCAGTCCTGCCCCATCAAGACAAGAGGTTGACACCTCTTTTAAATTTTAAAAAGATACAAAACGTGAGTCATACACATTTTTTAGAGTTAAACCCGACAGATCTATTTTTTTTCCTCTCTTTGCTCCCATTTATGTATCTCGCTTCATCTGCATCTTTCTTTTTCCTTACCTCCAACCGCCAATCATTCCAAACCTAATCTTCCCTACTAGGACCTCCACCACTCCGCTTCAGACTGGATTTCGATTTCGTCTTTGCAAAGATTGATTTATTTTCTTGAAACAAGTATGTTAAAACATTATATTTGTCCATGTTTGAGGTAGATTTTGAAAAGGGAGAAATATAAATGATTAGTTCAATATTTTTTAAGGATAGTTTTCTATTTTAAGAAAATTAAAAATAACAGAAAAAGGTAGGAAAGACAATTTTCCATGAATTATTCTCTATAAACAAAATTAAAAGAAGATACATTCAATATTAGGATTTGGAATGATTGGTGGCCTGGGCTAAGAGAAAAGAAAGATGTAGATGACAGATACACAGATGGGATAGACCAAAGAGGGGGAAAAAAAAAAATATATATATATATATATATATATATATATATATATATATATATATGTCGGGTTTAATCCTAAAAAAATGAGTATACCCCAAATTTTGTATTTTTTAAGTTTAAAATAGGTGTCAACCTCTTGTTAGGATACGTTAATGGGCAGAACAAAATTTGTCAACAAAATTTATCCTGATGGAATAGGACTGAAGTATTATCCATTAAAAAATAGGAACTAACATAACCTTTGTTTTTGTTTTAGGAACTAACAAATCAAATTGCAGAATTGAGCTATTTAACACCTCTAAAGTTGTTGTTACATACTCAAAAGTATTTAAACTAATAAATCCTAAGTGGATTGTAGGAAGATCTTTATTCCCCTAAAGAAATAGTAAAAATAACATTCTCTTCATCTTTACTACTTTTGGAAGTGTATTTTGTCTTCCTTACTCACTAAGTAATGAAATTAAATTCAAAATTTTGAATCATCTCCGTTGCACAAATTATTATACAGATTTGTCCCATATTTTATTAAATTAAAAATACCAACATTACTTCTTAGATTAAAAAAAAAAATTGTAACGACATTTTTATTTATATATTTTAAAATACAACATTTTTTGTAATCATTTTGCAATGCTGATGTAATATAAATTACATTTTCTATGTAAGACAAAAAAAGGTGTACATATAAGTATGGTAATAAAAGAACAGATTTTGTTCACTGGTTACCGGGTATAACCGGTGAGTTAACTTGTCCTGTGTTGGACAGACTACTTCAATAAATGTTTGTTGCAGAGGAGTGGTTACCTGCTATAGTCAGTTGTCAGCGTTGGGCAGCTATTTGCAACTCTGCCATTGTGGGCAATTTAGCTTTAACAACTGGGGGACTGTTGTTGTTGTCAATCACTTGCCTTTATTCCTCCCCCTGCTTTGGGGGCTAGGGTTAAAACCACTCTTTAAGCAAAGAAATATGCTTCGAATCACGGGACCAAAAACACACACACAAACACATACATATATATGTGTGTGTGTGTGTGTATACATGTAAGTGGACACGTGTGAGTGAGTCTGAGGCTCTCTCTTTGTTTCATTCTTTTGAAAAAAAGAGTTTTGGGAAAAGCTTCTTCTTCCAAAGGAGTTTCTCAAACGTGATCTTCTTAAGCACGAAAAGCATAGTCAAGAGGTTCAAAGGCTTCACTTTTCATTAATTTGGTCCAGTTTGGAAGTAATTTCAGAAACTTTAATCAACACTAGCTTTAATTTATTATATCTACAGTCTCAATATATGGTAAAGCATGCATGTGTTGCCAATAATGTGAGACACTGCCATCTTATTATACAAACTGTTATAACTTCAGTTAAGTCTATGAAGTGGTATCAATTTCAAATATTTATTACAGATTTATGGAACATACTCATTGAGTGTGTTAGTACTTAGCTAATTAATCTATAATATATATTTATATATATATAACAAAAGAATTGACATGACATTTACTTTTAAAACCACACGCCTGTCATTTACTTTACTTTAATTGCTGATAATCATATGTAGAAAAAGTTTATGAAGAAACCCCAAATTCCTCTCTCTCTCACTCTCTCACACACACACGCACACACACACGCGCACACACGAAAGTTCAAATACATCAAGGCTATAAAAGCTTCAAAGTTTATGTAATATGTTGTGGAGAGTAGACTTGTTTTTAAGTAACGAATGTTTGTTATGGAAGTAATAACACGAACTTTAAAAAGTGATTACAAAGCCATTAAGGGATCATTTTTATTATAAAGTAGATCTAAAATCTCAATCTCAGTCCCTTCCCATTTCCAATGTTTGATTACTTTGATTACCTATGTCTCTTTCCTATATGTTTGTGTTTCAAATAGATTATAATGTCTGTCAATATTAAGAGGAGAGAATAAGTTACAAGTGTTGTGAAGATTAACAGTTTGTAAATTCATTCTTATATTTTTTTATATTTACGTGAAATAGTAGTAACACCGTAACTTTAAAAAGTTAAACATAATAGGTAGTGATATGATAGAAAAAAATGGAGGCAAAAAATTAATGCAGTCTCTATTCATATAGAAGTAAGATAAGAATGATGATAGTATTAACACAATACCTCTCTGGACGACCTTACATTAACAAAAATACGAAGATAATTGAGATTGTATTTTACATGCCACATTTAATTGAAGAGAAAAAGATTGACATTAGAGAGGATTTAATATCCAAAAAAAAAATTAAAAGCTTGTGATTCATTGTCTTATATTCTGTCTTAGGTTTCTCATTCAAGACATTCTCATTGTGTTAGGACCTGAGAATCGCTTTAAATTGCCCCTTTTATAAGTTTCACTAGAGAGGTGTCTTTCCAATATTATTGCTTGTTCAGTTCAGAGATGCTTTGGAAGGTCTTCATTGTGCACCATAAGATTGAACACCACTAAGGATTATTCAACCTCATTAAACAATTTTTTTTTATTTTTTTAGTTTTATTTTTGTGCTTAAGTTGTCCATTTAATGTGTGAGATGTTAAACTCACTCAAGATTGATCTCTCTAATGCAATTAACCAACTGCAAAACCAAACTCACATATTAGTTCTATGGTTCTTTCAAATCACATATTAGTTCTATGGTTCTTTCAATTTTTACCCTTTTTGTGTTTGAAATTGACTAATTCACATTTTATGAAAAGAAATGAATAGGAGAGAAATGAGAACAAACAGATGAATGGAAAGTCTATTTTCAATTATTAGAGGAGGAAGAAAGAAAAGAAAAGAGGCATTCAATTTTCTAAGAACAATTCTCAAAAATTCATAGAACTCTTTATAATTATAAAAAATATCCTAAAATACAAGCATCTTTTAATTGAGTTTTAAAAAAGCAAATTTACAAAAACTGACAAGCAAAAATATTTTTGTATAATTTTCTGTTTTTTAGTTCCCAAAAAACAAAAAATGAACCAAAACAGACCCGAAATTTCTCCATTTCGATCTAGCCACGTCCCTCCAGCACAAAGAGAAAGGAGACAAGTGAGCACCAGAATTCTTTATATATGCATCAAAACAAAACAATCTTGAAAATTTACTTTTATTTACATTAGAATTCTTTATATATATGTATTGTAGACACAAACACGTTGTGTTCCCATTACAAAAGAGAGAAAATCTCTCAAAACAAAAAGAAAATAATAGACTTACAATTCCATTTTAAGATACAAGTGAGCACTAGTAAACTTTCCTAGAGGAATTGAAACGTATATCCATCCTGTCTCAATCATGATTTTCTTTTTAAAAAAATCATATAAAATCAATCGTGTTTTTGAGGTGTAAAGAAGGCCCAAATATTATTCCGTCGTTGAGCTTTGAGCTTTAGTAGCATTCCCGCAATCTATACAAATAATACAAGAGGAACTTTGTTTTTGAGGTGTAAATTTTGCCGTTTACTAAAAAAAAAAAAAATCCCTTTGTAACAATCCAATCTATGCATGCGTGTGCAATGTGAATGTGTGTGTGTGAGAGGGAGATCGAATTGAAATCTAAAAAAAATGAAAAATTGGCATGATTTGTAATTCTGAAAATATTAATTAAAAATTAAAAAAACAGAGAATAATTTTTAAATAATTATAAAAGAATACTATATAAAAACAGATGTTTTTATAACTAAGTTTTCAAAAAATAAGTTTCACAAAACTAAAAATTTTTTATATGATTTTTTATTTTTTATTTTTTTTTCAAATACAGCAAATTATTTGCATAAATACAAACCAAACAAGTCTTTGAAATAAAACTGTTTCCATATTTATCATCCAATAGCAATCAGCAATTGAGTAATGATTTTTAAAGTAAAATAAAAATACTCAAATTGGCAAAACCAAATAGAAAACAGTATTGGAGTCCAAATACAGAGATAATGAAGGGCCAGAAAACTAGTCCCTTCCAGATCTACCCCAAAGTGACTGCCAAAAAACAGGCCAGTTCTTCTTTGCCTCATTCCAGCCCAAGCGTGAGCCTTCCCTCATTGGGTCCCAACTGGCGGACACAATCCCATAACTGACCCCCAAAAGTGCGGACCCGAAGAAGAAGAATGACACGATGAAGGGCACCCAAGTGGGCACATCTATCTTCAACCCAACCTTGAGATAGTAAAAGAAAGGGAAGAACAGTAGCCCTATGAACAGAGGGATACCCACTGAGAAACCCATCCTGCTCATCATCCTGTTGGTCACTATCTCTGGAATCACGCCTTCATCCGCCTCTAATTCTACCTCCTCCTCTTCTTCCTCTTCATCGTCGTCTTCGAAACCTTTCTTCGGCTTCTTAGTAGTCTTGTTGGTTTTCTTTCTGGAGGGTCCGAAGCCTTTTGGGCTTTTCAGTGTTGCCCAGAGTGTTGTGGAGTGGGACAAGTGAGATTGGTTTTGGGGTAGTTTCAGTGTGGAGATGGGGAATTGAGAGAGCTGTTTGGTTGGCGATGATAGTAAAGGTGGTCGTGCTCTTGAAAATGAGCAGGTTTCCATATTTTCCCTTCTCTTCTGTGCAGGTTTCCTTTACATGTCTTTCAAATGGTTGGTGGAGTGTAAGCTTATCTACTTCTTGTTGATGTACAATTACTACAATACCCCGATTTATGAAAAGAAATATGCATTCTAAGTTGGCCCAGTTTCTTTGGGCCTTCAACTCTCTCTCTAAACAACGTCAAATGGAATTTCAACTGTTTTCTGTATTACTAAAACCTCCTACTACACACCAACCTGTTATAAAGTGGGTGGTAGGAAATTCTTTTCTCCTGGCCCCAGATTTGAGGGGCATGTGAGCATCAGGCTCGGTGGGCTCAATGGATTTGGACTATACAACTAGCTGGGCCGACAATTAGCTGTTCGGTTGAACTAGAATGCAGGTCCACAATGGATTTGGCCCAATAGATGTGTTCTAAAACAGCTCCTAAGAATTAGCATGATAGGTAAGGTAACACGTGAGCAAGACCAGCAAGTAGAATTGTAGGAAGGCAAGAGTCAAGACAAACCCCAACATTGCAGTATTATAATGGATTTCTTAATGTCAATGAACTGAGAAAGAGAACAAGAACAAGAAAAAGAAATGAAACAAGCCAACTGTTACTATATTTTCTCTTTTTTTTTTCTTATTCATTAATAAGATGGCATTTACAAATCTAAGAAAGATATCCAATTATCTACTTCGAGAGTCACAAGTTCATTTACAGTAATTTGTACAGGAGAAAATCGCTTCACCTCAAATAGTGCATGTAAATGACCTTCCAGATAACTGTTTTATTCCCCACCAATTGATTCCTATCAACAGAATCACCATAGAAGATTAGCATCAAAATCTATAAGATTAAAATCAGCGGTCACAAAGATTAAAATCTATAAAAGGAAAACATATAATATATTTTAAATCACTACAATATGGATGACCCAAGTGGCATGGACACCGACACTAGACACGAACGACACCGATACACCAACATTTCAAATTCTAAAATAAAATAAAAAATAAAAAAAAGGACACGAACATGTGAACACGACTAATAAAGGGTTGGACACGTATCTAAGAGTGTTTGCAAATCTATCGGTATTCAACACAAACACGGCACCTTTGCAAAAGTGTTTGTGCTTCTCAGTGGATGACTAGTTCTTGAGTGCACTGTAAAGCAAAAGAAGAATGTGGTCTAATTATTCTATTCACTTACTGTTATGTAAACATCTACAAGTTCCCGTCAAATAGAGATAAATAAGAAGGCTGACACTTTCATGTATCATTTTTTTTTTCCAAGAGACTACATACATTCTTGTATCATGTTGAAACTGATAGAACTGCATTATCAAATGGTCTAATCCTATCAGTCAACCATTCTTTATAGCATCTCTTTTTCTAAACAGCATACAAAAGTATTACATGCAAACTAAAAATTCTTAGCTAAATTAAATTTTCAAACAATTTGTTTAGAGGTGAGAATTTGGTTGGAAAACTGACTGCCACACAAAAAGTGGTAATATAATTTATAATACACAAAAATTAGAATCCCTTCCAAGCAATTTCCAATCCATTTAATGTATATTGTTTCCTACTATATTTTCCCTTCACTGTACAGTTGGTTCTATGTAGTTGGGAAAAAGGCTTGGTTGTTGTTGTTGTTGTGCAGTTGGTTCTATCAGGCATGGGCCAAAAGCCATGTAAAAAGTCGCCCTCAGATTGACGTACTAGTACTCAATAATACATTTTACAGAGCAACAACAAAAGCTAGAATGCTTCAGTGGCTCAGTTGTCAGTATACACATTTATCTGATCACAGACAACTAATATAAACATCTCACTTTCTGATTCAGCTGTACCAGCAAAGTAGGGAAATCTGCTGAAATGTTTAATTTAATTCAATTGTATAACTAATCTTCATATATCTCTTTACAAATTTGGCTGATGATCTTAAAATCATTTTCCAGAGTACCATTTCATCGGATTATTTTCTGCGTTATATGCTTCTGGCAAAATAGAATTTTTGAATCAAAATCCTATAGATATTTAAGCACTAACCATTTAACCAAATGCATCATAAAATAAGGCACATAATTGTGGATACATAACTAGAAACACTACAAGACTGGTAATCCATATGCATAGCAATTCTTCCAATAGTTAGAGAATGACATTCGGAGATGCTTTATACTCACTTAGAAGGTCCCGTTGCTGCAGAATGGGCTAATTATATCAAAGTTGAAGAATTCCCATAACGGTTTTTGAGAACATCAATTGCTTTCTCGAAGGATTGTGAAAGCTCAGGTATGGATGTTTTGCACACTGAAATTGTTAAATGAACAAAAGGCGTGTTTGTTAGAATCAAGTGGTGGCTAGGATTTTTTTTTTTTTTATTGGTCACTTATATGACATTCTTTCGTGACCTTTAGAATACATTTAATGCCAAAATCAAACTCAAGCTTAATGCAATGTATGTCTGACCTCATTCTCTGGATGCATGATACAAAAATTAAGCCTACAACACAAATAGTGCAATAAATTGAACCTAACTCACATTTTAAGGACTTACTACTCAGATTCCAGATGAAAAAATATTTCTGTACACTTGTCCCATGAAGGAAAAAAAGAAATAGAAAAGACTTCCAAATATTCCACAACAGAGGAAGTTCCCATATTAAATTATGTAGTTAATTATACATTATATAAGCAATTCCTTATATGTTCTAGAGGTAAAGATAAACATACCACGGGATGCACTGGCCTGTGCTTCTGCCATGAACTCTGTGTATGAAGTCTGAAAACAGGACACCATCAAGTTACATCAGTGGAATTGCAGAGAGAGAGAGAGAGAGAGAGAGAGAGAGAGAGAGGAAAACATAACCACCTTCATTGCTACTCGACTTTCATTGATTCTTTCAGACATCTTCCTATATTCCTTCTCAGCTTCATCCACCACTTGCTGGCATTGTTGTGACTGAATCTATTGACATAGAAAAAGAAAGCCACAGAATTAGTTTGTCAACCCCAGTTATCATGGTTTCGAACAATACTTCTAGACTTCTAGTAGCCAACAAGTGACAACTGTGTGACAACAGTCGTAATAATTAGCAACTTCACGTGCCAGAAAAGGGGGAAATCTAGTACTAGATACAATAGCAAAATAACTTATAAAAATTAAATATACAAATATATATATATATATATATATAGGAAAAATCATTTTTCTTTGGTATTTTGAGATGAAACTAGAAATTGACCAAGGATATATGTTTAGATCCATGATGAAAAATACATGATCAGGATCATGGACTTCTATATCAGGATGAAGAAAGTCCAATTTAAGTGGTTTTACTTCAACTTCGCAGATGATTTTAAAAACTGAGTTATCAATTCAATCAATGCAAGGTATTAAAAATTTTGACCTTAGTTCCTTGAAGATTATCAATGCAAAGTACTAAAAAGTGGACTTAGCTCCTTGAAGGTGCTTGATACAAGAGTTCATTACAGTTCATTTAATTTGGCTGCTCAATTGATTTAAAATTAATTGATCCTCCAGTAGTCAAAAGGCAATAAGGCATCATGCATTGTTCATCACTCCAAGTGAAGGTGTTTCAAGGGCTCCCCATGGTGTCTGGCCCAAAGAGAGCATTTATCAGGTGCATACGCAGATCAAAAACAAATAAACCCCAATACAAATTCAAAAACCTATACTATGTTAAAGACCTATATGTTCATTGCTCTTTCCAAGATTTTTCCATCAAGCTTAAACAAGGCATACGTATGAATTAGATTAAAAAAAACCAATCTAATGAAGTAAAAAAAAAAAGGGGGGGGAAAAAAAAGGTGCTCAAAATCATCACAACCAAGCACTGTTGAGTTCAAGTCTCCTGAAGGTAAAAACAAACTGCAGAACACATAGTACTATCTAGTAACGGGGCATGACGAGTTTTGATCAAGACATTCAAAACACGTCAATACAATATATATAGTAATCAAGTGGCAGACATTTGTACAATGCTGTTAGGAATCAGAAATGATTAAAATCAAAAGAAAAATCAGAGTTAAACAATCATACAAATCAATATTACCTTCAAGGCGTTAGGTTAGCAGATCAGATTGTAATATTTGACATGGCAATTCAAAAGCATCAAATACAGATTGTACTTCTAATTCTAACTTCTATTTCTAAATCAAACCTCTAGTTCTAGAAAAAAGTGTTGAATGAAACAATCAGAGCACATCAATTAGCAAACACAATTTCTACTACTAGAAATAGAGAGAGAGAGAGAGAGAGAGAGAGAGAGAGAGAGAGAGAGAGAGAGACCTTGAATCGTTTGTGGAGGCGAGACTGAGAGGCCTCGATGTCCTTGAGGATCTCCGATTGCGAGTGATCGAGCTGGCGCTTGATGGAGTCCAAGCGCAAGGAGGCAAATCCCTTCAGATCGGAGATAGTAGCTAGGGTATTCAGAGACATTGGTGAGCCGTTAGACTTGATCGGGACAGAGGTTGATGCAACGGAGTTCTTCTTCTTGTTCTTCGAAGATGAGGTGGTGTTGAAGGTGTTGAGATTGAACTCGAATTGCTTCGGCGATTCGCTTGCTGATCGGTTAGGGCTCGCCGTAGGCGGAGACGAAACCAGAAGGTCCGCCGCAGAGGACTTCCTCGTCGCTCTCTTCCTCATCTCTCACTCTCTTTCTCTAAACTTTCTCTCTCTTCAGTTTGTTCTCTCTGATCAGTCTGGTCTCCAGTAGTTTGTTCCTCAGCTCTCAGTCTCTCTCTATAAATAAATGGCGGGATTTTTTGAAATTGAAATAGATTTGTAAGGAAATGCTGGGGTGAGTAGGGTTACAGGGTAACAGTTTGAGCCGGCAAACCCAAACTCAATTCGAATCAATTGTTTTACAGATTTGAACAATCCCTTTTTACAATTACAGTAAGATTTAAACTGTAGAATCTCAGTTCAATTTTAATTAGAATTAGGTTTATGTATTTATATTTTTGAATGTAATTATGTACTTATAATTGTGTTAATTTTTTTTCTTCCAATTTCTTTTTTATCATAACAACCTGATTTATTTGTACATTAATTATTATATATTTATATTCATTTTTTTAATTTTCATGTGTAGGAGTAACTAAGGCAGAGTCAAATATGAAAACCCCAATTTTTAACTGAGCTTAACTGGAGTTCAAATTTTCAGTTTTAAAAATTTTAAGTGTGGGTTGAAAGGCTTGGATTCAAAATTTTATTGAGTTGAGTTTGGATTGAAGGTTTAATATTTTGAGTGTTTTTCCTTTTTCGGTAAAGTTTTATACTTTAAGTTGAATTCTCTTTAATTTGAGAAATTGATTAAGAAAAAAAAATCTAGAACTGGGAAAAAATCTAGTGCGATTTATATTTCTTAATTTCATTATTTGACTGGTACAAATTATCTTCTACAATATTAAAAGTTAAATCTATTTCAATATCTTATGATTTTAATTAATTAATTATTTATTTTTTTTTACAATGATAGTGTCGAAACTCTTAGAGCATTCTGTAATTCACCATTAAGTTCTCCATCCCACATGCACCCCATCCGACATGCGCCAAGTAATATCGTGTGAATTGAATTGTATTCGAATGGACTAGTCACATTTAAGACTTGTATATTAACATATTACATATACTTTTCACTTAGAGTCGAATTGAAAAAGATTTATTTTTCCAACTCAATTCATTTTTTGTGATTAAAAGTCACCCTCATACACTAACGGTCAGTGGCCTAGCGGTATCAGCCTCTTGGGAGATAAGGGGTTCAAGTTTCAGAAGAAATAAGCGTGTCTGAGTACCAATTAGGAAAGAGAAAAAAAAAAAGTCACCCTCGTACATTTACTCTCCACAGCCTCCGAGCCTGCCTCTGCATTGAGTGTACAATTTGTTTTAGGGACACAATATTGTGAAGTATAATTAGCATTTGAGTGTAAAATTTGTTTGACATTGCTTGATATTATTAATCTTGTGTATATGCTCTATGCTTTAAATCAATATTATGTGAAATATATGAAACCTGTAATGAAAAATTGCAACTTAATGAAACCCTTTAGCTGCTTTTCTCAACATGGAACACATTCATCCAATCAAACCAGCAAAAAAAGTCTGAAACTGCATTGGTAATCTATCTGGTGGCATTGGTTATCTCAAAGGAGGAGGTATGCTCAAGCACATAAATGTAAATAAACCAACAGTGCAGAGTAGAGATGGAGCAAAGATCAATCAGTGGCTAAGAAATATTATACAGTAACTTTATTTATTTTCGAAATTTGAGCTTGAATTCGATAATGTATGAAATATACTACAATTGTCAAATATAAATGTTTCTGTGTGCGCGTGTTCCCGAAAAGTTGACCTTCAGTATAATTCGCGTAGTCAACGACATGGGGCGTGGATGCCAACAATGCTGGAAAGCACCACCAGGCTCACCAAACACTTCGTAGCAGCTTAAAAATGGCGGAAGGTTGATGTGCATATACACAACATGATCTGCAAAAATACAAGCATATCAAAGGGTAAATAAGGAAAACAGGATGTTACAAAATCTGATGCAATTGGAAACCATTGAAGAATTGTTAATAAAGTAAATGTTAATTTTTAACTTTCAAATCAAATTCTTATACTTCCGAGCATTATCACAGAACAAATTTCCAGTTGACAATTGAAACGGATAAATTCCAATCATGCTGCATGCCTCAGCATGTATATCAAGGCTACTTTTCTTTCGGGGAAATCGTATGGTTTTTCAGAGAACACCCTTAGTTCAACCTTAAAATTTAAAACCCTTAGTTGGTTTTAGAAAACACCCTTAGTTCAACCTTAATGATAATGCCTCAGAATACCCACCAATTGATTCCTATCAATAGAATCACCATAGAAGATTAGCATCAAAATTTAGTCCCATCGAAGGCTATGGTGTATGTGTAGTAAGTGAAATTCAAACATACGGCATGCAATCAAAAGATAAACAGTGGAGATCAAAAAAAATACACATTCGTTTCTTAGTGTAAAATACTACTCAATCAAAATGTATAAATAACTTCAGTTATCAGCAGTCAGAACGATTAAAATCGATGAAAAGAAAATATATAATATATTTTAAATCACTACAATATGGATGACCCAAGTGGCATGGACGCGGACGCGGACGCGGACACTAGACACGATCGACATTGATACGCCAACATTTCAAATTCTAAAATATATACAAAAAGGACACAAGCATGTGAACACGACTAATAAAGTGTTGGACACGTATCTAAGAGCGTTCGCAAAGCTGTCGGTATTCAACACAGACACGGCACCTTTGTAAAAGTGTTTGTGCTTCTCAATGGATGACTAGTTCTTGAATCCACTGTAAAGCAAAAGTAGACTGTGGTCTAATTATTCTATTCACTTACTGTTATGTAAACATCTACAAGTTCCTGTCAAATAGAGATAAATAAGACGGCTGACACTTTCATGTATCATTTTTTTTTTCAAGTGAATACATACATTCTTGTATCATGTTGAAACTAATAGAACAGTATTATATTTTTTAGGTGTTTCAAGGGTTCTCCATGGTGTCTGGCCCAGAGAGAGCATTTATCAGGTTCACACGCAGATCAAAAATAAATAAACCCCAATACAAATTCAAAAACCTATACTATGTTAAAGACCTATATGTTCATTGCTCTTTCCAAGATTTTTCCATCAAGCTTAAACAAGGCATACATATGGATTTAGATTCAAAAAAACCAATCTAATGAGGTAAAAAGAAGAAAAAAAAAAAAAAAAAGGTGCTCAAAATCATCACAACCAAGCACTGTTTAGTTCAAGTCTCCTGAAGGTAAAAACAAACTGCAGAACACATAGTACTATCTACTAACAGGGCATTACAAAAACAATTTCATATAGTAATCAAGTGGCAGACATTTGTACAATGCTGCTAGGAATCAGAAATGATTAAAATCAAAAGAAAAATCAGAGTTAAACAATCATACACATCAATATTACTTTCAATGAGTTAGGTTAGCAGATCAGATTGTAATATTTGACATGGCAATTCAAAAGCATCAAATACAGATTGTACTTCTAATTCTAGGGTATTCAGAGACATTGGTGATCCGTTAGTCTAAGGGTGTTCTCTGAAAAACCATACAAATCCCATCATGTTGGTTTTAGAAAACACCCTTAGTTCAACCTTAAAATTTAAATGCGAAGACATTCGTCATACCTCAAGAAAAATCAAAGCTTATTTCTTTGTCATGGCCCAATGAAGCAAAACTGAGGAATATGTTTTTTAATCACCACCCATTTCATCCACCAAACTCTTCATCTGATGCGAGCAATGTCAGCAAAAGGCTCTGACTTTGTTTTCAATGCAGACTTGGCCAATTCAGGAGTCCCGAACACATTCCATATTCTTAATGTCTCATCTGATGCAGCAGATGCAACCGCATACCCATCTGGACTCTGTAATATATCCAAGAAGAGGGGTGAGGGGAAAAATAGAACTCCAATTATTCAATAAAACAATAACTGAACTATATAATTTCTTTCCAATTCATAGAAATCAAATTAAACAAATTTATTTATAAATAACCCATGAATGATATATACCTGAGCCGTGTAGAGAACTCTTGAAGTATGACTATAAAGCTCTGTAATCTTGACCATAGAAGGGTACTTCCAAAGGGTGAGTTGGATGTCATTGAAGCCATGAGAACTCGAAAGCTCATGCTCATGTTTGTTCCAAAGCAAGCAACAGACCTGTGACCCTGTATTCATGAATTTCAACCGTACTCCAGTGTTGGTGTTCCAAAACTTTATGCACTGATCCCCGGAACCACCACCAGAGGCAAACAGATTACTCTGGAAAGGACACCAAGAGAGAGCTTTGACAGCAGCTGTGTGGCCTTCCAGGCGGTGAAGCCATTGATTGGAAGAATTTCTAGAGGCCATTGAGTTGTGCCATATGTAGACCAAGTTGTCATTCCCTCCACTTGCTAGTTCCTGGCCTGATGTAGACCATGTCAGTCCACAAACCTCTTGACTGTGTCCCCTATATGTTCCAACAATGTGTGATCTTATTCTTAAATCGTTGTTTATGATCAAATTGTCCAGTCCCCCGGTTGTCAGGATGTTATTGTTCCAATCAAGCGAACCAACCCTTAACGTGTGTCCATCTCGCTCCTCAGCTGTTCAGAAAAACCAAACAAATTAGTTTTTTTTTTTTTCGGAAAATAACCAAACAAATTAGTTGTAGAACTGGCTCCACACAACTTTCAAAACTAATGCCTGGAGCATGTATTGGTTTCTAGAATGATTAAACATGCTATATTTATTTGATGCTTTACATAGATATAATAATATAATGCCTTATTAAACCTTGCAGTTTACTTACTACCACTTAACTTCATATTACATCAGTACGCTAAAGCAATAGCATGATGATAATACCAGACATTGTCAAATAAGGCATAAAAGATGCAAGTGGCTTCACATGTAGAGCTACATATTTTCTTTTATTTTTTCCACAGAAAAGGCATTTAGAAAATCTCACAAAAACTTAGTCCTTGTTCATTGCCAAAATGTCATGAGAAAAAATAAATAAATAAATAACAATATAAAGAGTCCCTTGGGTGCACCTTTTCACAATGCATCTTCTTATTATCTATAATAACCAATCTAAAGAATGAAAAGCATCATATATTGACCCCAAAAAAAAAATTACTAAATAGCAAAATTGATATAAAAACACCTACCATCCTACTAGCCAAAGCATCCCACATATAAACATAGGGATTATTCAAACCAACAGCAAGGTGTCTTCCATCCAGTGCCCACCTGACACTTGTCACAGGCCCAATCTCCTCAGCAAAGGAAACAAGTTCAGACGTTGAGCCATCAGCGGCATGCCACAAATATACTGAATTCCCAAGAGCGATAGCAACAATGTTGCTGCTACCCCAATCCAGTAAATTCACGTAGAAGTCATCTAGGAGCTCAGGAGCATCAAGAATGGATTGAAGGTAAGAAAGGATAACTCTTAAAAGCAAGTATCCCCAACCAGTCTGCAATGGATTTTGACTTTGCACATTGCATGCTGAATGGTGGGAAGGTAAATGGATTTTGACTTTGCACATTCCATGCTGAATGGTGGGAAGGTAAGAAGGATAACTCTTAAAAGCAAGTATCCTTGTTCTGTTCATGTTGAAGATCTCTGCAAGCTGCTTCCTGTAAGCTTGTTTGAATGGAGACCACCGTTCAGAGTTATCCTTTCTTACCTTCCCACCATTCAGCATGTAATGTGCAAAGTCAAAATCCATTGCAGACCGGTTGGGGATGAACCGATCAAACTGCCATTTCAAAAGAAACAAAATTCAGTATGAAGTTGAAGGAGAATCTAATAAATGAGCCACGATTCAAGTAAACAATTGGGAATTAATAAACCAGATATATATATATCAAAATTCAGAAGCAAAGAAAAGCTTGTCTACTCAACAAGAAAAGGTAGATAAAGTGTGTGTGTGTGTTGGGGGAGGAATGGATTTTGTTTTGAAATTTAATAATTTCATTATGTGGAACCTAAAAGCGAAAACCTCAACCCAACTACTTATTTGATTTTGTGATACAAGACAATATAGACCATATGACATAATATATTTTTCCATCTCTAGGGAGGAAGGACAAGCAAAAACAAAAACAAAAAAAAAACAAAACAAAACAAAACAAAAAAAGCAAAAAACAAATGGGTACTATCAAATATTCATAATCTGAAAACTTTCTCACCAGAAACAGAAAAAACTGCTAAGATCCAATAATTTTACTTATAATTCAAATAAAAAAAACCAAAAATTAGACATTAAATGTGTTTCTCTAGATTACTAAACAGGAAACTCGACCTAAACAAATCTATAGGGACATGGATTAATGTGTAATGTATAATTTGAGGAATCAATAGAAATTTGGGAACAGAAACCCTAAATAACAGGACAATGATATTTAAAGAAATACCAACAAATTATATGAAAGAACCGGTAAATTTTCCAGAAAAACAGAAACCTACAATTATATTGAACATAAACAAAATAAATATGAAAATAAAAAAAGAGTACAAATAATGCAAGATAACGCCTGTATCACAATTTAGGAATGAACGTTGCAAGAAATAATAAGAAATACAAGAACAAAAAATTCCATGAAATTACTTCGAGAGGAATAGTAGTTACGTCTTCGCGCGAACGTTTCCTTGGAAACATTTGATCTGATGGAGGAAATCCCCACATCTTGTGATGAATTTGTGTATCCGTCTAAGAAACAACACACACATACACTACTGTTTATAGAAAAAGAATTGAAACCCCAGTAAAAGGAGCAGTGGAAATATTGATTTCAGTGAAACGGCTGTGTGTGAAGAAGACGGCGAAATATACAGTTATAAAGCCAGATTATTTCCATGAAAAATTACTTACGGCTAATAAAATTGTAGTGAAAAATAAATAAATAAATAATTAATTAAATAATAAAATTGAGGATAATTTCACTGACACCCCTTAAAGTGTGGCCAAATATCAGTCTAAAATATATTCCGAAAATAATTATCGCTCCATTTTTCACTTACACCCCAAAAGTTAGTTAATTATTTTTTATGATTGAAATGACATATTTACCCTTAATCCATCATCATTATCAACATAATCCATCGTCATCCATTGTCAACATGAATCCCAAAATAATTGCATAGTACAAACAGACATCGTCCAAGACACTCCACACACGCAGCAATCAAGTGGGGGAAGAACGTTCTATTCTGCTTGCTTGCTGCTTCTCCTCATCACTTCCACCATCACCACCGAAGTGGAATAAAGCTTCCAAAACAAATATAAGCTTCCAGTATACATTCTACACCATAAATCTCAATATCTTTTATTGTTTTCGTTTTTAAATCATACCAAATAAACCTTTCATCATCCTGTACAAGTAGTAGCAGTAGTACTTCCCCACCGGTTTTTGAAAAACCCAGAGGCTTCAAAATCTCAAATCCCAGAAAACAATTTAGTCCAAGATTCTTTAACTCCATACTCCTTCATTACCCATATATCAACACCTACATTGCGACTGTGGCACCAACCGATATTCTTCAACCCCAAGATCAAATACAGCAATCAACTTGGCCCCATCTGAAAAGCGTTGTCTTCATCTCACAACCCAATGCAAAGCCCCACTAACAAGTATAGCATTCGATGCCATATAAAAGAGATTATAAGGAAAATCTTGAACTCTTCTCCAGGAATTCAACTTTAGGCTGTAAACCTTAACTTCAGAGTCAAATGAATCATCACCATTGCCAACATACTCTGTTATTCTCACCACCTTGTAGTCATCACTGACACAATCATACCACAATTCACAGTAATTTATTTTCAGTTCTATTATCCATTATGGATTTTTTTATCACATTTTTATCACTGACGCACCTTGTAGTCATCACTGACACAACCATTGCCAACATACTCTGTTATCCGTTATGGATTTATTATTTTTGGTTCCCCCGTTTTTCCCTCTGCCGAATCAGTCTCGCACCGTTGCCGGACCAGTGCACGCACCTTCGCTAGTGATTTGTACAATCAATCAAGTTCTGCATCTCCAAATTTGTCGTCGTAGTTTCTGATTGCCGGAACAGTTATTGTTAAACTGTAAGTTCTGTCTCCTCGGTTCAGTCCGTGCCCACCGGCTCAGTTCGTGTCTCGCCGGGCACGACAGTTCTTGCTTCTAGAGGAGATCTATTAAGATCTTCACCAGAAACTTCAAACCCGGGCCATGGAAATCTTAGCGGTCGAGAAAGATCCATCACATCTTATTTATCCTCCACTCCATACTCATTAAACCATTCGGACGGAGACTATAATCCCGAGGCAGATCTGTGCCACACGAAGAGAAAACAAAATGATCCACCAACAGGCTCCTTCTCTCTCACTTCAATCCTTGCGGTCGATTCCTTCCTGAAAATATGGAAGATCTATTCAATACCCAGTTCTGCAACCGTGAAATTGCTCAAGTAGGGTTTTTCAACCATCTTTTTGTCTTCAAAAAAAAAATTACGAAAATGGGATGGATTCCTTCATAAACATCGATGAATCTTATTACCCAACTCTTGTTTCTACACCCAGCTCTCTTTTATCAATGGCTTTTTAGCCACAAACGTCAAGGGTGTCAACATCCGATTCACTTATCATAAATTGAAACAAATTCTACGTGTTGTTGATGAAGGAAAATGCTTCTACAACCACAAATCGTCCTTTGCATCCCCAAATTTCACAAAAATAGAGGTCGCACAGTTATCCAAACCCCCCCCCCCCCCCCAAAAAAAAAAAAATTCCTATCTCGTACTGTTGCCGGACCTGTGCATGCACCTTCGCCAGTGATTTGTACAATCAATCAAGTTCTGCATCTCCAAATTTGTCGTCGTAGTTTCTGATTGCTGGAACAGTTCTTGCTAAACTGTAAGTTCAGTCTCCTCGGTTTAGTCCGTGTTCACCGGCTCAGTTCGCATCTCGCCGGGCACGACAGTTCTTGCTTCCTACCGTTCCGTGCTCGCCGTCGTCACCATCTTCCATCGTCTACTCCTAATAGTCGTTCAGATCCGCTCATATATATATATATATATATATATATATATATATATATATAATTTGTAATTTTATAAAAAAAAGAATTAGGGACAAACATGTCTTTTCACATGTTTTTAACGGAGGCAGTAACGGAAAAGCGAAATTGGACCTAACTGATAGTTATTTTCGAAAGATGTTTTAGATTGATATTTGGCCAAACCTCATGGGGTGTCAGTGAAATTAACCTTAAAATTGAAATATTTGATTCAATTATTAATAAATTTAATGCATATCATTTCCATTAAAATTAAAATGTTTGATTTAAGTTTAACAGTATGTATATATGTAGGGCTAATCACGGATTGGATCGGTTTAGTATTAGGTAAAATTCAAACCAACCATGTCCTCGCGGAATGGCTAAATTTGAAACCGAACCGATCCGTGGGGACTCTCAATCCGAACCAAACCGATCCGTGAAATAACGGATTGGTTCGGTTCAGTTCGTTTCAGTTCGGTTCCACGGATTGAGCTTAACAGAACACAACTAAGAAAACTGAAATTATAGGCAAAATATTATTTTCGTATGAGTGATGCATAAATTTAAAGAGAAAAGGATAATATGTTATTGTTAACTCTATTTCGAAATACTGATTTTCGTCTGAGTCATGCATGAATTTCTAAAGACTATACATATTAATAAATGGGCTATGAAAATGATAAGGTAGAACTGAAACTAAATAAAAAGATGAAGCAATCAAGATTTTTTCCAAAAGAGAAGAACAAAAATTCATAGAACAAAATAATGAAAAACTTATGAACTCAATGGAAATTAGATGTAGATGAACAAGAAATAATATGTAAATTGGAGATGCTTACTTGTCTGGTTTCCATAAGAGATTAGGTTTGTGGGATTAGATGGGAGGCAAGAGACGCATGCAAATGAAAGGAATATAAAAACTAAAAAGTGTAAGTAATAAAGCATTTTTTGGTTCGTAAAACAATAAAATTTTGAAAACTTAATGATTAAAGAAAATAAAAACATCAATAATGTATTATACATATACTATATATTATTTATTTTATGTTATATAATATATGTATATTAGTTCAACGGATTGGCCACGGATCAGTTTACTGATCGGTTCGGTTTTTTTAGCACCTAATCCGTTAACCCGTTCGGTCACTACAGTTTACTAATTTTTCAATCCACCACCGAACGACAGCATTAGAAAACCAAATCGAACCACATAGATCGGATCGAATCGGTACAGTTTAGCGGACTGTCGAATTATTTGAACACCCCATGTATTGGCGTAGATTGAGAAAATTAAGAAAAGTCACAAATCCAATTTACTGCTACAATTTTAAAATAGCAGTTCTGTTATAAGAGGTTAATTGAATAAATTCTTAAAATATTTGAAAAAAATCACATTATTTTCATAAAAAATTATTTTAAGCACAATAACCTCCACCGTCACTAACTTTATGTGACCATTAAGTATATCTTGAAATTATTATTTATTTTAAAATTTATCTTGAATTTTTTCAATGAAATTTGAGAGAGTATAAAACATCTTTGAATTATGAATTTTTTATTTATTTATTTATTTTTTTTTTGGCATGGGTGACATGTACAAGGCGGTGAATCGGTGATACTCAATTTTTATTATAACTAGTAGGTTTTTTCTGTAGTTAATTTTTTTTTTTAAATTTTTCTTAGAGCACGTATATTAACCCCACAATACACACATTATTCAAGTCAGGAGTGCGGTTCGAAAGCTATACCTCAATGACTTATCTCTCGTATTCCTGCCAACACCACTATGCCCCTTGGATTTGCAATTAGCTCAATACCATGTGATTTTTATGTGATATTTTAATAGTTTATTTCATAGCGATAACAATTTTTTTTTTTTTGTAAAGTACACTAACACCTAGGTTTGGGGTAAGGACATCCAGTTGAAAGTTTGTATATTTTTGGACAAAGACACCCCCTCTTGAAATTTATCATCCAAACATAGCCTTAAAACATGTGAAAAGTCCACTTTACCCTTCACTATTTTATTAATTTTAATTAAAAAATATTAAAATACTTAAATAATCAACTTACCCTTTTCATGTCTCTATCTCACACTATGTATGATATATAAACAACCAGAGTCACCACCACCCACTAAAGAAGACGCCGAAGAGGAGCTCTGCTGCCACCACCTTCTCGACCTCGTCGGAGCTCGGCCTCAGTATGGGCGAACTCAGCCTCTGTGAATCCCTACTGTAACGGGATAGATCATCGGGAGAGATTGGTGATTTCAATGGCGGCCATCAATTCCGACACCGGTGAAGCTGTGTCCGATGGGTCAACGAACATATGGTTTTGGTGTAGTGGGATCGCCGCCGTGAAGGTAACGAGTATGGGCTCGAATGCTTACCTTCGAAATTTTCGACAGTGTTCTCGGAGTTGAATTGTCGGCAGAGAGATTCCGTTTAGCTTCCAAGATGACAGAACTTGGCTTGCTTAGAGATTGCTCTAGCTTGCCTCTTCCAAGATCTCCCCACTGATGAACCATTTTATGACCGAGGAGTAGAACTCAGATTTAAGGATTTTGTTTCACCCAACGAATTGGGGGGGATCACAGCCTCTAACGCTGGGGATATGTTGGTAGACTGAGGTTAAGTGAAATTGACATCTTGTAGATAGTATTGTGTGGGTTAGTGAGATATATATATAAAATTATCCTTGTGTGTGTGTGGATATATATATGCATGTATCTATAGATACATATATGTATGTATATATGTGTATAAAAAAAAAATGGAAGGATAAATTAGTGATTGGGTGGAATTAGAGCCGACTCGGTTGGTGTTAAGCTATGTTTGGTACGGTGGGTTTAAAGGGAAAGGATAATATTAGTTATGAAGAGAAGAGAAGGGAATGATGATTTTAACCTCCTATTGTATTTGGTTGATTAATGAAGGAAAAGAAAGGGAAAGATAATAATATATATATATATATATATATATATATATATATATATTAAATATAAAAGGGTATAATAGTCAATTTATTAAAATAATTCCCTTTCCTTTCATTCCCTTTCTTTTCCCAAACATGATTATTATATATATATAGTCTCCTATACCTGCACAAGAAAAGAAAAAAAAAAAAATAAATAGTAGGGCAAATCATTTTAGCCTCCCCAATCTCGCCTTCATCTCTATTATTATTATTATTATTATTATTATTATTATTATATATAGTGTCCTATAACTGATGGGCCACAAGAAAAGAAAATAAAAAAAATAGGGCAAATCATTTCAGCCTCCCCAATCTCGCCTCCATCTCTATTCTCGTTCTCAACTCTGAACTTGCCCTCTCTCTCTCTCTGTGCATTACAAGAATCAGAAGTTCAAAACCTATATATTTCAATTTATCGGTATATCATTTCAGATTGTTCAGAAAATCAAAACCCATATCTTTCAGTTTCCATCGCCGCTATTCCAGTTTGGGTTCGCCGTTCACAAGCTTCAGCTGCTGGCCCGCCGTCTCTCATTCTCTCTGCAACTGCTAACTTGTATGTATATTGTTTTGCAAACTTATGTAATCTTAAGGGTAAAATTGGCACCACAACTCCTCCATCAACCATTGTCTTCACTTTCCTTCCATTTCCTCCCATTTTTTGGAGGATAAGAGAACTACTGTATAAACCTATACATAACCCTCAAAAGCCTTCCCTCTCCTTTCTTTTCCTTCCACCCATTTTAGCCAAACACAATTTTTTAAACACCCTCCATCACCTTCCTTTCCCTTTCCTCCATTTTCCATTGCACCAAACTGACCCTTAGGGCTACGAGGAGGAAGAGAGAACGGGACAGAAATGGGTAGGGGATAGAAAGGTCATTTTAACATTCAAATTGGTCACTATAAAAGTCAAAGGGCAAAAATGTCAACTCATTACCACTGGGGTGTCTTTGGTAGTTGTTTCAAACTTGAGGGGGTGTCTTTGTCCCAAAATAGGGTAAGTTGTATCTGTGTGTTCTTTTGGCAAACCTCATGGGGTATTAGTGTACTTTATCTTCATTTTTTTTTTTTTTTTTTAACGACATGCAATGCACCTCTCATTTTTTCTTTTTCTTTTATTTTTTTAAAGTGGGGAATCAACTCTTAACCTCCTACTTTGGTACAGGAGATACACGGGACTCTTGTTTCTGGGGGTAAGTTGCCGAGAGAGATGAAGAGGAGGTGTTTTATAAAACTTTCATTATTTTAATGACAGATATTTGTTAAAATGAGTAATATGCATTTTATATTTCAAGAGAGTTTTGGTGCAGTTAATTATGCATAAATTTTATTATGTAAAATGAATTAAAAAAAAAAAAAAAACTATGAGTATTTACCAACACCAGCAAAGGTCCTCTAGCCCAATTCTACAAGATGATAAGAGCCTTAATTGTCATACACAAATGAAAATTACTCATGAATGTAATCTCACTCTAATTTACAAAATACCACTAGCATGTCAAGAAGGAAATGAACTGACCGCTAATTTATACATAGGAGCACTGAAATGAGTCACTTTCTTTGCACATAAATTACCACTACCCATACAATCACACTCTTTTAATTTCTAAACTATTCTAAATTCCAGTTGGCTCTGGTGATGCATGACTGCATGTATTACAGATATTGTCCATCCTCGGCTGTGCGCGAGCTTTTAAAATCAGAATGTCCAAATCTTGAAGCTGCAAAACCATATGATACAACAACTGCAACAAGGACGCCGAATACAATGGTGAATAACTGGAAGGTAGCAAGCAACTCCCCTCGGACCTGGTGGTCCATTGAATGACATGAGATCTGGTCTCCGTTGAGCCGACAACCAGCTGGCATCATGGGGCCATATAGACTGAATGCAGTTTGATAGAACCAGAGGCCTTGAAGTGTCATAGCAATTCCACAACACAAATCAACTGGGAAGCTCGTTGAGATGAGGGCTGCAGTGACGGTGGACAAAATGCAGAGGGCTATTAGGAGGACAAGGAGGAGGTGGTAGTATCCTTCGAGGCCTTTGTGGGTAGTTGAGTGAAAGTAGAATAGAATATACTCAACACAGAATGCTGTGGCAGCAATCAAGCACAAAGCTCCTTGTGGCAATGGAAGAAAGCTGAACAAAGGGTAAAAGGGTGTTAGACTTAATACCAAAGCCAAAAACTCAATAAAAGGTGATTGTGATTAGTAAAGAAATAAAAGCCAAAAAAAAAAAAAAAACAAAAACAAATTACATTACAAGGATATGATGTTAATACATTGCAGTGAATCATTTATTTAACAAGTAGTGGTGTAAGTGACGATATTGATGCACTAGACTTGTAAAAATGCATGCTTAACTTTCAGCTATAAACTTTGTTTCACTTCCCTTTTTGAGCATGACTATTGTTATGTGCGCTCAACCTTCGTTTCTAAAATGATTACAACTACAAACAATGCCTTGACAAAGCGATGTTCATGAAAACCTCCTTAGACGCCAACTCTAGAGACTCCAATATTTGATGCCCAATTCCTGAAGTGGGATAATACACAAGTCAACTGCCTCGCCCCTCTAAAGTTACAAAATATTTGGAATCAAATATTCACATGTTATTTAGATTTACCAAAATTGAGATGTAAATAGATTTCATTCCTGGACTGTGCATAAAAATCCTCTAAGGGATTCATTTGACTAAAGATCAAATAGACAGTTGCCTATAATTTTATTTTTCCTTGTCCTCCTTAATAAATAAAAGAATCTATTTGTAAATAAATTGAAGAGTTATTCTTGTGCCTATAGTCCTTTAATTTGCAAAAAGAGGGGAAAAAACGTTTGGCAGGGAAGGTTAACCTGCAGACATATCTAAGCAAGTTACTTTTATTTAAACCTATAAAATGTACTGAAACAATCGACATGCAATGTATTTTCAGAATATTTCTTCAATTTTGTTGGTTTTAAGGGTAACTTTATTGAATTTTATATGGTTTAAATGAATGCATATAAAAAATCCCCCATTAGGTTTCTGAAATTCATTGCTACACTGACCTTCTGTCAGTGGTTTACATTCAAATTGCACATGAAATTATAAATATTTTTCCATGCATGGAGTGTTACTAACTACATTAACATTCAAATCTATGGTACAACAAGAGGCAATTTTTTCGACATAGGTTAGATTATCATAGTTACTGTTACAGGGCTAAATTACACCACGAATTTTTGCCTCTGTAATGGCACTTGGGGCCACCAAGTCTCAGCCAACACAACGCTAACAGTTACTAAGGCACCAGGTCTCTTGGAATCTGAGTGCAAGGTGCAACATGAGCCACAAGCATAATTGAAGGCGCGTGTGTAAGGTAAAAATAAAAAAAAATAAAAAAAAGCACAAAAGTCCTTTTGATCTGGATATGCATTGACAAGATTAAATACCATTAAAGTGTGCAATAAAAGCAGTAACCATGTAATTTAAACATGTATTATATTAGGATGGAAAAAAAAAAAAAAAAATCAAGCATAGGACTTGATGTAAGTTTTCACCATAAGCTCTTAAATTTTTTAAAACATACATAAGATTAAACAATGAGATGCATTGAATATGACAATGATGTGAAGTAGAGCATGTAAATTCATATTCATTTGAAAAGACAAAGAAAACAATATGAACAAATGATTAAGAAATAAGAGGCATTTTTTTGTAGCCTAGAGTCTTGTTAAAAAGCGCAAGCCTTGGCTAAAGGGTTTGACCCGTGATAGAATGAGAGGCTCTGGTTAAGCCTCGACGGGCGTATAACTTTTTTAAAGCCTAGGCATTCCTTTTGTAACTATTATTATTTTCCCTTTTACCACATAACAAAAATGTAAAATAAATACTAATGTATTAGGAGTCATTGACATTTCTAAGGGCAATCGTCGTCGCTGCAGCACACAACAGTCCTTATTTCCTACTATAATCACATATTTCACATCTCTAATAGTTATAAATTCTTTGACAAATAATAAATTCTGTTTCACTGGCCTCTCAAAGATGAAAATCTTAACTTTAGTAAGCTAAATTTGTGTTGTCCGAAGGTGAGTGAAAATCTAGTTTATAGGCCCCAATAAAAAAAAAATTAAGGGTCCAAATTATTTGTTATTTCATTTTTGCAGAAACTGAACAGATTCTTTTATAAAAATTTAAATCAGAAAAAGTTTAAGAAAATTAAAGCAGAGAAAGGCTGACCTGGTTTTCTCCGAAAGCAGAGAAATGACACCGAAGATGAAGAACATGAGAAGCATCCCGCCATGCTCGAAAATGTTCATGTAAGTGGGGTTCAAGACACCATTAACAAAAAACTTGAGGTGGGTTGAATACAGAAGCTCTATGCACATATCAATGAAAGCCCCAATTGCTACAACGTAAAGCTCCAAGTACTTGAGCCTACCATCAAAACCCGGCACAGGATTCCAAATCCTAAACTGAAATGACTTGGGGTTCGATACATACCGCATCATAGAGCTCCATGTGTGCCATACCCCAACTAAAAGAAACAATGTCCCCGGAAGAACATGCCCCATGAACGACCCCATATTTTTTTCTCTAAGACTCCCTTTATTTCTAATCAAACATTTAAACCCATGAATGATCTCTCTCTCTCTAATCTATCTATCTATAAGCAATCAACCCTAACCAATTTAAGGGTTCTTTGACTTCTTTCATAACTACTCTTCTATTAGGATTGATTTAACTAAAACTACAAAATAATTGATATGTTGGCAACCACTATTCTATTTCTACTCTCTCTCTCTCTCTGAACCAATTGTGGACAATAATAATCTATAAAACAGAATGCGGAAGCATTAGAATCTCTTATCTTCCTTGCAATCAACCAATTGAGTTCCTGTTCCAAAGAAATTTGTACCTTCAATCAAATTACTTTTTCAAAACACTTTAGCACTTTAGAATTGATGAAATTGGTGTGAAATTTTGGGTACTTTCTAAAAGAATCTTTAGTGTCTCTTTCCTATTGCTAATTGTTTTGCTTTAGACTGAGTAAACACCAACAAAGTCAATAATGGAAGCTTGAAAAGGACCTTTCAGTGGCAATATTGCAGAATTAAACAAACACAGATCTATAGTTTGTTCCACTTTGTTGAAATATAGTAATTGAGACTTGAGATCATTGAAGCTATAAACAGTACATATACATATACATATAGAGAGAGAGAGAGAGAGGGAGAGGGAGGGTAGAGATTGAGGTACCTACTTTGAAATGGTTGATTTTCGTTTTGATCCTTGTATGGGGACGATCAGAAAAGTATACCAGAGAATGAATTTGAAAAAAGAAGGAAAAAGAAAGAAAAAAGTTTAGAAAGAGAAAGCTGTGAAGTGTGAGTTTGATTAAGGAAGTGTGGATCAGATGACAATTTTTGGGTACGTCAAAAGGAAAAGGGTAAAGGAGCGCTGATAATTGTATACACATCATTTTCATAAGCGTGTCCATACTCTTTTCTGTTGCTAAAGTAAAAAACAAAGGTACATTTTGATTGGGGTTCAAACTTGGGTTGGTTTCCGGGTCAATTCTAGTTCAACCCGTGCTATAAGCTATGTTGTTTAAGTTCGGGTTAAATTCGAGTTAGAATATGTTAAATTTAATTGATCTTCTATTATTTTTAGTTTTATTTTGAGTAAAGAATTTGTATTATTTTACACAGCTATTTTGTTTGGAAGTAAAATATATATATATATATATATATATATATATTTATATTTAGTTATCGTAAAATATTTACAAACAAAAAAATATTAAGATTTAAGCTCTATTTGTTTGAATGTAAAATATTTTTCAGAAAATATATTTTTTTTATTTTTTGGTGTTTGGTTGTCGTAAAATATTTACGAAAAAAAAAAATATTAAAAATTTAATAAAAATAACTTATTCATTAATTTTTGGCAAGTTATTTTACATGCTCTATCCGATGGACTCAACCTCGACGTAGACCTTTGCCAAACACCTAAAAAATAAAAATAAAAAATATTTTACCTGAAAAAGAAAAATATTTTTCAAAAAGAATATTTTACGTCAAAACAAATAAAGTCTTAATCAAAATAACTTACTCATCAATTTTTTGTAAGTTTTTTTGCACGTTTCACTCGATGAATTCGACCTCAATCTTGACTTAGATCTTTGCCGAACACTGAAAAAGTAAAAATAATTAAAAAAAAAATTAACTAAAAAAGTAAAATCTTTTTCGAGAAAAATAATTTACGTCAAAACAAACGAAGCCTTACTGATATTGAAAACTGAGTTCATATCATCTTACATTACTCTTAAGCATATTTTTTTACAAAACTTAACTTGAAATAGATGTAATATTACGCAAAAATGCAACAAATATTACCAAACATGATTATCTACTTTTTACTTAAACACCAATAAAAATACAAAATAAAAATGATTACCATGCGAAAGATGCTGAGTAACTAAGTCCATGGTAAATGAGGATATATATATATATATGCCTATAGAAAGGAAAAATAATGCTTTCACCATTTGTATAACACCTTATTTTTTAAGTAATTAAAGTGTTAAAATTATTCTTCAAAGTTGGAGTGCATGTGTTGTTGTGTACTTTTCTTTGATAATGGTACAATGCGATTGTGTTTTGGAAGAGTAATTATGTCATTTTATTTTATTTAAAATAAATAAATAGATATTTATAGGAAAATATCCCAATATTTAAATGGGAGTATAAAACACATTCTTCTTCAACAACCATCATGGTTGGCACTTAGGATGGGCCATGGAACTAGTTTATTATTATTAATTTTTGTCTTTTTTGTCGGCAAAATTCAAATCCAACCGCCAAGACACGGCATTTGGGATTGAGAAGGAACCAGCACTTCTGCAGTGTCTTCAAGTGCATGTAAAAATTATATAATACTATCACATTGAGATCCAACGATAATGCTGCACCAATACAACACTTGGCGCAATAATCCATTTATTTCAATCATGAACACTCATAGTTGTTAGATTACAAATTTACCCTTATAACTACTCAATTTATGTACGTAACAAAATATTGTGTGAGATCCGGTAGCAATAGTTTAATATTATAGTAATTTAAGTGAAGGTAATAGTGTAATTTTATAAATATATACATAAAAATAGATAAAATAATAGAGTATATTACTTTCTTCACTCTTCATTTTTTTTTGGTACTTGTTAATAGTTCCTGCCTAACTATCATTATTCACCCAACCCAAAATTTCTTATATAGAATCTTATGTAGTCTTCATTTAATATATAGTTCCTTTATTTTTTTTATTTTTGTCATATTCCTTTATTTTTAACCGTAGTATTTTTTATAAAATAGTATTGCATCTTTAACCAAATGTTATTGCATTTTTAATATAATAATATTTCACATGTAGAATAAAATATAGTACAAAATCATAAGGAATGGGCTCAAGTGATAAGTTAAATTACTTGGGACTAGTGCAAACATCTTAAATCAATTTTCTTTGAGCAGAGATAATTATTTAGAACTACATTCATACGTTCACAGGTGAAAATTTCGAACTTCATATGACTGACGTGGAGAGACGCTTTGCAGGTGTCTTTGTACAATATATATATATAAGTGATAGATTTGAACTTTCTTACCTACCTTTAAAAGATTTAAATTAACCCCATATTAATGGTAGAAATTTATTATCATCCTTCAATCTCTTAATTTTCTTGAATAGATGAAATACATATTTTTTAGAAGCCTGCAACCTTTATGTAACATATGAGTTGAACTTGTTTTTGTTTCTATTGCATTCTATCTCATTGTATCACATTATGTTTTGCGATATTTGAGAATCATCGTCATTAATACCTCGAGTAGGTAGCATAATCCTTTGTTCTAATATATATATATATATTTTCCTTTCTTCTATTAATTATTATTTAATTAAGTGAAATAAATGTTATACATTATGATACGATTCATACATATGACATTTATCACTTCAGAATGATTCTTGAAGTGTAATATTGTAATGTTATTAACACGGCATTTTGGATAGAATTAGGTATAAAATACTTATTAATGACACATTTTAGATTTCATATTTAAAATCAGCTTTATATGATAGAACAAATCCCTTTTTATTTATTTATTTCAAGAATAAATCTACTTTAGGCTATTGTAAGTGCAATGTTTGGTGTCTAGATTAGCAATTATTATCGGCATAGCAACAAGCCAACAATAATTTGTTTGTGTTGACAAAATCCTATACCCCTCCAAAAGATTAAATGAAAAGAGAGAAAAGCCTTAGATTCACTTTCATACCACCTATATATTTTCTTTCTTGTTATAGTTTTACTATTTTGATGCATTCGAATTAAATGATTTCCTTGAGAAGCTATAAGAACCCAACAAAATGGAACCAGTCAGTCAATCAATCAACTTTTCTCAAATCATTATTAGTAATAATGGGTAATATTGGTGATTGTATTTGTCAACTACTTAAATAGAGAAAAGCTTGTAAGAGAATCCCAAATTGTGCTCCTAAAAGGTATTTATGCTTCCTAAAGACACAACATATCAAAAGCAAACAATAAATTGAAATGATATGGAGGAGAACTCTTTTCCACCATTGAGTAAATAAAATTTTCTTTCTTTTCATAGACTCCAGTGTTTAGTGGTAATTATTGGGAATTAAAGCCTAAATAAGCCTGCGTCTATAAATTTCATTTATTAGCTTACCATAAAATATATATTAAAATATAAGAAGCCAATTTGTCCTATTCATTTATGTATTAGGAAAAAAAAATAAAAAAATTTGTCATATTCATGAGAAGTTAAATGAAAGTTCCTTAATCTCAAAAATTGTTGTGGAACATTTTGTACTTACTTGGTTAAAGTTAGGAATGTCAATAAGGCGGTTATGGAGCTAGTTTGTCTAAATCCGTACTCGTCCCATTTAACTATGGATAAATTCATATTTATTCCATATCCGTGACCGGTTTTAATTTCACAATTCTTATTCACCCGTTAAGAAATGAGTGTACCCGCCCCGGCCCGTTTACACACACATATATATATATATATATATATATATATATATACACATATATATCATTGTTTACATTGTATAAAGTTTATAGATTTTATCAATTTATTTATATATATATCATTGTTTACATTGTATAAAGTTTATAGATTTTATCAATTTATTTATTTATTTATTTATATATATATATATATATATATTGTAAATAATGATATACTTTTATATACATGAACTTTATAATGTGTATACATCTATAACAGATATGTACATCTATATATATAAATTTTTTATTTAAAAAAATAAAATATAAAGAGTGGGGCGGGGCAAGACGGATGTTTCTCAAAACCCGTACCTGCCCCCTAACCCGTGATGGGTTTAAAATTTAAATTCATGCCCGTACCTATGGTACATAAACGGTTTACATACCTGTACCATTAAAGGCGGGACGAAACGGGGCTCCGGCGGGACGATACAAATTACCATCCCTAGGTTTAATTTGTTGAAAGCAATTTTAAAACATAAAAAATTAAACATTTAAATAACTAAAAGAGATTGTTTTTTAAATTGGACGCTTTAAAAACTTGTTTTTAGAAAATAGTTTTATGAAAATTGTCAACATAAATAAGTTCTAACTATTTTTTGTTTTATATACTTAGAGATAGACCCAAACATGTCCATTTTTTATTTTTATTTTTAAGTTGTATTCATAATTTTCACATGCAAATCATCGTATCATCATCCACTAAAGTGACATTTAAACGTGAAAAAGAGCATAAAGAGAATGTTTTCATGTGAGATTGTCCCACGAGCTGTTGGACATAGAACTCTCACTTGCACACCTTCCATACTATTAACTACAGGCATAAATCACCATAAGACTAACATTAAATTTTAGTACGTGTCTATATATTGTATATAGCAAGTCCATTTTCTATCATATCCTTACTATAACCAGTTAAATATATATATATAGATAAATTTCAAAATACTTCTAAATTATGACAGACAAACACGTTTTCTTAATATCTATGTAAGGGTGTGTGAGGAACCTTTTCGTTCTGTTATTTTACTGTTCAATTCTTGAAGTGTTAATCAAAATCGAATCGAATCGAAAACTAAATATATATTTTTTATATATATTACAATATTAATAAACAACAATATAACATATGTTACAATTATAAAACTACGCACAAGTCTGTAATGATATATTTTTTAAACCACACACAAAGATAAGGCTACTCTCGAATATTTTTTTTACTTCTAAATTTCATATTTTGCAAAAACAATACATAATAGCTCGTTTGCTTCAAAATTATAAATATATTTTATTTTTTTGTTGAGAGGTTTATTATTCTCCATTTGTTATATAAACTTGTATTTGATTTGATAAGCGAAATCCATATTGTTGGTAATGAGTTATTGAATTTTTTGTTTTTTAGAGAGAATAATAAAAAAAAAACTATGGTTTGGAGCTGAACTGAACTTTCTTTCATGATTTAGGTCGGTTTGGTTCTAAGTCTCAACAGTTTAGATTCTAGTTTATAATTTTTTAGGAACCGAATAAATCGGTTCGGTTTTGGTTTATTCAAAAAACCATACCGAATCGGACCGTATGCATTCCTAACTCATATTAGCCTAAGACATGTGTACGATACAACCACAAGACTCTTAATGTTATGTTTGGTTAGGGGACGGATTGAGAAAGGATGAAAGAAAGGAGGGATGGATGGACTTTCTCATGTTTGGTTAAAAGGAAGGAAAGAGATGGAAGAAGTAAGGAGGGATAAAATATCCATCTTTGCTTTAATTTTTTTATCCTTTTAAAATTAGACGAAAGAGATGAGAAAAAAAGGAAATAACTACCTAAATATATATAATATCAATTTTTTTAAAAATGTGTCTTTTTTTATAATTTTATACAAAGAGGATATATTGATAAAAATATATAAAAAATATCATTCCCTTCGTTCAAACGAAAAAAGAAAAAAAAAAATTATGTCGCCCCATCCATTTTTCTCCCTATCTCTTTCATCTAACTAAATAGAAAGTGATGAGACACATTTCATTGTCTAGGATGCCTCATTCATTCCTCCCATTTTATTTCGTTTAGTTTTTCATTCCTTCAACCAAATTAAACATATGTTACGTTCAGAAGCATTGTAATTTAGACTCCGTTTGTTTTGATGTAAAATATATTTTAAAAAATATTTTTTATTTTTATTTTTTTTGTGTTTGGTTGTTGTGAAATATTTACAAAAAAAAGATATTAAAATCTAACAAAAATAATTTATTTATAAATTTTCAGCAAGTTTCTTTATATGCTTCGTCCGATGGATTCGACTTCAACTAGGGGTGCCATTTTTTGCCGCCTCGGCCCGTCCCGCCTCGTTAATAACAGATATAGAAACACCTTTTATATCGTTGAGGCGGACATGAATACAAATTTTGTACCTATTGCGGGTCATGGGGCGGGTAAGAGTTTCAGCATACATATCCACCGGGGCCCTGCCCTGCCCTGCCCCGCCTTCCCACCCGCCTCGCTAAGCGTATAACTATATATATATATATATATATATATATATAAAACTTTTTTTGAATGTAAACTTGATATTAAATTTACTTTTGTTTTGGTTATGGTGAAAGTTGGAGTATAAAACTTTTTGTGATTTGATTGTATTAAACCATTATTTTTGTTGATTATGTTATCTGAATTATGTTATGTGCATGTTTTTTATTTTTATTTTGTTAGGATTCATAATTTCTTTTATGTCGTGCCATTCCCGGTCTTTCCACATTTAAATAGCAGTTCAGTCCAAAAAAGTGGGAGAAAAAATTTTGTTAGCGGGGTAGGCATGGACTTAACAAAAATTAAATAGGATAGGGCGGAATTTAGGGAAACCCACTCTAAACCTACCCCGTTGCTTTCCCTAACCTCAACTTCGATGTAGACTTTTGCTAAACATTGAAAAAATAAAAATAAAAGAATATCTTGTTTGAAAAAAAATATTTTACCTCGAAACAAACAGAATCTAAGTTAAAAATAAAAAAAATAAAATAAAATAACCACCAAACTAGAATTTTATTCAATTCCAAATTAATAATGCCAATACTCCAAACATAACATAAGAAAAACGTCCAAATTTATTAGCAACCCAAGTATGGTGAAGCCTTGAAGGTCACGACTCATGAAGGACCTATTCGTCATTTGAATGAAGAGTTTTGTACTCACATGTAAGGTAATGGAGCAGCTTAGCTGTGCATCGAAACGTGTAATCATGTCAGCTGCAAGCCTGCAAATAGTAAGGCCCTTTACGTCATTTCACAAGCATATCGTAATTTCGTTTACGGTAAAATGTTTTCTCAATTTGAGATACAAGATCCAATCAAAAAGTACCCTCGCACCATCATTTTTCAAAATCTGGAAAGCGTCACGAACGAAAGGAAGATTTAACATCATCCTCCAATTGTAACCTGCCAAGTGGCATTATATCCAAGTCATTGTCCTCGTTTGCTTACTTGGAACCTCCTCATTTAGTCAGTCAGAATCTTAGAGCACTTCACCTGTCGTTCGATCACCCCTCGGAGTCTCCGTTCGCCTCCGACTCGCCGTTCCGGCAGTTCGCCGGCACTTTGACTCACGACTCATTTGTCAAAAATACAGAAAAAGGAGTTTTAAAAAAAATACTAAACACAACGTTTTGTACTTGGCCTATTTAATTCAATTTTTTTTGATAATCCCATAGTTCCTCTCTCTCTAACTAATTCAATTGCTCTTAAAAAAAATTCTCTCTCTATTTCTCTCTCTCCCTGAATCTTCAGTGTAATTCAGGCGGCATAGATCGAGAGAAGCTATATCTCTCTCTCTCCTGAATCTTCAGTGTTATATATATATATACAAAAACGTTTGTATCTCTCTCTTTCTATATATATATACACTCATGCTCATGTAAATGTGTATATATATACAGCGGAGAGACGCACACTCTCTCTCTGCGGAATACAGGCACAATTCAGGCGAAGCAGATCGTGCGTAATCGGTTGATGATCTTCGAACGAAGAACTGGGCGGAGGATTCTTTGGAGTTCTCGGAATCACCGCAATGCGGAGGCTCTGATTTGCCCTTGTGATTTCGATCGTTTTGGAGTGGACGAGTCTCGCGATCGTAGTTTTGAATTTTGAATTTCTGCTGGTATTGATAGGATTGCTTTGAAGAGAGGTTTAATTTCGCGGAATCGAAGGATTCTTGTTGTGCTGATGATTGATCGAGTTAGTTAGGTCGCGTTTGAATTGGTTCGCGAGAAATTTTCTGGATTTGTGTTTGCTTGTGGATTTGTGAGAATTTTTCTCGTAGTTTTTCATTTTGATTGGTTCGTTCGTTTTGGACTCTTTGAGAGAGTGAGTAATTCAATTGGTGGATTCTGTTTGTTTCAGAAGTAGTCCGCCATGTCCAAGGTAGTTTATGAAGGTTGGATGGTTCGGTATGGGCGGAGGAGGATTGGACGATCCTTTATTCATATGCGGTATTTCGTGCTTGAGTCTCGATTACTCGCATATTACAAGAGGAAGCCTCAGGATAATGTGGTAATGCCTCGATTTTGAATTTCCTAGTTAGGTTTCTGTTTACAGCTTTTTGATATTTGGTGGGATGTGAATTATATTTCCTTCTCGGAAATTATCATTACAGGTCTGAATTTCTTCTGCAAATATGCTTTTCAGCAAAGTAGGAGCATATTCTTTGAAAAAGCACTTGTTCTGTAGTAGTAGTAACTTAGCTTTCTGTGTCTCGTACTAAAATTGAACTGGAGAAAATAACATAAGAATCTTATCTGAAAGCATATAAGACTACATGGTTGCTTTGATGCAATAACTTTTATGACATTTGTACACTATATAATATAGGATTTTTTTCCTTTTGATTTCTTAATTGATTTGTAGATTTACTTTTGTGTTTCATTAGGTTCCAATCAAGACCCTTCTTATTGATGGCAATTGTAGGGTGGAGGATCGAGGCTTGAAGACCCATCATGGACATGTGAGTATATATGATTTGAAAATAGATGAATGGAACACTTTTTGGCATGATCTCCAAATTTGATGAACAGTGAAGATATTGATTAAATCCATACATCTTGGTAAAATCCATTTAAGTTTCCCTTGCTCCTAAGAACAGGACGGCCTTTGGCATGATCTCCAAATTTGATGAACAGTTAAGATATTGATTAAATCCATACATCTTGGTAAAATCCATTTAAGTTTCCCTTGCTCCTAAGAACAGAACGGCCTAAAATTTAGTGTTTATATGCCAAGGAAATGCTTGCTAAAAAAGAGGGAAGGATTCAGTATTAGGACGATCCTTGACATTTTTGTTTGGGCTATTTCCTTCTAGTTTAATGCTTTGCATTAGTGTGCCAATACTATGTTTTGCCTTCTTGACGTGGGATATAATATGCCAAAGAGTTCATTGAATCAACGTTATCACGTGAGACGGATGTGTGTCATCCATGGTGGTGACTGAAAAAGAAATCAATAAGAAAGACCTAAAAGTGGATGTGTGTACCTAAACAGTTGTCAGCATTATTACCTAAAATTTGGTTACAAAAAGAATTGTCAAGTAGTTAGGTTAAAGGATGAAAGATATCTGCAGAAAAGTGAGGCTGGAAGAAGTTAAAGTTTCATTTAGTTTATCCTCCCCCATTCCTCTTTGTTAAGTGAATAAAATGCAGCATGACCAGGGGTTACCATTCTCCTGTTACAGTTTGCTTCTTTCCTTTAGTGAGATGTTCTCCTCCTCCTCCTCATCCCTCTCTAATAATTGTTGAAGAAATTTATAGGAGATACTATTTCTTGTAAGATACAATATACCTTTGATGCACAAGGAGGATGCATATCAAGCTGGTGCATATCTGTCTCATATCATAGGACAGTATTGCTTATCATTAAGAGATTAACAACTCTGGTTTGAGGTCTTTTCTTGGATTGCATTCCAGCTGTTAGTTGGTTGTGATTGCCACAACTAGCCCGTGTTTTGATATTCTGAATGTTTTGCTATGGGGTGCTCTAAGAGGCCCTACACCACCATCGTCAACCAAAAAAAGAAGAAAAAAAATCCATGCATCTCATTGTACCAATTCCATGGCTCATTTCTACAAACAACCTCTGGCTCCTACACTTTACCCTGACTTGTTGGTACTGTATCCCCAAGCACATGCCATAATTTGTCTTTCTTCTACTGCAAGGAACTAATTTCATCAAACAACAATTTATTATTTCATGATTTATTAAGTTGAGTTGTATCTTTACCTTATAAAATATATACGGCAAGCGTTGACATCCATTGAATATCACTTGCCGTTAGAAATACATCTTCTAAAACTAGGATGTTAAAGATATTAGAATTGTTGCCATAAGCTACTGCCAATTTGAAAGGCATGAAGCTTGTCTAGGACGGAGCAAAGTTGGGCTCAATGGGGGCAGCAACTGCTACTCAATTTCTTTTAATTCTAATTTTTCATTTATATTTTCCAATAATTTCAAAGTTGCCCTTCACAGAATTCCCAAAATCTCGTAGTCTTTATCATGGTTATGGTCTTTGCACCTTCAAGCCAAAATATATTAAAAACCTCAAATCTATTTCAGTTTATAATCAACTAATCATGAACCAAATCCAAAAGTAACTCCTAAATAATGGAAGTATTAAGTGTGATTTATGTTTGCAACCATGCAATTTAACTTCCAGCGAATCTGAATTCGCCTCCCTAGAATAAATTTCCAGCTCTCTCACTGAAGCAGTAATGCTTTCATCAAGTCATAATTTCAAGTTAGGTAGTTCAATTACTTGTCAAATGTATTTTTTATCTAGATATATTAAGTTTATCTTGCATATTATGACTCTTGTTATTGCCATTTTCGCTAGATATTTCAACTTTATGTTGCAGATCGTGACAATTGTTTTTCGCCGTATAAATATTTTTAAAATTTTTCAAAAGTTAAAATTCTGCTACATTTATGTTTGATAATTTGAATGATTATTTATAATGGTGTTATTTGGGTTCTAGTGCATTTATATGGAATAATAAGAATGCCTCCATAGGCAAATTTTTTTCCCATTACATTTTGAATTTTGTTTGGAATTCTAACTTTACAATTAATGAAGAATTAATTTTCTTTGATGAGAAATCTCCTGAGATTTTTTCTTGGGTTCGGTTCTCTTGTGGTATTGAAACAACAGTTGTATTCTTTCCATACCAGTGGTTTTGTGGTGCACTATAAATGAATGTATTTTAATGAATTTTTCTTGGCATTACGTCTTACCTATTCTGTTGTCTTGAGCAGATGGTTTATGTTTTGTCTGTTTACAACAAAAAGGAGAAGTACCATCGAATTACGGTGCGTGACCTTTGCTTTCCTTTTCTGTATTTGCTGATGAAGATATTGTGCTTGAAGTATGCTTTTTTATTTTTAATGTGTTCAAGTGATTGGTAATTTTCCTTTGCTATTACCTTTCTTTTCATTTTGGTAGTTTAATTTAATTATTCATGTCATACTTTTAAAAAAATAAAAAAATAAAAATTCATGGGGCCGTTGTTTTTTGCAATTGTGAAAGCTCGAGCTCTTAGGGGTGAGAACATGGGCTCCATATAAGGGCAGTTACTCTGCAATTAATCCAAAGTTAGGTATGTGCTTAGTCCACCACTGTTAGCAGCATGACTGATGGCACTGAGATTGGTTAATGGCCTACATTTGAAGGATTTAGGCACTGATTTGTCTAATGTATTGTATATAATATATATATATATATATATATATATATATATATATATATAAGCTGGACTTCCATTTAGCTGATGATTGCTGTTGTTCTGTAGCTGATATTTTCATTTCAATTTTGCCTTTATTATTTTCCCTATTATGAGTTGGTCTCATTGTTATGCAATGATTCCAAGGTTTAACTTATCTGAACTGCATAAATTCATTATGTTTGAATTGAACTTTTTTGAACTGACACCAAAAAAAGTTGCTTTTAAGAGTTGTATGACCTTCGAGTTATGTCAGCGCTGCATTATTATGCAGAGTGCCACTCAATCATATAAATTAAAATCAGGGATGACATGGTACACCATTCCCTGTACTGATCTTAGTAGTCATGCACAATGCTGCTTATCTTTCCTTACCCAAGAATTGGGGGCATAGTGAAGTGTACAGACTGGAAGTCATTTTAGGGAAGTTATGATGGTTATTTGATATTTACTAAACAAGCTGTACTGAATCTTTTATAATCTTTTTTTGCGTCCTTTAATTCTTTTACGTTGTGTTGTGGTTTGTCTTCTACGTCACAAGAATACCTCCCCAGTGGGGTCGTCAAAATGTAGATATCGAGTTCAATGAATAGGATGGAGGCATTACCAGCAACATGGCAGATGTACTACAAAAGGGTCCAAGGTGGCTGACCCCTAGGGTAGCTCTGTGGGGGGAGAGAGAGAGAGAGAGAGAGAGAGAGAGAGAGAGAGAGAGAGAGGTGGTTTTTTCTCCCTTTTAGATGTGGGCCTGGTGTCCTTTGTATAATGGCAGAGGAGTGAATAACCGTTGGGTAATGACGTTGGTATTATCAAAGACCATAGCTCAAAGTCTAATAAAGTGGTTGTATGCAATTATATTAGGCGGAAACCTAGGATAGCCCGCGATAGTCTGCTCGAGGTTTATCATTAGAATAGGGGTTCCTTGAGGTCTTCAAGCGACTCTAGAGGATGAGGTGTGATATAGATCTTTGGGAACCACGTAAGATCATTTGGATGCTGATGTGTCCATATGCTCTCGTTGCCGCGTGTTCACCTAAGCCTAGGTATCCATAGATTTCTTGTAATTTTTCTAGTGGTTGGCATGCAGGTAATAGTTTTCCATATCAATTTTGGGCCTTGTTTGTCCTAACAAGTCTTGTCATTCTTTCGCACTTGCAAATAATTTTTGGTTCTCCAGTTTCAATTATACTTGTATAATTGCCGAAAAAAGTGATACAACTGTGAAGTATTACACGATTTTTTGGTACTGCAACAAGCATGTTTAGTTCTTGCTTTGCTTCTCTGGCTTTGTGAATGTTAGAATGAGATTGTGTTGTTTTAAGGCTAGCTTTCTGTGCTTCCTCGGTCATTGTGTTTTCCTTTATGTTTCATAATATTTTTGTTCTGACTGCTTTAACTTAATGGCTGCCTGGTGGAGAAAAATTACATGTATTGGTTGCACTCTTTTTCCAGATGGCAGCATTCAACATCCAGGAGGCACTTATCTGGAAAGAGAAAATTGAGTCCGTGATAGATCAGGTTTATTTTCTCAAAACTACGTAACATTACCCTGCCCCCATTTCATGTTTTCTGCTCCTAGCATCTCTGTTCAGGATTGCCTTTTCAAATTGTTGTATTCTTTAAGTTTTATTAGTCACAACAAAACATTTTTGGTGAACCAGGTCCACAATGTTTAATTTAATCTTTTGTGTGTGTGTGTGTGTGTTTTTTTAAATGATTTTCTTATAAATGTTTATCTACATGATAGATGATGGTTCATTTCAATCGTACCATGTAGTTTTGTAATATTCTTGTGTGGATGAAAGTGGAACTGATGGCATGTTAATGATGTGCAGCATCAGGGGTCACTAGCTAACGGCAACAAATACATTTCTTTTGAATATAAATCTGGGATGGATAGTGGGAGAAATGCTTCCTCATCAGATCATGAAAGTCAGTAAGTATCTGATTCAATTTATTTGCTGTGCGCATGGGGATTTTGATGGTGCTAGTGATAATATTGTTATTAAACTTTCTTCGCCTTTTCTTCTCGTTGCAACGTTCAAGTACTAATTGAAAATTGACTTCTGTAATTTTTCTTTTAATATCGCTCAGTGATAGTTTATTTATTTTTTGATAAGTAAACTTTTATAAAAGAGCGCTCAAAAGGGGAGCGAATCCCAAAGAAATACACAAGGCCAAAAAATGCCTCAAGTCTTCAAAGAAGCCAAAAAAACAACAATCTCCTCTACAGATCTATAATCTCTCCCTGAAACCCAACAAAAAAGAGTGGAAATAATAGAGAACTTAAGCATAAAAATTGGCTTCTCCTTTCCATTGAAATATCTCCTATTTCTCTTAAGCCAAATGCACCACCAAATACAAAGAGGCGTAGCCCTCCAAGCATCCCGAACGAGAGCCCCAACTGAAAAACCTCTCCAAGCCTCAATCAACCCTTTAAAGGATCGAGGCATGACCCAGGGAATCCCAAATAACCCAAGCATCAAATCCCAGCAGTCCCTAGCCATACTACAATGTAAAAGAAGGTGATCCACTGTCTTCTCATCACACAGGCACAAGTAACAGCGATTAACCACCACCTGATTCCTCTTCCTCAAATTATCCTGGGTTAAAATCCTACCCAAGACAAAAGTCTAGGCAAAGAAAGCCACCTTGAGAGGAGTCTTGGAGCGCCAAACAGACTTCTAAGGGAAATGGCCTCCAGAACCAGCCGTGAGACACCTAAAGAAGGACCAAACCTCAAAGCGGCCCTAAGAGTTAGGGTCCCAATGCCAACAATCAGAATCCCCAACCACAATTACCTGACGGTATAACAACTCAAAAAAACGAGTGACCTCCTCAATCTCCAAGTCCTGAAAGGGCCTCCTGAACTGAACATCTTAGGATAGTCTCTCATTATCAAGATGATAACAGTTAACCACCATGGCCTGTCTATTAGAAGCAATCCTGTAAAGCCGTGAGAAAGCGAGAGCAAGAGGAAGTGATAGTTTATTGATTCTAATTATATATCTACTTGCTATTGGAATGGTCTGAGTTACCTGCTACATTCCTCTACTTAGTGCTTACCAAATACCAACCGGAGTAAAAAATTTCACCTAATTGAGCACATCTAGCATATTTTTCACTGTAGCAGGATCACTATGATCGATCCGGTAGAAAAGAAGGAATAGGCATGGAGGATGTAACGGTAGTGTAGTAGTTAACGAGGGATAGGTAGATAAGGTGGTTTTCCTGGATATAGTGGAGGTATGTCAAGTGGGAGACAAGCACTAGAATACAAAGATAGCAGGAATGACATCATAATTTTCTGAAGTTGCCTAAGTTTATGTGGGATTCGAGGGCCTGGAATTTCTAACGTCGTGCTGCAGAAGATTTTCTGAGCTGCAGAGTCTGTGCTGTCTCTTAGGATGGAGAGTGTGATGTATGATTGCAGGATTTGGATTGTTTTTATGATGCCTCCAGACATTTCTGTGGTTTGTAATTGATATTTCATTAACTGTGTTTAATGGGCTGTTTCTCAGCTTATGCTGCAGTTCTACTGGAAGCTCTTGGGTGTTTATGAAAGCATGCTAAAATTCCCACTTAAGGTATCAATTAACAATTTATTGTTTGTTCAGATTCCATGAGAAGAAAATTTTGCGTGTTATTATTAGGTGAGAGGAGAAGAGGAGCCATGGAGTTGAGACCTGAGATCAAGTATCCGGCCTTTTAAGGCTTGATGTTTTGGTATTCCCAAGATCCAACAGACTGCATTAGGTTTGAGTAATTGGCCTTGTGCTTTCTTTATGGAATTGGGCAATTTTCTGAGGCATTGGCTATTTGGCTATTGCTATGATATTCTCAAGGTTTCTGTGTTGTTGGGGATAGTAGGTGTAACAGCCCACTTCACCACATAGTATGATATTGTTCTCTTTGGGTCCGAGCCCGCACGATTTTGCTCTTGGGTTTTACCGTAAAAGGCCTCATACCATCTGGAGTGTATCTATCCTACATATATAGTACTTTCCTTTTCCACATCCAAGGGATTGTGCGCCCATAGCCTGCCAGTGCCTCTCTCACACCCGCTCACAAGGTCGCCACAATTACCCCCTCTTAGGGGCCCAACGTCCTCGTTGCCCACACTTCTGGCTGGGTTAGGCTCTGATATCATTTGTAACGACCTACTCCACCACATGGTAATCATACCAATTCCCATACCCATGTCACAACTCCCATACATATACATGCATATATATAGGTAAAACATGGAATTGACCATTATATACACATAATCAACACATTTAAATCAAGTAGCACTTACAATCTCAAAGAGAGGCTAAGTTAAACACCCCTACCTCTTAAAAGAGCAAAACCAATTTCACTAAGGATGAAAATGCTCCAAACAAGAAACCAAAATTGTAGAAATATTTCCTTCGTCGAACCCATCGTTTTTCTCTTCTACAACGTCACTATAATCAAAGCCGAAGAGGGTCAAAATAGGGGTTGAAGGAGTAGATCTAAGAGTGAGGAGAGAGAAATGGAGATGGAGAGAGTTGTGGGTGGCCGGCCAAATGGCGGCCTTCTCTCTCTTCTCCTTTTATACTACCTAACCCTCTCCTCAAACGACCACATTGCCCCTTGACTAACCTAAACCTCCACCTTACCCTTGTGTGCTATATATACATCTATATCCCACAACATCCCACAATTGCCAAGTGTGTCCTTAAATGAATTTTAAATTGTCACAACAACTCCCGAACACTAGGCTCGGTCCGGGCCCACTTGCCTGACTTAAGAGAAACAACTCAAATAGCGATTTCATGAGTCTGGAAACTCCCGGAAAAGCTAGAAAAATCCCGGACACCCCAGAGCACCTTCTTCTTTTGCTAGGAATGATCTTAAGGGAACTAAAGTCGTTGTTGTTGTTCAATGGGTGATTACACACGTAGTATGTGGAGCATGTGATTGATATGTGTGCAGACTTGTGTTGAGGATCTTATGTTTAAGGTGTTGTGATTGAATCTTTAGAAATACCCTCCTGTATATGGTATGTGACCTTCTATTATGGTTATATGGGATTGATAATTAGAGTTTAGGACCTGGGAACTAGAATGGCATGACTGCTGGGGTTGGATTGATAGAGAAAAATGGCTTTTCCGGGAGTTTCCGGACTCATGAAATCGCTATTTGAGCCATTTCTCTTAAATTAGGCAAGTGGGCACTGACCGAGCCTAGTGTTTGGGAGTTGTTGTGACACTTTAAAATTCATTTAAGGATACACTTGGCGATTGTGGGATGTTATGCGATATATATGTATATATATAGCGCACAAGTGTAAGGTAGAGGTTTAGTTTTAAGTCAAGGGGGTTAGGTGGTATAAAAAGGAGGAAAGAGAGGGCCATTGTTTGGCCAACCACCCACAACTCTTCTCTCCATCTCCCTTTCTCTCTCCCCACTCTTAGATCTACACCTTCAACCCTTCTTTTGACTCTCTTCGGCTTTGATTCCAGCAACGTCGTAGAAGAGAAAAACTACGGGCTCTACGAGGGGAATATTTCTCCGGTTTTGGTTTCATGTTTGGAGCATTTTCATCCTTGGTGAAATTGGGGGTTTTGCTCTTTTAAGAGGTAGGGGTGTTTAACTTGGTCTCTCTTTGAGATTGTAAATTCTACTTGATTTAAATGTGATGATTATGTATATATAATGGTCAGTTCCATGTTTTACCTATATATATATGTATGGGATTTGTGAAATGGGTGTGGGAATTGGTATGATTATCATGTGGTGGAGTGGGTCGTTACAGTAGGTTTGATGAATCTTTGGAATGTGTGAAAGTAAACTTCTGGTGGTTCTTAGGTTGGTGATATTTTTGGTTTTGTGGGTTCACTGGTTGAGTTAGTTGTGCCCGTGCTTGGCCTTCTGAAGATAGGTATCTTGGGAGAAATTGAAGGAATTATTCATTTTTCCGTTGCAATTCTTTGTTCAAGGAAGGCGATTAAAAGGTCTGCCTAGCAAGTGCGAAGAGTGAATGAAAGTTGCCAGCTGAAAATTATGTGTGTGCAGTGTGCTCATCAATTCACTGACCGGAGTTGGGGAGATGGGGGATTGGGGGTGCACGCTCCAGATGGCGCACTTGCAGCAACATCAGTTCCAGGTAAAAGCACCATTTCAGTGAAAAAGATAGGCTGTTTAAATTGAAGCCTCTTATTGGTGGAGGACTTGCTGTGTTTGGGCATGGGAAGGAGTGCACAAATTTATGTACTAGGTAGAGGTGCTCATAGAGGCTCAAGCTTGCTATATGGTGATGTAGGACAAATGAAACATCTCCCCTCTAAGTTATTTTATCAAAATTGTTACAGAACAACACTTTTAAACTAAAAATGGTGCTTCATACTACTGAATATTTCGTGGCTTTGACTATGGGAAGCTTATAGGTGTGCAGTTTAATATGGGGAACAGCTCCTAGGCGTTAATGGATGGCAAGAGATTGAAATTGGCAAGTTCTGGAGGTCTTTGTTATTGAAAATTTAGGGAAAGGACTACTGGAATTGCTGGACAGCAACCTTTTTGAGGGCACTGAGTAATAGGGAGAAGGCTTGTATGGGCAGGGAAAGGGTTTTTGGATTTCAAATTTATGCTTTTAAAATGGAAAGAAGTCAGTGACTGTGCTGTGGCTGTGAATAGTCAAAAGTGGGCTTTTAGGGTTACTGGTGTTTCAGTTTCTTTTCAATGCCAAATATTTAATTTTTTATGACATTATTTGCTGAATTTGATTTTCAAGCCTTCACACTCGCAGATGTAAATTATTGTGTTGTCTTGTAACTGTTCCTTCTATTAAATGTATGCTACTTTTTCAAAGCATTTCTGATTGTATTGCTGAGAATCACTTTTATTTTTACCTTTTACTTTGATATATACTTTTATAGAAAACCTGACTTGGAATATTACTGCTCCTACTTAAAGTTTGCTTCAACCTTGCACACTTTATTAAATATGTGTAGGTTTAGTGCCCCAGAGGATGAAGATGATTCTCATCCTAATTTGTTGCGGAGAACAACAATTGGAAATGGTAGTTCCCTCTTCCATCTTTTATTAGTTCTGAATAAATAGGTGTATTATCTATACCTCACCATCAATGTTCATTTGAAAGGTCCTCCTGAATCTGTATTTGACTGGACACGGGAATTAGACGCAGACTTGTCAAACCAAAATATCAACAATCAAGCATTCTCTAGAAAGCATTGGCGCCTTCTTCAATGCCAAAATGGTTAGTTATACTTCTTTATTTTAATTCCAATTGGATGACAATCACAATAAGTTATTCATGAGGGTCATGGGATAATTTAGTTACTTGCAATGTTATAATGACATCCCTCACAATTAGTGATATATTTATATGATTTATTGCAGGACTTCGCATTTTTGAAGAGCTTATTGAAGTTGATTTCCTTGTATGGATAATTTTTCTGTTTAGCTTGCGTTGCTGGCATGATTTTGGGCTGTTTCCAGACCACATCCTTATGTATAGTTTTTTTATGCAGCCGAAGAGCTGTAGTAGAGCAATGAAGGCTGTTGGGGTTGTGGAGGCTACCTGTGAAGAAATATTTGAGCTTGTAATGAGCATGGATGCAACACGGTTTGAGTAAGTGCTCTTTATTTTTGGGTTAAAATTTTTGTGGATTAGTTATTCTAAATGTTCATTGTGCTTCTCAGTGTAAGAGGAACATTCTTTTAGATAATTTTATTCGGTAGGCTCGCTTTCATTGCTTGTTCGCTTTATAACTTTTGACTGGAGAGACAGGGCACACTTTTTTTATTTTTTTGACTTTCCATCTCTTTTAGAGCTAATATGCTTCCATATAGTATACTCACACTGTCATTACTGAGTTTATCAAATCCATACATTTTTGATCGTGCATCAATTCTGCACCTCTTAGGAAGGGAAATCACTTCGATTTAATGTTTCCATCTGCCATAGCACTTTTTACTTTTCTGGACAACTTATGAAGGTATTCATTAATGTCATGTCAGGAAATGTTTAAGTGGCACTTTCATAGATACAAGTGTGCAGCAGTATAGCACGTCTCTAAATAGTGCTGCTTATTGCATTGTGGGAATACTTTCTTCTGATACTCTGAGGGGCAAACTTATTGACGTCCATTGGTGAATTATCCAAAACTTGTATTATATCAGTGATAGACTCTAGTTGAATTTTCCACTACAATATTCATTGCTAAATTATGTCCTTAACATGACAGAAGGTTTATTTTATTTTATCTTATTTTATATATTTTTAAAAAGAGTCCTTTTGCCCCTAATCTTTTGTGAATGAATTTTCAAATGATTTGTTCCTCCTCCTTTGGTGATATAATGAGGGCTATGTTGTAATGATCTGAAGCTCCTTACATCATATCTTGAAATCCATGCTCTTATCCGTGTTTCATACTTAAACAACTAAATTATTCAGATCTCAATTTTATATATTTTTAAAAAGAGTCCTTTTGCCCCTAATCTTTTGTGAATGAATTTTCAAATGATTTGTTCCTCCTCCTTTAGTGATATAATGAGGGCTATGTTGTAATGATCTGAAGCTCCTTACATCATATCTTGAAATCCATGCTCTTATCCGTGTTTCATACTTAAACAACTAAATTATTCAGATCTCCGAAATTGGGCCAGTTTGTGAAAATTTAGAATTATTTGCTACATATAGCTACACATTAAGATCTCCTTGCCTGTACTTTTACATTTCTAATACTAGTATGTGTGAGATTATAATTAATCTGTCACAGAAAAAAATCTATTTTATGTGCATAATGTAAATACTTCGACAGCTAGATCATTGATATACAGTCGTTAACTTGCAGAATGTAAATATATACAGAAGGCACTGTGAAGACTACAAGTATATAAGGTTGAATCACAATGGTCTTCTTGTGATCTGTGAAACTACCATTGGTGCCTCCCTTCCCCAAGAAAAAAGAAAAATAAAAAGAAAACCGATAATAATAAAAGAAAATTGAAGTTTGTAAGAATATATTGAGTTATTGCGAACTTCTTTCTCTTACTGACATGATAGAAGCATTTTTAGACTATTCCGCCCCCAAGTAAAGATATCTCGATTGCACATTACCTATCTCTCTCTTTTAGTCATATGCATGGGAAATATTTTACCTTTAAAGCATTGATCTGGTATTGCTGAGGGCCATTATAGTTTTTATGTGCAATTTTAAATTTATACATAGCATGACTTGCAAGTTCATAAGAATGTAAGAAATTAACTTGTTTTTCATACTTATAGGAGGTGGTAGACAGCTTTGATTTAGTAAGGTCTACTTACCTCAACTACTGTATAGTTAACAAGTCTGGATAATGAAATGATTGGGATCGTGTCTGTTCTCATATTTTGAATTGTGAGCTTTTTGGAAAGACTGAGACAAAAGATATCAACTTCTATTAAAAAAATATGCTTACTGAACGAGCTAATGCTACTAGAGTAAAATTGTTGGTGATTTGGTTGGTTGATTGTTCTACCTGTCAAAATTCTCTCTCATTTATTTTCTTGTTCCCCCTCTCCCAATAAGAAAAAAGTCAATTACAAGTTAATGATATTTTTTGATCACGCTGATGTTTGACGTAAGAAATATCCAAAATGAAGTCCGTAGTGTGGTGATTTTTTTGCCAGAACAGCAGATGAATCTATGTTTGAACTTCATGCTACAATGCTTGATCTAGTGTTGTCTTCTATTAGATCATTGACCTATCATGCCTATTCTTACTACCTTGAGTGAAGTTTCATTAATCACTCTATCTATATTGCCTCATCTTATATGTATTGGGTCTATCTCTAGCTTCTCACGAATGCATTTATTTTTATACTGTTTATGCATTTTTTCTATTTATTTCAAAATTTGCTTTCTGTATGCCCTCCTTAATTTTGCATGTTTTTAATTTATCGTCTGTCCTACTAAATCACAGTTTAGATGTTGCTTTGTTTTCCTTATGTGTGGTTGATCCCATGTCAGGTAAGTTATTATTGATTGTTTCCTGGTTATTCTCTAGTTACTACTTTACTTTCGCATATAATTTGATTTATATATCATCATCAGTTCAATTAATCTCATTTTTTTTTCATTATTGAAGTGATAAAATTCCCAAAGCAAACCAGTAACACTTGGTCTTTTTGGTATAATTTTCTGTTACTTAAGTTGCACATTGACGAATTTTTATGCTATCTTGTGAGGTGGTGATGATATAATATCTTGACATGTGTGCCACTCTGATGCCCATGGTCCAAAATTGCTCCTTGTACCTTGAAAATGCTTGACTAGAGAAGACCTGAGATGTCCACAATTAGCTCTACAGAATTTTGATTTTATATTGTTATTGTAGTCTAGGTGTTTATGACAAATTGATTTTCTATGTTGTGTATAGGTGGGACTGCAGTTTCCAGTATGGTAGCTTAGTTGAGGAGGTAGATGGACATACGGCAATACTCTATCATCGGCTTCAGCTGGATTGGTTCTCTATGTAATATTCTCTCCCACTCATGGAACTTGCTTTTTATGCTTACAATAGTACGTACACTACATTATTCGTAAGTTCAACTTTCCATTGTGGTGGGTATCATTTTGTTAGAACAAGTTGCACATGCATAGTAGCTTACAACTTTCTCTAACTTAAATTTTCTATTCAAGTGGGCTTTTCTGTGATAATTTGATATTTTAATTATTTAACTGGTGCCTTGTGTGAGTCATAATATGATATTTTAAGACTAAACGGTTGTAATGTGATGTCTGCCTACAATATGATTTTTGCAATCTGCTCCACTGGTGGGTTAGCTTGAGTGGTATGTCCTCCACCTATCAAAAAAAGAGGTTGAGGGTTCAGTTTCAGTTGGGACAAAGTGGGTTTGTACATCTTTACCTATTGCAGAAAAAGGAAGGGAAAAAAAAAGGACCCTACTATGTTTTAGGTTGTTAGAATAAATTTTTTTGGTTGCTTTCTCAAGAGAAAAGGGTAAGAGGGAGACAATTTTGGGTGCTGCTGGTGTTTACAACAAATTACTTTTTGAGAAATTTTATATTATCGAATTCCTGTTTATATCTTACTTTGGCAGCTGTATTCCAAATATATGTTCTGCATGAGATCATGGTATCAGATTTAACTCCATTTTCTGAAAATTAATTTTTTGTTGTTGTTGTTGTTCTATTGAGTGGAGTCATAATCTGCATAAAAAAAAGCCATTACCCAGTGTGGGTACCCTTCTATCGAGGGTGTTAGGAGGTAGGGATTGGTTACAAGCCTTACCTAGGCCACTATTCCTACAAAGTAGCTGCGTTTAGACTTGAACTTCTGTTCTCACATATCATAGTCCGACCTTTCACAACTGCACCAAGCAATGATACCTACTTGCATTGGTAATTTTATTCATTTTTTTAGTTGCATGCTTTCGTGATCAAGCTGAAGTTTGACTGCTGGAGTGAAAGTTTACTTGGTAGGTGATTTGGCTTCTACTGGAAATGGGGGATAAAAAGAAGAAAGGAAAGTGGTGCAATTTGCATGTGCAGCTTAAAACTGCACCAGTTTTCTTGGTAGAACACCTAAAAGAAATTTGATTGCTTGGAATTCCTTGTTTGTTGCTTAAACTCAATATTTCAGAACTTTCAAATCCTTCTGTCCTCCTTTGGCATGTCATTTGCTGGTTTGATTTAGCAACTTCTATAATAATTAATTGTGCCAGGTCTTGTGCGGCTGTGCCCATCTGGGGATGGCACTGGGACAAGATTTATATGATTTTATGCTAAAAATTAACATCAGGATGATATATGTAATTTGTACTGATCCCTTTCTTATGCATTCCAAAGTTTGAAATGCAAAAAATGTGTACTTCATTTCTAGTGATTTGCTGATGAAAGGTGTCGTGGTATGGAAGACATAGGTTATGCTATGCATGAGCATGGTGGGGAATTAGAGTTAATTTTTATTTACGGTGGCATCGTCTGCTAATGATTTTAGCGGTTGGGTGCCTTTTGTCTCTCTAAATCCTCTGATCACTTCTCTAATTAATCCTAGATGCTTGGATTGAAAAAAGCTGAGGAAAAATAAAGAATAAACAGAGTAAATAGAGAGGAATAGAGTAAGAAGAGGGTAGGAGGAAATGATTGTATGATGTCATTTGGATATTGTGACAAGAGTGATTGGGGAAAAAGGAGAGAGGACAGAAGAAATAGAAGAGATTGGAGGGTGCCCTAATTGGGGTGGATTCCTGTATTTGGTAATCTTGAACAAACTAAAATGATAATGCTCCCTTACCATAATATAGCGATCACACTCTTTGCACTTCTTAACACAAACACATGCCCATCCACTGTGGATGCCCCATGGACTCCAGGTAGGCCTGTCAATGGATCAGATTTGGATCGGATCGATCAAATCCATATCTGATTTGTTAAGCAAACGGATTATTGGATTCGGATCACTAACGGGTTCTTGGACTAAATGTTCTAATCCATATCCTATTTAGCTCGGACTTTGATCGAATTGGATTCGAATTTGGATTAAAATCATATTTACTAACATATATAATTATAAAGAGTATGATATTATTAGTATGTATATTAAAAGATTTATTAGCATGTGGATGAGAACACCACACTATTGTATATATAACGTTATGATTTTTTTTTTTTTTTTGGATTTTTGGGTTACCTCTAATACAATTCTAATAGGAGTATTGATATATATATAGATATATATATGTAAAATTATTGATAAATAATTATTATAATAATTTTAATCGGATCGGATCAGCATAATCTATATCCGATTTGTTAAGCTAACGGATTATCTGATTCGGATCGTAATTGGGTCATCAGATTTTTTTGTTCAATCCATATCCAACTAATCGGATTCGGATCCGGATCTGGATCCACTCCATTGACAGGTCCAGGTGATCTTAAAATCGAGGCCCCCATTAGGATTCTTGCTCACTCTATGTGCTTTTCAGGGGCGGAGGCAGAAAAATTCTTTTGCAGGAGCCAAATTAGTAATATGAAATTAAAATTTTAAAGAGAGATCACTGAATGCAATTCTTAATGTATATTTTTAAGAGCATGACTATAAATGATATGAGAAGAATGGAGAGAAGAACATGTTGACATCCGATAAATGAGGTTGTCCAAGTGTTGAGCATTCCTTTCCTTCTTTCTTGAACTCATATAGAACAAATAATTTAAATATCAATAATAATTGAAATGGGGGGACATATAATTTTCATATGCAAACTTGCCATTAGTAACCATAAATAGAATTTTGAGAAAAATTTGGGGGAAAGTGTGATTGGAAAATTTTCTTTTCTTCTCTTTATATTTACCAATGCTTGTTATTGCAGGTTTGTATGGCCCCGTGACCTTTGCTATGTGCGTTATTGGCGCCGAAATGACGACGGGAGTTATGGTATGTGCATTCAGTGACCATTTCTAGTTCATTCTTTTAACTCTTCTTCTTCTTCTTCTTTTCCCACTTCTTTTTCACCATAGAGTTTTGATTGATTTTTGTTGCTGTGCAGTTGTGTTATTTTGTTCTAGGGAGCATGAGAACTGTGGTCCACAACCAGGATTTGTTCGGGCCCATATAGAGAGTAAATACAGTTGCTTTTTCTTTGCTTCGTCGTGAATGAAAAAATTGTGTTATAGATCTTCAGCTTCATTATTGTATTCTAACAAGTGATGCACCATTCTTATGTATTTTGATGTTCTTAGGTGGAGGGTTCAATATTTCCCCTCTGAAACCTCGGAATGGGAGGCCTAGAACACAGGTGCAGCATCTTATGCAAATTGATCTGAAAGGGTGGGGGGTGGGTTATGTTTCATCATTTCAGCAACATTGTCTCCTTCAGATGTTAAATAGTGTTGCTGGTGAGTTGTTGTGTTTAATTCATATTTGTAAGAATTTGGATTGTCCTTGCAGATTGTCTTTTATTAATCGTGTTTACCCCTCACTACATGTTCCTTCTGTTCTGTTGAGCAGTACTCAAATTTTGCTTTGCTTCTGTCCTGATTGATAAACTTTAATTTTCATTTTCTGGGATTTCTTTTCTTTTTTGCATTATAAATTTCATTCTGATTAATAAAACTATAATTAAGCTGAGATGATGAGCAACAATTAGAAAGGTGGGTACATTAATCTTGTCATCTTTTTGGTGATTCTATCATTTTTCTTTCTTTAATTTTCACATCTCTTGTCTAAACTAACTCTTTCAATACGAACCATTTCTCTTTTCTATTGTATTGAATCCTTATTTTTGCTTCTTCTTTCTTGTAGGACTGCGTGAATTGTTTTCTCAAACAGATGAAAGAACTGCTCCTCCAAGAATCCCAGTTATGGTTAATATGGCATCAGCTTCTGGTTCTTCAAGGAAGATTCAAAAGCCCCAGGAGTCTTCTGCGAATTCTAGTTTTCCTGATCAAATGAATGCTGCAAACAGAAATGGCATGATGTTGGATGAATACTCTGATGAGGATGAAGAATTCCAAATAGCGGACCAAGAGGTTTGCTTTATACATGCCCACTCATAATTTTCTGTATCTTTTATAATGTATTTGTTGAAATTTTTTCAGGCATGCTCAACCAGTATGGAGAATGAAATCAAGAGAACCGGTAATGATGACTAAGGATTTTTTTTATTATTTATTCATCTAGCATTGATTATTTATATTGAAATAATGAGGAATTATTCTCAATTATCTTCATTAGGTGAAACAATTGAAGAAGAACCTACAGATAAAATTGATTTGTCTTGTTTCTCGGGTAACCTACGACGTGATGACCGTGATAATGGTCGTGACTGCTGGAGAATATCCGATGGTAACAACTTCAGAGTTCGTAGCAAGCGGTTTTGCTATGACAAATCAAAGGTCCCTTAGTCCTTTGCTTGCTTTTTTGTGTAGGTGCTTCTCGAGTATTTTGGTGCAAAATTTTGTGACCTTATTAGTCTTGTTGTTGCCATCTGTATTTGAAGATACCTGCAGGTAAACATCAAATGGATCTCGTTGCTGTAGATTGGTTCAAAGACACAAAACGAATGGATCATGTTGCCAGGCGCCATGGTTGTGCTGCACAAGTATTATACGCTACACTTTGTCTCTCGCGTGGTCTCTCCTTTCATTCTTTTTCTGAATTTCACCCCAATTTAACACTTACTGATTCATGCGGAAAACTTTTGAATGGGGGGTGGATATATTTTTTTCCAACACGTGTCATGTATAGATCAGGCAACTTGTGTGTCTATTGGCTTGCCTCTTTTAGTTTCTGCCATGGATTGGGATTAATAATAATATATTATGCCTCTGCCTATCTGGAGACGCTTCTCTTGGTTGATTTTGTTGAGGTTACCACTCCTTATGATCTTGCTGGGGCCTGCCACCCCTTAAACAAATAATAGTAACAAATCTTTAAATAATAAGATAAAATAGAAAAAGAAAGAAAAGACAATAAATTATTTGAACCTGGTTGTAGCTCCTTTAGGAAGCTCTGGTTACTCATTGGGGTTTGTCATAACTTGTATAAGTTGAATATGCTGGTTTGTTGTTGAACCAGTAAATCCTTGGCAGAGTTTTAACACGTCTGCTTACTTTTTCTGAAACTGGAAACTTCATTAATGAGTTTCGATATTGTAGAACTATTTGGAATCTATATATGTAATTGATTTGTTAGTGAATCCTTTAGATTCTGTGTAAAAAAGGCCATTGCCATGTTCCCATCTATGCAGGGTACTGCGGGAGTAGGGTGTGGAAATTGGAGATAGATCTAAACTTTTGCATTATTTTTGCACAAGTTGGCTGCTCTCTGACTTGAATGAGTCCTCATGCTTGTCAACCCTAGCTTTTACTATTGTACCAAACTATTGCCCCATCTATATTCTGTGTCTTGGCCAGTTTTATGAGCCTTCATATAAATTTTTTGTGTAGGTTGCCTCTGAGAAAGGACTTTTCTCCGTGGTTGTAAATTTGCAAGTAAGTTGTTTGGACAGCTGATTTGAATTTAAACTTGATGCTTCCAGAGGCTGGAAGGGAAAATTAATTTTGAATATTTGAAGGTACCTGGTTCGACACACTACAGTATGGTTTTCTATCTTGTGACAAAGGATTTAGTACCTGGATCTCTCTTGCAACGGTTTGTTGATGGTGATGATGAGTTCCGTAACAGTAGATTGAAGCTCATCCCCTCAGTTCCCAAGGTATTTATCTCAGATATTAGAAAATTATTGTTAGAATGCTTGAAGACTTGTCCCAAAAATAATATTTATGAGAAAGAAGGCAAGGCAATTTCGTCCCAACATTATTGTAAGATAACCAAACAAATAATGTAACAATACTTTCTCGAATCTCGTTCATATATAGAGATGTTAAGTTGGCACACCATTGATAATTTGATATACAGTCATCCTTGCCATTGTTGAACTTAATAGGTTCGATTGGTTCATTTCATATTTCTCCCTTTTAGTGGAAAGAATTGCTCTAGTTGTTGGCAATATATATCCAGATAACTAACAATATGGTCTAGTGGAATTTACTACTAGAAAAAAGGGTCAGTATCCATTATGGTCACCCTTAATTGAGGGTGTTGGGAGGGGGTAGACTTTTGCATACCTAACTCTTGACAGTGTTTGCACATAGTGACTGCTCTCAGAATTTAAACCCATGCTCTCATGCTTGAATGATCGCTATTTTACCAGTGCACCAAGCTATGACCCTTTATTTACTACTAGAAGTGAATAGTAATCATGTTGGGCTCTGTTCTGGGATCTGCGCCATCATAAATCCAAACCCATCCAAACTTGATATCATATCTTAAACATTGAGCGTGCAGCTCAATCCAGTAAATTATTGAGGCTGTGGGCCTATTGTTTGGCCTGGGCAGGTTGGAGTCAGGTTGACTGAACCTGACGTGCAGCCTCAGGATCTAGCAGATGCGCTCCTGGATATTTTTCCAGCCACTCTGAAAATATGCCATGCCTTGCATCAGAAAATGGTCTTGATGCTTTAGACGGTGTTAATTCAATATCATGCATAAGTCAGGACATGCCATGGCTTAATTTACCCATGGGGAATGGACATATTTAAAAATGCATGTATTTACAGATTCAATATTTCAATGGTTCATCTCTAATGAGGACAACTTTCCCATAGTTTTTCTGATATGAAAACGCCTATTGCCCTCATTTTAAGGATGTTCCTAGTTGTTCTACTTTTGGTTTTTCCCCTTTTTATTTGTTTCTGACTTTCAGTTGTCAATCATGCAGGGTTCATGGATTGTGCGCCAAAGTGTTGGAAGCACTCCTTGTTTATTAGGAAAAGCTGTTGATTGCAACTATATCCGTGGTCCCACATACCTAGAAGTGAATATCCTTATTCCCTTTTTTTATACTTGAAGTTACCCATAAAAATGCTTGATTTGATAGCATTAGTTTTTAGTTTAATGTTGCTATTCTTTATGTAGATTGATGTTGACATTGGTTCTTCTACTGTTGCCAATGGAGTTTTGGGGCTTGTAGTTGGTGTAATTACAACGCTGGTAGTTGACATGGCTTTCCTTGTACAGGTATTTACATTTCAAAGACTAATGGGATCACTTCGTCTTCCTCTTTGCTGGGATTTTTTGCCTACAGTTGCCATAGGATTATTATGCTCCACACAATTCAGTGGGAAGGGGTTATGAACTTATGGTGGAGTTAAACCTTGCAATAGCTGTCTAATTAGATAAGCTTGTAACAGCCTCACGCTTCTTAAGCCTTGTTATGTCTAAAAAAATCTGCAACCATTTGAAAAGCAAAAGTCATAAATCTTTGCTTAGGAGAACTACAAAGTATTGTTTTCACCGTTGTTCTAAATCTTCGTTGATGATATCGAAGAACAAACAAATAAATAAAACCTCGCATGTCCTTGTTAACAGTTTCTATTTTGCATCCATTCCTTAGTTGAACTTCAGGAAGCCAACAACCTAACAATGGAATACATTAATTGCAATTTGCAAGTAAATGTCTGCATAATGAGAGCTTCTGAAGCTCAATTTTGTCTCTCTTTATCGTTCGTCCCATCTCATGTTGTAATGAATTTTGTTAGAAGATAGTTTCAAAGTTCACTAGGGACACTGAAGATATCTCTATTGGGGAAAAAGAGAAAATAAACGGCTTCATACAGGGTGCTTAGAAGAAGTGTGGAAAGAAATACTAAAAAGAAAAGAAAATGACATGAAATCACGCAGGAGGTGTTAGATGAATACTAGCCAGGCGAATAGGATTAGTGAATCATAGCATGTATTTTTTTTTTTTCCGCAATCACTCCCGAACTTTCCTATGTTACAATATATATCCACATTGAGTAGAAATTTTATGGTCTTTACCTTGAGTTAATGGAGTGGTTTGCATTGTTTGTTGTTGTTCCTCACAGGGAAACAGCATGGATGAGTTGCCAGAGAGACTAATGGGTGCTGTCCGTGTTTCTCATATAGAGCTGTCGTCTGCTATAGTCCCAAAGTTGGAACCGGATCCATCAGACCAAGTCAAAACCATGACTTACTGCTGATTTTATAATTGAATTATTTGTTTAAATATGCATATGTTCAATTCCCAATTTTTGTCATCCCCTTTTATTTTTCCTTATATGAAATTGTTAACGATTCCCTCTGATTGGGGTTTTTGCATAAAGATAAAAGTAGTAAAAGGCGCGCAGGTGTAGGTTCTTTGCAGTTCTATAATTGTTGAATAATCATGGTGGTTCATATTTTTTCCCCATCTTTCATGTTTGGCATTTTTTTTTTTTTTCCTTCTTTTGCCTGGACAACTCACACACACACGAGAAAAGGAAAAGAAAAAAAAGTAACCATTTTTCTTTTCTCGGGAGGCCCTTTTTCGTTTTCCTAGGAACTGGGTTGGATTGCAATTCTGCCGGGAATGGGAATTAGAATTATAGATCTTGTCCTGGAGCTTAAGGTATCCATGATTTGGTGTTGATTGATTCTGATCTTTTTTTTATTTACTTTGTTAGTATGTGTAAGTAGGGAAGGAGGAAGATGGGGCTGGGATTCGGACTTGGGCGAAAGGCCCCAAACTGCAGCTGTCCTACCACTGGGATATCCGATTGATTCTGATCGGGGTTCATTTCTTTGCTAAGAAAATACAAACCATGTGCAGGAGCTAACGGTATTGGAAATGAGATGCAGAATCTAGCTTTTGTTCCTGCCCTAACAAGTGGTGGATCTGACACTAAAATTTGAGTCCTGGTACTGTTACATAAAACCTATGAAGCATGAGTTACGGACACGAGAAACAAATACGGTGATAAGGGTTAATATTTTGATATTATAAGAGTGCTTTCTTTTAAATCCATGCTTCATAGCATATGCAACCTCATCCGGAAATCAAACACATGTACTAAAACATTGTAAGCCTCATTATTTCATATGGTAAGTCGCCATTGTAAACCATCAATAAAACATCTTCACAACCCCACGCCAGAAGGTCCCCTTGCATTTATCATTTAGGGGTCACTTGTTGGCTTAGAAAATCACAAAAAGCATCCAAAGAAGCCTCTGAACTCGCTGGAAAACCGGACTCGAATTTGCCGCGCAACTCCGTGGCCCGGTTGTGAATCTCTTCATCACTCATTAGCTTCTCAATTCCTTGCAAAATATCCTCCTTTTTCGCCATTCCTGATAGACCATCGTTAGATACCATGTACGCTACCTTTAGATGGCAAACCACCAACTTGGCATCATAGAATTGGTCACCCCTAATGGGCCAAGCTAAAAATGGGACCCCACGTCCGATCGCTTCCACAGTGGAGTTCCATCCACAATGTGATAGGAATCCACCTGTTGATGGGTGGCTCAGTATCATCAATTGTGGTGCCCATCCGCGTATTATCAAACCCCTATCACCAACTTTGCTATCCAAGCCATGAGGGTAATAACCTTCTTCAACAGCTTCTGAGCCGGGTTTAGCACCCAACAGTTCAGGGGGTGGACCGGTTCTTCCTGAACGGGGTTGAATCACCCAAATGAAAGGCCAGGTTGACTCTTCCAGTGCATCCGCCAGTTGAGCATATTCTTCTAATGTGGGCCCAACTTCACTGCCAAACGACACGTAGATAACAGACCCATGTGGCTTTGAATCTAGCCATTGGATCACTTCGTCTTCGGTGTAATTGGATTGGCGTTTTGGCCTCATCTCACGATCGTGCAAAATTGAACTGGTGGATTGCCAATACTGTTCAGGCAAGAGTGGGCCAACACCCCAGACCGGTTTTTCGATTTGATTAGCCACATAATTGATGAAAGGACGCTCCAAATCATCACACGTATTAATCAACAACGCGATCGAACCCTCCACCTCATTCATCCATGGAGGTTGCTCACCCGGTTTAGGCATCCCAAATTTCATCCCACCCGGCGGTCCACTCGAGCCACCCGGTCTAGGCGGTCCAGGTAAACTGAATTCTGGTCCACTCGGGCCACCCAGTAAAGGCGGTCCTGAACCCTTTGGGCCACCTAGTCCAGGTGAATCGAATCCCAGTCCACTCCGACCACCTGGTCCAGTTGGGCCATCGTTGCCAGCAATATGTGGGGGTGGAGGTCCACCAGGCCGCCGCTTAGTATCCAAATAAGTCAGTGCCATATCTTCGGGTAACCCAGGAAGGATTCGGATCTCACCCGGTTTCGTATTGCCTACATCGGCCTTCCACGCTGCATACTCTATGGCAGCAGCACACGCGCCGGAGGAGAAGAAAGAAACTGCCGGAATGTTGAGTTTGATGAAGATTTCTTTGCTCCAACTCATCATGACATCGATCACGGCACATACGGGTCTGGCAGAATCTAACCCGTATCTGGATGATAGAAGGGATTTCAGACTCTGGCTCATTTGCTGGTGACGAAGATGGAAGGGGTGGGGTCCGGGTCCGGGTCCGGGTCCGGGTCCGGATGCTCTCTCTGCCATAGACGGCGGTGGAGGAGGCGGAGATGAGGTGTCCATTTCAACAACTTCAATGAAGGGATGGTGGCTGAGGGAGGAGGGGACAGAGGAGGAGAGGTTGGAGGAAATGAGGAGGGTGATCTTGTAATTGCGGGAAGCAAGGTGCTTGCAGAGCTCCATGCAAGGAAAGAGGTGGCCCTGCCCAAAGAACGGTACAATCAGAATTTCACCAACAGCTGCCATTTTTGGTTTCTAATGATATCCTCGGATATACACGGTATCTATAGATGCTATATATATAAGAGAGAATGAAAGAGAAGAAGAAAGAAAGAAGAATGCTAGGTGTGAAGGAAGAGGTTGACTAGTAGGAAGCCGACTGTCTGGTGGAAGAAAGTATGTTTCTTGAAAAGGGTCAACTGAAGTATATAATTAATTAATGGGTAAAATGCAAAAAAAAAAAAAAAAAAAAAAAAAAAAAAATAAAAATCACTGAAAGTAAACTTGCAAAAAACTCCCTAAACTATTAAAATTGTAAAAATATTCTAAACTATACAAATTTGTTGCAGATCACCCATCCGACATCCGACTGCGTGTTAAATATTATTGTTCATGACTAATAATTTAAAATTAAAAGATCATAATGCCCTTATGAACATTAAAAGACAACAATGTCCTTATTTTTAACCTCATACCTAAACAACTTAATAACTCTATCCTCACAACGAAAATTTTTTTGTAAAAGGGGGCAAACTTTTAATTTGTGAGAAAAAACTTATATAGTGGGTTCATTTTTATAATTTCAATTGGGTTTTTTTCATAAATTTTTAAAAATGTAAAGTAAAAAAAAATAAAAATTCAGTGGGGCCAAATTGTAATTTTAGTGGAAAAATTTTCATAAATTCTAAAAAATTTGAAGTATAAAATGTAAAAAAAAAAAAAAAAAAAAGAATTCAATGGGGGCAAATTGTAATTTTAGTGGGAACATCTTCATAAATTTTAAAAAAATTAAGGCATAAAATATAAATATAAAAAATCCAGTGAGCTGCCTCCACTGGTCCCACATCGGGTCTGTGCCTATCTATCCTTACACCCAAATACTACCTAGCCTTCGCCCCAAACCCAACAAGAGCATTATCTTCCTCGACCAAGACTCTATCTGGCATGAAAAGGAACATTGGTGGTTGCGCCGGAGGAGGAGAGGAGTTGGGCAAAACTGTCTTTTATCTTTTCTGATGACCTGATTGAGTAAATTACAACAAAATCATAGTTCACGAAGTTAGTTGCAAAACCCTAATAGTTCCCGAGGTTTTTTGCATTTTACCCTTAATTCATAAACATGCTTTTAATACAAATAAATGGATTCATATTTGGAAGTGTCTTCCATGCTCCTGGCTCACAATTTTCCTTTACTAAAAAAAGCAAAAAAAAAAAAAAAAAGTAAAAGAGTTTCTCATTATATGCTAGCCATGATCATAACAAAGACCATCACACGCTCTGTTCTTACAACAATACACACACATTCACACAGACACACACACCAAAAAAGAAAAAGAGAGAATTTCTAACAAATTTTCAGAAACAAAAAAGAAAATAAGGAAATGAAAATATCCTACCATATGATTTATTTACTGAAAATCAAGCTGATGGAAGAATGTCCAAGGCAACTTCCTTGAGGGATGGCATAACTTCCTGTTGATGCAAGCAAAAGTACTTATTTCCAAGCCTTCTAAGCACCTTCCAGGGTCCAGGGTAGCACCTAAAAAGATTAGTAGTCACAGTTAAATGAATCCTTTGGACTCAAAAGTTGAGAAAATAGCAATGACTAATTTACTCCCTATACAGCAAATAAATTATTGTCTATGAAGAAGAATTGAACAATGATATTCTTTTATTTTATTTTTCCGGAGAATCTGAGCAATGATATTCTTATCAATTGCGTGATTAAATTTTCAGAAGCAATATATGGTCTTTTCTTAGTTTAGCTTCCTTGGGACTTAAAGCAGGTATGTAAATAAAAAAACCTGAAAAGGGCTCCTCCGTTGCGTCCTTTAAAATTATGAATGTAATATACGGTCTCCATCTTGGGCAAGAGCGTCGTTGAAAGTGCAGCTAGCTTTGGATAGAAGAATGGTGGATAATCTTAATTAATCTCAAGGAGAAAAACGATCTCAGTGACCAAAAAAGGGAGCAGGCATTTCGATATTTGAACGAACAACATAAATTCTATGGCTGAAAATGCATTTGTTTGCTCATTCATTTTCTTTCAAAACCTATAGCATACAACAAAAACGTTTTTTTTTTTTTTATATGTTTTATTTTTTTACTTGAGATAGTTTCAGCAGAAGACAGCATATAATATTATATCATCCTCTCAATTGTTCTTATTGTACAATCAATGGTGTATTTTAAAACGGAAAAACGAGAAAGGTATTTTCTTTCTAATTTCAAAAGTGAAAAGTGGAAGAAAGAAACTATATTTAAAATAATAGGTGAGCTTCTAAATGCTTTCATCGAACTCCAAAAAATTGCACGTAACCAAGTACAAACAATCCAACATCAAACTCATAAAAACTGCATAAAAAAGATGAAGGATACACCCAGATCTGATACGGTCGAGTTCTCCATTGAATATAATAAGTTTTCGGCTAGTGTTCACTACAGCCTCTTTGTAAAGCTCTTCCACCACTAACATTTCTGTATTGAAAAAGAGAATCGACAAACAAGATTAAATTTACAGTATGCATGGAAGACAGGTAGTCAGGGTCTTACCGTTGACATTAAAATATGGATAGCCGACAAGGAATAGTTCATCTTCGGGCTTCACTCGGTCAACCATTTTAACTTTCGTGACAAAACCAAAATCTTCAAATAATGATGGCTTTGTTAGATAGTCCAATTTGAATGAAGCTCCTCCAAAAATTGATTTTCTTGCAAATTCAACTTCATTTGCTTCTGGGAAAAACTGAAACGTTGAAGAGAAGGTTTATAAACACAAATTTACAAGGTAGAATTGATGAAGTCTAATGAGATAGCCAATGAATCATGGATATCAGAAAATAAACAAAATCGAATCTAAAACAATAAAGCGGGAGCATTGCACACTGGATAGTTACAAAGACATGAAACAATGAGGAAACACCTTACACATAAATCTCTTGGCCCTATTTAAATTTCATACTACCCCTGTGAAACCCTAGCCTAATGATGCATGTCACTTATTATGGACAACAATGCAAGCAATTTTCAACATGGAAGTAGGCTTATGATGGTTAGGATAATAGTCTAAAACTCGTGGAGCTAAGTTAGGGTATATATGTAACAAGACCCCCTAGATATCGTCACTAATTGACAAAGCTACCACGTCTCATATGCAAGACTCCCTAGATACTGTCACTAATTGAAAAAGCTACCACATGTCTAATATGCCAACCCGTAGTCTGCTAATTTCTGCACCTATATCTAATCTACAGTTGTCGATAAGCAATGATGTCCTCAGTGTCATTCGTTAACATCAGGGCATCATTAAATATAATCACCCCACTGCTTTAAATCCAAACTGTGAATAGATTATTGCATAGTTCGTTTTCTCTAATTTGACATTTAGGACCGCAGAAAAAAATAAAAATCAATAACACATTGCAAAACACCATCTACGCGGATTCCATGTATAGTTACTCGTCTGGCAGCCTGTAGGAGCATAAAGAATAGCCAGTTGAATTACCATCTTACAGAGTTCTCTGTCGCGACCAGTTAATGCTTTTATCTCAATGTCAGTCCGGATATGCCTACATGTTCAATAACAAAAAACATTTGCAGATAATATTCTCCATTTTACCTAAAATATGTTTGAATATAGTAGTAATTAATTGTCTTCATTCTTTTGAACCCCCTAGCCTGATTTTAAGAGAAGCAAAAATAATGACGAACCGCACATATTAATAAATATATTTGATCTTCGTAGAAACAGACTATGAGAACTGTTCCAAAACATGAAGACATACTATTCTTGTTCTTGTAGCTTTTTCTGGACTTATGAAGAGGTCACAGAACTCACGAATCAGTTGCATACTTCCAGTCATTTCTATACCACCTTCACCATCACCTGATACACGTATTACAGTGAGAATATATAAGTTTTTTTTTGATAAGTAACCATATAAGTTAAGGAACACCGAGAATTAATACAAAATGCAAGAAAAGGAAAAAAGGATAATAGAAAATTGTTTTTACAAAAATGTATATAGCATAAATAGAGAGAACCTGGTACAGATTCAAGTCCAGCAGTTGGAAATTCAATCTCCTGTGACAGAAACTTGTTCTCACAAACTCTGTGGAATTTTAAATATGATGTGTACTTCTATCTCTTCCATCATCAAAAACACTACATTGTAGTAACTCACCATCAACTGTTTTCCATCCTTCAGAGCCAATTCAGTTGCTTCTTTCGCCTGTTATTTGTTATAGGCCTAAAATTAACAAATATCAAGCAATAACTGCAAACGGAACAAGTGATAAAAGAAGGAAAAAGTAAAACGTGGCACGAAACAGTGAAATTTCACTCGAGAGAAAGAGAAATCAGACTTTCCATGAGTTTCCAATTGAGGCCATATACGTTTTTCGTTTGTTATGTGCTATGGAAGATCATGTATTACGAAGAATTTGGCCAGGGAGATTGTCATGACCCGCCCCGTTGTGTAGATATTGTCCACTTTGGACTCTCAGTGCCCACGGTTTTCAAAACATGTCTACACAATTAGGAGATGCCCACACATATAAGTGCCAACAACTTCTCCCCATAGGCGATGTGGGGCGTCATAAAGATTGAAGAACTTTAAATACTCCCACTCTAGCACTTGCGGAAATTAACTCAACATGATACTTCAACAGAAAAAGGATTTTGGTTTCTTATAGGACTTCACTCTTCGAGTCTTTGCTTAAACTACTACATACATTTGGGTTAACCTTAACAAGAACCCATATCAATATGTCACATCTGATCCACAATTCTTTCCAAGATGTTGTCTTTTCAAAGGTTAAAATTGAATTTTTTTTTTTGAAATTTAATGCTATAAAATATGTAAAGGCTTACTTGTCCAAGAAGTTCATCATAATCACTAGGAAATGGCATATCAAACCCAACCGATGCACCACTACCCCCAGAAACCGAATTGGTCACAAAATTCAGATTTCTAAGCATCTTGTATGTGACGATTCTTCGCCCATGGAAATTTACGTCCTTTTTCATCTGAAAGCTTCTAAAGTTTAAACCCTACAAATTTGTGCAGATAACTAGTCAACAAACAAGTGAGGGTAGAGAAAGAATTGGGAATTTCTAACGACCTATGAAGATTAAAAACACACACACACACACACACACAGAGACAGATATATGTAAAGTTGTAAACTGCTTGGTTGGTCAGAAAGGTGCAGAAAATAACGTCAATTAAGCCAATTAGTTTACTTCTCAGAGCTGAGTGAAGGGTTTTAATCTGTCTGCGACCCTAATTTGAAAAAGCTAAGATTCAATAGTTTGCTTTCTTTTCTTTTCCTACATTTTCTCAGCAACCAATCAGAGCATAGGGAAAATGCTGACGATCAAAATTGAAATCAGTGATGAAGACACTCTTACCTTTGGATTTGAGAAAGAAGGAATAGCAATTGGAACCCTAGAAGCGGTTGGGGTACTGGATAACGGCATTTTGAAACCACTGTCTTTCAATGCACAGAGAGAGAGAGAGAGAGAGAGAGAGAGGCACTACACTTTGCCAAAGCATAAATAAGTCATCTTATACAACAATTTATGTACATCGGAAAATAAAAAAAAAAAAAAAAAAAAAAAAAATCTTATACAATTATGTTAATTTCCGAAAAAATAAAAAAAATATTATGTTCATTTCCAAATTTCTTTTTTATAAAAAACTCATGTCAAAAGTCACATTCATCCCTCCCCTTTCCATTCCATCTGTTTTTTTATCTCTCCAACCAAAGCATAAGAGGAATGATAATATTAAAAATAAAAAAAACTTAATAAAATTTCAAATTAGCCCGTAATTAATTATGAAGGTGCTCTAACAAGTACGGCCCACCATTATAAAAACAAAATGCATCTATTAAAAAAACGCCCACCTTCTCGGGCTAATGGGTCAATTACGAGCCGAAATCCCTAGTTTAGGGCTTCGTAAGTGAACCCGGTCAGCTCTTCAATTGTTCGTAGTCTGGGGCCCAATCACGAGCTGAATGCCAAGCCTAGGGCCCAATAAGTGGAATCCGGTGGGCTCTTGATCCTTCGGACTGGATGAAAGAAAGAGCCGGTAAATGGAAGATAACAAGCAATGTGTTTAGTCTGTTTGAGCTTTTTTAGATATATTTGAATTTTTTGTCTGTTTGGCGCTGGAACGAAAGCAAATGGGGAAACGCCTGCGAAGAGAGAAATCAATCTGCTGTTGCGTCTCTCCTACACTCAACTTTCTCACTCCTCACTCCATTTTCAACTGGTTCGTTCTTTCTCTCTCTCTATATGCATATGAATATATAGATACAGGTATACACGAAATTGCATAATAGAAAACTTCTAACAGAATGTGAAAAGCTTTGAAGTTCAACTTAAATTCTCTATGTTTTGAACAAATTTCAGTGAGAATTCAAAATGAATTTGAATTTTTTTACATCATTTCCATTTGATCTTGTGAGATTAGAAACGCAATTTTATCAACGAATACTTACTGATTGACGCAATGACGCTTGATATCCTTAACTAAATTTTTGTCTATTTTATGAAAATTTCGAATTAGCTCTGATCGTTAGATGCATAGATGAATTGTTTACAACTACTTCGTTTCATCATATATGTAGCTGTATCATGTGTTCATCTACCGATTGGGAATCTAGATTTCAAAAAACGAGTTCTACTTTCTATCTGTGGATAGGTTCCGAAGACGATTATTGTAGACTCAGTTGTTTCTGATCGTTTTATGGTCTCTTACGACTCCATTTGATCTTGTGGTTTGATTTATTGCAGTTTTATCAAACAAATGCTTATTGATTGTCAAAATGATATTCTGAAATTTGATTCGATGCAACTGATGCTTGATTTCATTGCCTAAAATTTAATCGATTGTATGTTTTTTTCAAATTAGTTCATATTGTTAGATGCATAGATAAATTTCAAATAATTGTTCCTGGAAAACAAATCTAGTTCTGCTTCGTTTCATTGTATATTTAGTGTCATATATTGACCTACCTGACTGAATCTACAATTTCAAAAACAAGTTTAGTGTTGTGGAAAGTTTGCATATTGAAAAGCTCTTTCTGTAGGTAGATCAAAGTTCACACTCTGTTTCGTTGCATGCAAAATAATTTCTAAAGTTACACTGCTCAAATTTATGTTTCAATTAGAAAGTTAGTTGAGGTATGTGCCGGTTTGTTATAGCTCAATGAGTTCAATTTATATGTTTTGTAATGCAAAAAGGTATGAAGAGGATATATGGATGGAAATTGCCAAGTATTTGGATGGAAAATCCTTGGTGATGCTTGGAGCAACGAACAAGTGGTTTCAACACATCGTCATGGAGGAGACCATATGGAAGTTTGCCTGTTTGCGTGATCTTCAGGTCTTTGATCCTCGTCAGGTGGCATTCAAATGGATCAAGCTTTACGCTTCAGTTTTTGGTAAGGATCAGAGCCTTTAGGGGACTTTATATGTCTCTAGTGTGGAACAAATTAAAGTTAGATTATTTTACCTCTAATTCTTACCATTTGATAAATTTTGTTGGATTACTTTTTGCAGATGGAAGTCATTCTTACATGTTTCGTCAGCAGGAGAAACATATTGGTATAATCTCTTTATCGTTTATTTGTTGTCTCTGTCCAACTGTGGTTGTTGATAGTGAGAAAAGTCCATTGGTCCTGACTATAACATAGTTGGTCCATAATCAAGCTAAGTCTGCAATGTTTCTACTTCTAATTCCCAATACTTTCTAAGACTTAATTACTTGCCATTGGTGGTATCTGGACTACCTAAATGTAGACAATGATCAAAAGGATTTTCCACATTGGTTTCATAGCTCATTCCCTTCCCTCTGTTACCAGTATACCATATCACAATGCATCACATAGGGTGAAGGGACTAAATTTAGCTAAAGATGTCTTTATAAACACTATTATAAATATTAATTTCGTCTTTTTGGCTGAATGACTGTGCACTCTCACCACAAATGTATCTACACTGAATTTGCCCCTAAAATTCTTCAATTACTTAGTGGTGGTTTCTACCACAATGCTGTATAAACTGTGCTTCAGTAGAGAGGAAGGCAACAAATTTATTAGCTGAAATGAGATCTATATTATTTTTGAGTGAATGGTAGCTAGTTCAGTGTTATCAGTGTCTTTTCAATGTGAAGAACGAGTTGGATATTGAGTGGAAAATTAATGAAAGAGTTCTATCTACCGTACATTAGACACCATTGCCACCAACTTTCCATCAGTTTTTAGTCATACAGAGTTGTTAAGTTGCATGAATTTCTGCATTGCACTTACGGGGAAGACACCATAGATAATTTTTCTCATCTAATTTTCTTTTCAACAAAATAACATGAGAAAAATAAGCGCATTTCATTTAATGTGTCAATGCTGGACTTGTAATTTCTTTGTTTTCTTTCAATGGACAAACCAGATTGGATGCGAATTGGGGCATTTTTATTTGATTCACCAGTTGCACTCCTGACAGATAAGCTGACCACTCCACTGAAAATTCCAGTGAACGAGACTGTAGAGAAAATGTTGCAATCTTGTGGCTCTTGTGTGTTAAAAAACATCAAAACTGGAATTTGGATAGCTGGTACTAAGTTGACTCTACTATCATGGCAATTTCTTTGAAAGGATTCAACATGCTGAGATCAATTACTATCACTCTAACTAGCTGTGTTTATTTCTTTCTAATTTGGATTAAATTTCAGATTTGCAGCTTGTTCGTTGCCCTGTTTGTGACCTCAACACATGTGATGGTGAGTAGCAGAAGTGCCTTTTGTCCATAATTTTACATGAATGAGAACTTAACTTGTATCAACAAATATTATTGCTGTTTGTGGTGTATGTTTTCGAGGCTTGTGTGACCTTAATTTCATACACAAAGGGTTCTACAGCACTTACTAATATCATAGAAAGTAAAGGGGCATGACAGCTTACCTTGTTATCATGAAAAGGTGGGTTGCTTCCTCTTTTGGTTGAATGCATACTATATGTATATTCCTGATGAATGTCACTTGATTTAGTTCAGTAAACAAGGTATTCACATAAACAGCTGCTGATTACCGGCAGTATGTCACAACCTTGTGAGAGAGAGAAAACAAAATACTCAAAAAGAGTCATTTATGAAGCTTGAAAGACTCAGAAATCAAACCTGCACTCTTGATTCTATGTAGGAACACTGCAGACACTAGATGCAAGGCATATAGAACTGTTCCTGAGTGACGGATACAAGAATGGGGGCTGGGAGTACGAGATGATAGGATCCCATGATATCAAAAAGCATTCAGATGGAGCTTCCGGTGGCATTTTCGACTTTAAACACCTCAAAGATCCCTCAACCATTGGTAACTCTTATTGCTCCATGACTGATTCAGCCGACTATGGCATTTTGTTGTCATTTTAAAAAAGTTTACACTGTGATCACATCTGAAATGCCTGTAGGAATGAGGAATACCTTGTTCTTGGGTGTATCTTGTAAAACTCAAAATTCATACTTAAAAAAGCGACCTAAGACACTTAGAAGAGCTGTAATGGAAAAATTATTGGGAACCCCAGAGGTACTGATAATGCAGTACTCCCATCCAATAAACACTCACCATTTGCCTTGTAAATAGGAAATTGTCAGTACCCTGGGATTACCCAATAATTTCTCTAGTAATTGGTGCTTGATATTAGAAGATATTTGAATGCCAAGCAAATATTTATGCTCCATGACACTGTTGAATTAACTTGCGGCGAAATGAGAACTTGTAAGGTTGTGGTTGGGGTGGCTGTTTCCTATTTTTTTTTTGTCGGTAGGCAAGTTGAGGTTCCTATTACCATCTCCAATAGAATGATCTCTCAGAAATAAATGGACCATTAGAAATTTCTTTGCAATAATTTGTTAGATTTAGATTTTCATGAGAACTTGTTTATCTTTTACATTTGAACTTGTTTAGAATTAGTTTTTTTTTTTCCTCTTACTACTCAGAATTATCCAATTAGAAAGAAATAGGGATTGTCATGTCAAATGGGTTCAATTGTTTTTATAATAGTATGTATACATATATATAAAGTTACACATTTGGCTTGATGAAACTAGAAAATATAGAAGAAGAACTAAAACCACCCAATTGCCTTGAACCATATCATGTAATACTAGTGAAAAAATTAGCTACTTCCTGACATTTGACATGAAAAATAATCTACTAATTTCCAAATGTATTTGGCAGAGGTCTTTAATCTCAAGTCATGGATAGGGAAACCCAATGTCTGGCAGCCAAAGAATATTATTACTCTTCATGCAGTAGCGATCAACTCCAATTTACAGAAAAATGAAGGTAAAAAACTTTCCATAGTCTGAATCTCCAAAATAAGTTTGCATAAGTAATTGCAGTTCTATTCCCCTGCCCATCAATGGTATAATTTTATTTATTTATTTATTTTGGTAAGTAAGGCATTGCACAACTGTAGTTAATTATATTGAACATTTCTGTTGATGGCAATCCACGGTTTTGTATGAACATATTTTAATCAGTTATTGCAAGTTCAAATTGAAGTGCAATTGTGAACGACTACAGTTTTAACAACTATTTCTATTTTTTTTTCTTTTTTTATTTATTTCGAATGCAGGCCTTCATGTAAAGTACCAGGCCATGAGAGCTGGAGCTGATGGAGATGTTGTTTCGATTCGAATATCTCAGCAGCTCTTGTGATTCTGCTCAATTCCCACAAAATATAGCAAGCAAGAACTCTGTGTCAAATTTCTGTTTTCTGAATTCAAAATTTTCAGATGCAGGTATACCTTACCATACAAATCAATTTGGTGTACTTTCAAGCAGTCAGTAACTTTTTTCATTAGCCTCATAAAAATAAAATTCACACATCCATACAGTTCATACCCTGCATAGCTCTGTATTCCCTGTGCCTACACTGCATCCTCTGCAGTATGATAAAAAACTGGAACATATCCATCCACGCTTATATTAGTTAGTACTAAATGCATCATTATATGTGCACAGACTAATATACATACATGAACAAATATGTTTATGATGTATGGATGGATTAAACCATTAAACAGTAAAAAGGAAAATAAAAAATTCAATTAAAAAAAAAAAAAAAAACCTAAAAGGAAAGGAAATTAAAGATCAGAAGAAAAAAGAAAAGGAATTCCACAGGCATATTATATATAAACCTAGTACCACTTAATTTGTACATGGACTTCCATTGATAGATAGTTATTTTGAGAACAGTGATGGTCATGACTGGCCGGTATTCAATAGTCAATGGAGAAATACATACCCTAAGTTCCTGCGTAGTAAAATCATAAAGAAAGGAAAAGAAAAACTAGAAGAAAACAAGAAACACAATAATTGGAGACTACGTGTACTTGTATATATATATACACTGGCATGAGCATGATGATGATCGATCACTTGATATTAACAGCAAAACGCAACTGAGAATTAACTCGAAAGCTCCATAATTCAATGCAATCACGTTCTACTTCAAGTTGGTTATTCCGAACCAAATCTTTCCACTCATTAATAAGAACGAGAGGAGAATGTGCCCACCTCTTCAATGTCATGTTATAATGTTTACCCTTTGGATCAACCACAGTGACCTTAACATCACCATCTTTTCCCTTCATCTATGTCATCCCTTTCTCCTCTTCACTTAAGAATTTCAAATCCTGTAACGACCCATAAATTTTAACTACAAAAGATTACGTAAAAAAAAAAATTCCTTAAGTACATCAAAAAATTTCCACAATGCCCCGGAAATTCAACCACTCCAATTATATTGATAATCTCAATTACATCATAAATCTCATTGTCTACATGGTCATCAAGTTTAACAAAACTTCTATATCAACATGCTAGCGACACCAATATACTTCCAAGCAAACTTCGATAAGATATTTAAGGTTGAGGTTGAGGCATATCTTTCATAGAAAGTCCATTTTCTGAAATGTTTATGACAATGGGGTGACCTTACATTGCTCAGTAGATGATAACCAACCAACACCTCCTAAAGCCATACAAGTTATGTTGAATAGCAATAAAAGAACCGGGATCATGCTATGTTGGGAAAATAACCACACAATCACACCAATAACCCAACTCATGAAAGAAATGCTATGAAATGAAATGTCATGTCGTGCTATGTCTCTCCCCATTTTTCAAAACCATATCCGTCATCATTTCCAAACTGTTAGTGAAACCTATCCCATGGTGACCCCCTGGCGACACGAGAGGAGGATTGGCTACTGTCCCTGACCCATGGTAATCCCATGGTGTCATTTGGGGCTCAGATAGCTCAATCACATTAAGGAGAATTTCCCTAGTCCCTTCTAGGCCTCACTAACACCACGGCCCTTCGGTAACCCTCAGGCGACCGGGTTTTTCATAAAACCGTATTCAAAAACTTCTTCCCGAAAACCCTATTTCATTTTTTTTTTTTTTCTTTTCTTAAAACATCATTCCCCATTTCTTTCCAATGAGGTGCATAAATGCATCATGTCACGTTAATACTCATGACTACACATTTAATTCCATTCAAAACTACGTAGCATACGACACATGAAATTTCAAGATATTATGCTCTCATATAACAACAATATAAGCAAAACAAGCATATCATACACACATTGATTTCATATAAGTATGCTTTCTCATAACACATCCATCAACACATACTCTCACATTTGCATATATATCATTTAAACAATTATTGCAAGAATTCATCCAAAATAGGCATTTAACACAATAATAAAAATAAAGTCACATAGGCTTGAATTCAATCATTTGGCATTTTAAATACAATACCTCACAATTTTCAAGACCTTATACTCAAATTAATCACCATAAGCAATTCAATTCATATGACAATTTACATAGCAAATTTCAAGTCATCTTCTTATTAAAAGAATTCTACGCAGCAGTTATTGAAAAATTCGTAGAAAATTCATTTTAGATCGAAACGGAGAAAATAAAAATGATTTAGAAACTAGACTCAGAATGAAACATCGCCGAACCACTCATGAAAGCCAAATGTTCCCCATTTAAATCAGTTTCCAAAGTAAAACAGTGGTCCTTAGTTCGAAGAAACTCTGGCAGCGGATACTTCAAAATTTGTAGAAAATTTGTTTGACATCCAAATCGGGCAAACTAAATTTATTTTGAAGGTAGACATATGGGAGTATAAAACTATTAAGTTTTTCCATGATCCGGTATCAATGTGTTGGTCAAATAAATTATCCAAAATCTATTTTCCAGCAGCAATAAAAAGACAAACAGCAGGAAATGTCGGATTTTTAAAAAAATAATTACATTGCCAAAAATCATTAAATTTTTATGAGGAGTAGAAAACTCACATTAGAAGTTACAGTAAACATTTTGTTGTATTTGAAGCAACACAACCTCTAAAATAAAATTCGTAAACTTTCTAAAAAAAAAATTAGTTTTCACACTGGGATAGCTGGACAACAACTATTCCCGAATTTTAATAAAAATAACTACCTGTACAAAAATTGTAAAATTTGTTTGAGAGGTACTAGACAGGTATAAGAACCTGTGCTAAAATTTTCGTAGCAATTGGATCAATACAACTCCTTATAAAATTCATTCAAACAGTCCCTTTACCTTATTTACACATGCTACAACTGTCTTAACATCAACAAAAACAGTCCTATAACAATAAGCAATATAGTCCCTTAAATCAACCAAACAACCCTCTAGATAAGCCAAAACATCCCTTTAAAAATTCAGTTAAACAGCCCCTTAAAATCAGCGAAACAATCCCTTAAAATCAACGAAACAGCCCTTTTAAAATTTCATTCAAACAACCCCATTTACTACATTCATACTTGCTATGGTTCAATTTCAACTTCAAGAATACTTAATCCATCATTCATAACCTTTTTCTAAAGTTTTAGCTAAGGCATCGTCATATATAAGTATAATTATATGCAATTGAAACAAAATTGACTTACACAAGCATGCTTAATTCACAGAAGTCACATAAATCACTTATATAGCAAGAGAAAATGCTAGTTAAACACTCCTACCTCCAAAATGATGAAAACCCCCAATTTGAACCATAGATTTCGAAAATCCTAGGGTGCACCAAAGCTGAAATTGCTTACACCCACTTGTAGATCTCGCCGTGCTCTTTGATTTGCTGCAAACAACACCTAAAAATTCTCACCGGTTGAGAAGTAATCAAAGTTTAAAGATTGTAAAAGAAAAAAAGAAAAAAAAAAAGAAAGAGAAAAGGGAGAGAGAACCTGCTGCGGAAGAGAAGAATTGAGGTCATGTAACAACCTCGTGGTCATTAAAATTCTTAAGGCATAGTGGCGGGTCCCACAAGCTATAAAAAATCTTTTTCCACTAACACCTATATATATTAACTAATAACAACCACAATTAAGCATGTCACCACATAAAATGCATTAAATAATAATAAATAAAATGCAATGTGTAACACCCCTAATTTAAAAAGGATAGTCTCGGTATTATTTTAATAGTTTTAATTGCATTTAATTATTTAGTTGTTTTTCTTGGCTAATTGTTTACTTGTTTAATTGATTTAATTATTTGTTTAAATTGAATTGTATGTGATGATGTGTATTTGTTTAGGAATTTAATTGTTTTATTTTTATTTTTTTATTTTATTTTTTATGTTTTTAAGGAATTGGATATGGATAATAGTAATTGACCAATCAATTGGGCTCCATGGACTACTTGGATAAGGGGTTTAATGGGTACGGATAATTACCCATGTATATGTATATTTAATAAATAAATAAATAAATAAATAAATAAATAAATAAATAAATATATATATATATATATATATATATATATATATATATATATATATATATATAAGGAAAGTCCCTTTAATAATAATCTGATATATATTTATATATTATATATAAAAAGGGGTACACATAGATTATATATAACATATATTTAAGTTACTTTTTTAGTACTTAAATTTTATTTTATTTTATTTTAGTTTGTCTTGGAATGGGAAAAGGATTAGGGTTATTTTAGTTGCCTATAAATATATAACTATAGAGTTGTAAAAGAGGTTAGAAAATATATCACGTACTATATTTTAGAGAGAGAGAAGGAAGAGGAAGGAAGAGAAAAAGGAAGAAAGAGGTTAGGGTTTTTATCAAATCCCTAAAGGCAAGTTTTAATTCTTCTCTTCTCCTTTGATTCGTACCTTATGCATGCTATATTAATTCTAGATTCTTTAAATAAATTAATTGGATCAAACTACGTGGACTAATATAGAAATTTCACTTCGTGCTTTAATAATGAGTTTTAATATTTTTTCTTTTATACTGAACTGGGCGTTGTTGGTGGGTATGATTTTTAATTTATTTTGTTTTATTTTCACTTGAATTAATGTTAGCGTAAGTCAGTATCCTGTATAAATATGAAATCAACATTTATTTATGTATAAAGCATGCACACGAAACGAGGGGTTAAGTGTACTAAATTAAAGCACAAATTGATTCGTGTATGTGAAGTCAAAGTTGGACCTCAAAAGCAGTTTTCTGTAAAAAGGTTTGAAATCAAATTTGTTTGTTTCTTAAATTTGACACGTCGAACGAGGAAGCAACCATCAGTTTGGTAGTTCTTGTATTCTAGAATTTCTATGAATTGAATTGTAGCAACAATCAGTTTGGGTTATTTTTTTCATGGTTGGTGCACGCCGAATGAGGAAGAGCAAGATAATGACTTTAAAATAAATTAGTTTATAATATAACTATAATTGGAATTTGTTTTATTCATGAAGTGTACAGGTAGAACGAAATTGGCATAAAGTATAAGTCAGTTTGATATAACAGTATTGATTTTGCATTAAATAAATTGTGTGTGAATCTGATTAAGATAAGAATATTAAATTAATATTTATTATTTTTTGAGTGATGGATCTGAATTAAATATTTATTTAATTTAATTAGACTCATTAAGAATTAGAATACATGATTTAAGTTTACATGCTAAGTATGGAATTTAATTAATTTAAAAGGATAAATTAATTAAATATTATTGGATTAAATTATTTTAATCAATTGCTAGATTTAAATTAATTTAATCAGAACATGGAGATGTACAACTTAGTTGATATGCATCTTAATTTCTTATGATGTAAATTATATACATGCTACTTAGAATTGATATTTTGCTCAAATAAATGCAAATGATGTGTTTATGATCTATATCATGTTTATTTGGATTAGTATATGTAAATATTATTTACATTATCTTTGGATTGAAAATTTTTATTGGATTATGATATGGATTAATGCACCATTATGGGATGGAGGCATATTAGGGACGGATTAACTTAAGAGTTAAGTCCTAGCTATTTTTAATAAGGGAACGGATTAACCATAGTGTTAAGTTCTACTTATTCGTGTCAAGTCAACGGAATAGTTGGATGACATATAATTAAAATAATAATTGGATAGTTTATTTTGATGATTGGATAGGACAGATTTTACATATATAATTATACGCCATGATATGAGCTTGAGTCTCAGGATCAGTGATTAGGGTGCGTATATTGCCAGGGATGTGTAGCTAGATATAGCGTAGTTGTGTACCCTGGTAGGTTTAGGTACTCATGCCCACTATATGTGCGTTTTGCATGTTGCCTACTATTCAGGTTGAGACAACTCTATAGTCTAGTGAGGTTCCTTTAGTGTGTATATATCTATATATGGACTATTTAGTTATTGTTGAATTAATTATGATGTGTACGTGTATCGGGTCTCTGTTTGGGATGTAGTAGATTAGAACTTGTTTGTGGGCCTGACCCACCATTATTTTTCAGGTGTTCGTCAGTTCCAGTCTTAGAGATTGTTCGTGCCGAGCAGAGACAGCCATTCACTCTTCCGACTCTACGTAGGACTCGTCTTCATTAGTTACTTATTATTTTTATTTCGGTTCAGTTATTTCAGTTAGGATATTATTAGGGGTCCACAGTATGGATTCCCGAGTTGTAGTTTAATTAATTACTAGTATCTGAAGATTGGAGGATTTTATTATTGGATTTTTTAATTATTATTTATTTGAGGATTTTAAAATAGGGATTTATTATTTAGTTTCCTTCGACTTATTATTTATTTATTCTTTAATATTCTTTTTGTATTCAAATGCTTGTTTAAATATTAATTGTTTGATATCCCTTGTATTCTGTGCTCGGACTTGATCACCTGTGACTTTAGAATTAAGGGGGTATCACACAATGGACCCAAAATAAAATTCCCGTATACAGATAAACCGATGGTGGGTTCCACCTGGGACTTTTCGGTCCGAAAAACGAAAAAATGCCGAAATAGCAACCGTTGCATTTCCAAGAGTCCTAAACTCTTGGAATGCTTCAACCAACTCTTGGATACACCCGGCACACCCTGCGGTGTTCGGCACGCAAAACAAAAAAAGACGAAAATGCCCTTACAAAAATAGAAAATTCCAAAAAATGGGAAATGGCAAAAATCAGAAACATCACAAATCCAATTTAGTTTTGCCCTCCGTGTTAAAAAGCCGGTTAAGCTCCTTCTTGACATCAGATTGGGCGAGTTTCTTATTGACCCAGAAAACTAGGTCGGTGCCACTAGCAGATTGAATGGCCTGCCAGATTGGGTTTGGCAGTGATGGTGGTAGGATTAATGTTGGGGTTGGCAGTGATGGTGGTCGGAATGTTAGGGTTGACAGTGATGGAGGTAGGGATGTTGGGGTTGGCAGTGACAGAGGTACTTTAATATGGATGTCCTTTTCGAACAGTCGAAACGGTGGCAGAAATATTTGGGTTGGATGTGAAGGGGGTACAGTATGGATATCCCTTCCGAACAGTCGAAACGGCTTGGCCTCTATCACTGCCATCTCCATCTTTTTTCTTTCCTTTCCTCTGGCAGAGTCTTGTGATAGAGAATGCGTATGTGTGTGTAACATTACTGATTTTTCCTATTTTCTAATTTCTGAATTTATTTGATTTTTCTGGATTTTTTAATCCTTGCTTCGTTTTGCTTGCCACGAGGGCCCCAAGGGGCGCTATCGACATTTCACATGTGTATGTGTATTTATATACATGTATGTATTTGTATTAATGGTATTATATGGAGGGTGGTATTTAATGGCAAGGTTGATGATAAAAAGAAGTTCAAAGGGCATTTTCGTCATTTTAGCTCCATGGAATAGCCTAAAGAATTCTAAAGACATGAGTGTGGCTTTATTTATTTTTGACCTATTCTTTTCTTCTTTTAATTTCTGGACCACACCCACCCTACAAGCTCTCTTCCTCCATTTTCTTCTTTCTCTTTCTTCCTTCTCTCTAAAATTTGTTCATGCTACAGATGATTTGGTTTAGGCTATAGTTGGCAAATTGTAGAACATTGTAAGGACTACGTCTTGGTACCGGTATTGTAAGCTTTTGGTGGGATTTGAGTTTGGACCTTGGAGCTAGAGCTTACTAAGGACTTGATTGGTTGCTATCTTGAGGTAGGGGAAGTCTAATTTACAAATTCCTATGGTTTTAGTGAGTTTCTATATGCCTCATTGTATGAAAATTTTAAGGTTATGAAGTATGCTAAGTTTGTTAAAATTTTGGTTGTGATGTTGAGCATAAATTGTGATGGCTTAATTGTTGAAGAATGAGAAAATGATGGTTTCTTGTATTTGTGCCAAGCATGCTACTTTTCTATGAGAAAATGTAAAAGTATGATCTATGTTATCAATTTCTATGTTTGGATGTTTGATATCATAACTTAAAGGTAAAATATAACTTGTATAATGATGATTGGTTGTATGACATGCATATTCATGCCATGAGGGTGAGTTGAGAAGATGAAGGTTAATGTGGAAAAGAGGGTTAGAGAGTGAGAAGGGGGTTTGTGTGGTAAGCCAAGGTGATGGTTAGGAAGGTGGTAGTGAGGTTGGGTTGGGAAGAAAGAAGGAGACATTGCATTTCATACTTGATGGTACAATCTGTGAAATTGTGAATTTCATAAATGTTGAAATGATTTAATCCTATGATCCTTTTTTCTTGAATCCCATTCTTTGGTTGTGGCTCACAGGATTTTTAGGAATGTGATTTAGGGTTTACTTTACTGAGCAGTTGACCCATTAACATTAACATTTTTCAGGGACTTGGAGATGAGTCGGTAGTTGATGTGCATCCATGGACATTGATGTAGTTAGGAAATTCACTTCCATCTTGTGTATATTAAAGTTTTGTGAATATTGGCTATGGAGTCCC